TTGCAAGGCTGTTGCAAGGCTGTTGCAGAGGAAGGGAAGGAGGTGAACGAACAGTAGATAGACACGATACCGCCCTGATGAACCGTCGACGTGACATGCCCCGACGGGAACTCGCCGATGCCCACAGTGCGGACGTAGTCGGGAGCGGCATTCACTCCCCCCATAACACCTTGATCGAATCCTTCAAAGAGGATTGCGACGAGCGAGAACGCCTGGATGGCGAAGGTGAGACGAGAAGCCGTTGGGAAGAGGCGTTTCCACAAGGGAGTCGAGGTTGACATGGTGTAGCGGCCTGCAGCGTTGGCTAGGGGTTTCGTGGCGTTGTGAGAGTACTATTCGACGACTCTGGCGAAGGTAGGGAGGGCAAGCTGGCTTGGCGACTTTGCCGAGGAGAAAGCGAGTCTGAGTGCAGTGTCGACAAAAGCGTCAGCTCCTCGACTTCGCGAGGGAAGCGAGTTCATCTTTGAGCAGCAAAGCGAGGACATACCTTGTGCTAGTACAGGCGGCGTGCGAGTCGTGCGCGAGAGCGACGATGAAGCGAGGGGAAGCAGAGATGAGGAGGAGAGCGAGACGAGGAGGCCCGCACGGAAGCTGGGGACTTCTCTGCTTCGACTGATGATCTAGAAGAGCATTTTAGCAGCGTAGTTGAGCCGTGCAGCCGCTTCCCCGTGACGAGGCAGAGCAGTGGAGGAGCGGAAGAGAGCTCGCGAGGAAGGCTCGTGGGGCGACATTGCCACTTCGGGTCGCCGCTATGAGGCGGGCGTAATCTCAGCTTGGGGAATAGCTGTTGAATCCGCTCTAATCGCTAGCCGTGTTTTCCCGTCGGAGGGGAGCGGACCACCGCGACTCCGCTTTCTTCTCCGCCCGCTGCTCTCCTGCTCTTCTGCAATCTCCTCGTCGACAACGCAGTGCCCCACAACGATGGTGAACGCTTCGACGAATGTCAACGGCGCGAATGGCAACGCCAACGGCCATGCGAACGGGGATGCGAACGGCTCGAACGGCGTCAATGGCGCTTCTCACGGCGCGCCGCTCGACTTTACTGTCCTTGGGCTGAACTCGGGAACAAGTATGGTACGTGGTGGGCGCTAAAACGTTGCTGAGCTGGGGAATGAGCGATGCTGACGGTTGCTCTTCCCCCAGGACGGCATCGACTGCGCCCTTTGCCGCTTCCGCCAGGACTCGCCGGAAGCGCCCATGCACTTTGAGCTGTTGAAGGTGCGAGAGACGTTTCCAGCCACGTAGAATGCAGCTGATCCTCCGGCGGCTGACAGTACGGCGAAGTCCCGCTTCCCCAAGGCATCAAGAAGCGGGTCATGAAGATGATCCTCCATAACCGCACAACGCCCGAGGAGCTCTCCGAGGTCAACGTGCAACTTGGCGAGACGTTTGCCGACGCCGTCGAGTCCTTCATTTCAAGCAACGGCATCGACCGCTCGACTATCGACGCCCTCGCCTCCCACGGCCAGACAATCTGGCTCCTCTCTATGCCGGAGGAGGGCCAGGTCAAGTCGGCGCTGACGATGGCAGAAGGGTCTTTCCTGGCCTCGCGCACCGGGATCACCTCGATCACCGACTTCCGCATCTCTGACCAAGCCGCTGGCCGGCAGGGAGCGCCCTTAATCGCCTTCTTCGACGCCCTCCTCCTGCACCACCCCACCAAACTTCGCGCGTGCCAGAACATCGGAGGAATCGCGAACGTTTGCTTCATCCCGCCCGACCACCAAGGCGGTGTGGACGCCTGCTTCGACTTTGACACCGGCCCCGGCAATGTCTTCATCGACGCAGCTGTGCGCTACTTCACCAATGGCGAGCAAGAGTACGACAGGGACGGCGCGATGGGTAAGCGGGGCAAGGTGAACCAGGCAATGGTCGACCGTTTCCTCCAGCACAAGTACTTCGGCCTCGAGCCTCCCAAGACTACGGGTCGCGAAGTATTCCGTGACACGATTGCACACGACCTGATCAAGGAGGGCGAGTCGCTCGGCATGTCGGCGGACGACATCGTCGCGACTGTCACCCGCATCCCCGCTCAAGCCATCGTCGACCACTACCGTCGCTATGCCCCCTCTCAGGACATCGACGAAATCTTCATGTGCGTTTGCGTTGCTGGACTTGGGGTTGTAGGACGCCGTTTGCGCGCGGAGGAACGATTTTGGCTGACCTTCCCAGCACCACTCGACAGGTGCGGCGGCGGCGCAAAGAACCCGAATATCGTCGCTTTCATCCAGGAGAGCTACCCGAACAGTGCGCTCGCTCCACGCCAACATCTACCAGCGCTCCGCCTCTGACCTCTCCCTCTTGCAGCCAAGATCATGATGCTCGATGAGGCTGGCGTCCCCGGTGATGCAAAGGAGGCTTGCACGTTTGCATGGCAGGGAATGGAGGCTGTGAGTGGTCAGATTCAGTCACCCCGCTGCACAAATGCTGATATTTCCTTCGTCCAGCTCGTCGGCCGATCCATTCCTGTTCCTACCCGCGTCGAGACCCGGCGACCGTTCGTCCTTGGGAAGGTGCGTTTCGGCGGTCCACGCGTCGAGTTGAGCCACCGTTGCTGACACTCTTGACTGCGCAGGTCTCCCCTGGTGAGAACTACCGGTCGGTCCTGCGGAAGGGCATGGCCTTTGGCGGCGACAGCGACCAACTGCCGTGGGTGCATGAGATGGTTAACTACGTGGACGGCAAGGTCTTCAACAACAAGTGGTAGAGGGGTCCGCGACTCTCACTCTTTCGCATCTTCTTCCGGTTTCGTTTGTTCTGCATCCACTCATCTCGTTCTACTCTTCCCGATGTTCCTGTATTGCACAGTCTACCATCCATTGCGTGCAAGTGGCTGCGTCGCGCAGAGTGAGCGAGCTGCGATTTCTGCTCGGTCGTTGCGAGCCTCTGACGCCCTCCCACAGCCCTGTCGCGCCCCCTCCACCTCTGCTTGAGCGTCACCACATCCTCGTCGTCAGCCTGACGGACGCCGAAGCCTGCTCAGCGGTGTTGCCCAGGAGAACGAGATGGCGGTGATGAGAACCGAGGATCCGGGAGCAGGCCGTCTGGCGGCAGGACGGCGCCCTCAGACACTTCAAATACCTTCTCAGGGAGCACACAGGCCGACGGCAGCCCAACAAGCCCGGCGATGAGCGGTGGAAGGTCGAGGAGCGAGGGAGAGAGGCGATGGTCGCTTGGGCTCCGCCACTTCACCTGCTTGGTTTTCTTCCGACTATGACTGCTGTTCCCGCTGAGCTTCTGACTGCACTCGAGCCGCCCAGGCCGTCTCAGACCGTCTACCGCGAGGGTGCGTTCTCGCGCTCCTTCTCCCCACCTCATCAATCCGGGACTCGGAAGCTGACGCTCGCCTGGCCTCCCTGCAGAGTGCACGCAATGCTTCGACTCGCACGACTCGGATGCCGGCGTCGACGTTTGCCTGCACTGCTTCAACGGCGGCTGCCCGCCCGCCATCAACGGCGTCGAAAGTGCGAACGGACACGGGCGCCTGCATTTCGAGCGGACGGGGCACAGGGTGGTCGTGAACATCCAGAGGAGGCGCAAGCCGGCGAGCGAGCTGCGGAGGAACAAGCGGGTGCGTTTCAGACACTCCCCATCTCTCGCCCGACAAGCCAGTCTTGCATGGGACAGCCCAGGACAAGCTTGGGATGACTCCGTGCTGACGCAGAGAGCGACGCAGGACTCGAATGAGCCGCCTGTCAAGAAGCTCGCGATCAGGGAGGAGCCGTCCGAGGAAGAGAAGTACGACTTTCACACCCAGGTCCGCATGTATACGGGCGGCGAGGGCGACAGGGCGATGGCGCAGTACGTTGTGGTGGACCAGGTGGACGACAAGGTGAGTAGCGGGTTGTCATCTGTCTCTGCTTCGCCTTTCCACTAATACTCGCTGGCGCTTTCTTTCGCTCGAACAGTTGAGCAGCCTCATTGCTGCCGTTTTGAGCGCCATGTCGTCGGCTCAACGGAGCGAGGTCAAGGCGTGGGAGGAGGAGATTGTGCCCTGCCAGCACACGCGCGAGCTCATCCAGCCAGAGCCGAAGAAGCTCGAGCCTGCGGGTGAGTGATTCGCGAGACCGGCCTTCAACGCCATGTGCTTACTCTCTTAATCCTGCAGGCCTCGCCTCCTGCGCCCATGCCGACTGCGGTCTCACCTCGAATCTGTGGCTTTGCCTCACCTGCGGCGCGCTCGGTTGCGGCAGGCAGCAGTATGGCGGCGGTGGCGGCAACGGGCATGCGCTGAAGCATACGAGTGACACTGGTCATCCCGTCGCGGTCAAGCTTGGGACTATTGAGCCGGATGGCTCAGCCGGTGCGACAAATCTTCCTCTCTCGCGCCGCCGCAAGCTGATTTTTCTCCCGCAGACGTCTACTGCTACGCTTGCGACGATGCTCGAATCGACCCAAATCTCGCGAAGCATCTCGCAAACTTCGGCATCGAGGTCGCTGAGCAGAAGAAGACGGAGAAAAGCATGACTGAGCTGGCAAGTTGAGGGAATCCTCCCACAGACCGACTCAAGCTGACCCGCTACCTGCGACACAGCAAGTCGAGCAGAATCTCACTTTCGACTTTGCGATGACCGGCGCGGATGGTAAGGAACTTGAGCCGCTGTTCGGACCGGGTCTGACGGGCATGAAGAACCTCGGCAACAGGTGCGTGGTCTTTCGAGCCGAGCTGGAGGAGTAACGCTGACTCGTGCGTCCACAGTTGCTACATGGCGTCCTCGCTGCAATCCGTCTTCTCGCTCCCGGTCTTCCAGGACCGCTACCTCACCTCGTTCGTCATCCACCCTCAGACCTGCACCAACCCTTCCCCCGCGACCTGCTTCGAGTGCCAGATGAGCAAGATCGCGGATGGACTGCTCTCCGGTCGCTACGCCGTTCCACACGTCCCCGACCCGTCCGACGCTCTCGCAGGCAGCGACACCTCCGCACCTGTCGACTCAGACAAACCTCGCGTTTACTTCCAGGAAGGCATTCGACCTGCGATGTTCAAGGCGCTTGTCGGCAAAGACCACGCCGAGTTCTCGACGATGCGGCAGCAGGACGCCGGCGAGTTCCTCCAGCACCTCCTCGAGTACATCCGGCGCGCTTCCAAGTCGCTCGGCGTTGAGGAGCCAACCGGCATCTTTGGCTTTGCGGTCGAGGAGCGCCTCGAGTGCTCGCAGTGTCACGGCGTGCGGTACAAGACGCAGAACGAGGAGCTGCTTTCGCTGCCTGTCCCGGTCAAGAAGCGCGAGGCGATGGACGTCGAGGCAACCCCCGGCGCGGCGTCTGCAGGAGGCGAGGCCCGGACGACGTACGAGCAGGACAAGGACCGCAAGGTCGAGTACGAGCCCGTCCAGCTCACCGACTGCCTCTTCAACTTGACGAGTCCGACCGAGACCGAGTACAAGTGTCCGGCGTGCGACGCCAAGGTTACGGCGGTCAAGTGAGTTGCGCTACTCCTCCTTGCTTGAGTGAATCGCTCATCGGCTCCCCTCGCCAGGTCCATGCGCTTCTCCACCTTCCCCGACGTCCTCCTCGTCAACGCTGCCCGCTTCCAGCTCGACGGTTGGGTTCCTCGAAAGGTCGACGTTCCCGTCATCGTGCCGTTTACCGACCTCGACATGAGCCCGTTCGTCGGCAAAGGCTTGCAGCAGGGCGAACGCGAGCTTCCGGCGGACAAGGAGGGTGCGCGCGAGCGTTCTTTGCATGCGTAGTGTTCTTAGCTGACCAGTTCCGTTGCTGCAGACGCACCCGCGGAGCCGCAGTTCGACGCCGAGGCGATGAACCAGCTCATCGGCATGGGCTTCCCCGAGATCCGCGCCAAGCGTGCTCTCCTCGCGACGGGCCACAACGGCGCCGAGGTCGCGATGAACTGGCTGTTTGAGCACATGGAGGATCCAGGTGCGTTGCGAGTCCGTCCTCGCTCGCGCTTCGAGCCTGACCTTGTCGTCTACTCGCTCAGACATCGACGACCCTCTTCCCGCCGCCGCTTCCTCCTCCGCTACCTCTTCCGCCGCCGACCCCTCTCCCGAATCGATCTCAACCGTCTGCGAGATGGGTTTCACGCCCGCCCAAGCGCGCAAAGCCCTCCGCGAGACGGGCGGCAGCATCGAGCGCGCGGTCGAGTGGCTCTTCTCGCACCCTGACGACGACGGGTCCGAGTCTGTTCCTGCCGCACCGACCGCGGCTGCCGGAGGAGCAGGGGAGAAGAAAGTGCCTGGCTCGAAGGACCTCCCGGCCAAATACCGCCTCAAAGCGTTCATCTCGCACAAAGGACCCTCGGTCCATTCGGGCCACTACGTCGCGCATGTCTGGACTGGCCAAGCCGACGCGAATGGCGGGGGAAAGGGCGGCTGGGTGTTGTTCAATGATGAGAAGGTCGTGAGGGCGGACGAGGGCGAGCAGGCGGCTGAGAGGCTGAGCCCGTTCGCGTACGTGTACGTGTTTGAGCGGGTCAGGGAGTAGACGCTTGCAACGTTGGCTTGAATTCGAACGGATCTAGTGGCGAGGCGTCTAATACCCAAGGACAGCCTTCCTCAACCCCTTCGCTCCCATCCTCAAATCCCGCTCCGCAGCACTCGTCAACCCCCACCGCTTCCTCTCACCCGACAGCCCTCCCTTCTCCTCCTTCGCTCCGTCCTCCTGCACGTCCCCCGTCTCACTCAACCAAACATCATGCATATCGAACTGCTTGGGATGACCCCACGTCACCGTCTTTCTCGACTCTGGTGCGCCGTCTTGATCGTCCGGGTTCATGGGAGAGGTCATTGAGGGGTCTGGGCGGAACGTGAGTGGGCGAGGGAGAGTCGAGGAGAAGTGTTTGGCAGCGAGGCGGGCTTGTAGTTGCGCGAGGGGGAAGGGAATGACCTGCGTTCACGCATACTCTCAATCAGCTCGACAGGTGAGGAGAGGGAAGGAAGCGTCCAACGTACGAGGTACGGCAACCCCAAGAACGCCAGCGTCGGATCAGGCAAGTAGAAGGTCATCCTCTCATCGAGGTTGTGCACCCTCAAGCCGCCTTTTGCGCTTGGTGGACCGTGCAGGGCGGGCGAGGAAGGGAGTGGAGGGGCGTAAGTTAGGGGGTGGGAGGAGAAGGGCGCGTCGGAGGGGGAGAGGAAGGGCAAGGAGAAGAAGTAGCCTGTCGCGAAGATGCTGCGCCACGACGTCCGTTAGCGAGAGAAAGCGAGGCGAGGCGCGGCAGGACGCACATCGTGTCGACGTCCTCGACGACCGACCCATCCTCAAACTCTATTCTCCGACCCTCCACCCGTCGAATCGGCGGCTTCGTCCTAACCTCCTTCGAGTACTCCGGCGCATCCGGCGCGTCCCAGGGGATACCGAGCTGCGGAGGCGAGCGGGCTGATTGGTAGATCTTCGGAAGGGGGCCCGAGGGGGAGGATTGGCGCCGGGTGTGGATGGACGAGGCGAGTTCGCGGGTGATGTCGTACCCTGAGGCGGAGTTGCCAACGACGAGGACGGTCTGTGGAGGCGGCGAAAGCGGGGAGCGTACTCGTCAGCGAGAAGTCGCAGAACGGGAAACGCAAAGACCGTCTCGCCGCGTCCTCACCTTCTGCTCGAACTGCTTCGCATCGCGGTACCACTTCGCATGCAGTAGTTCGCCTTCCCACGACTTCAGCCCCTCCGTCCAAGGGATATACGGCCGCGCATAGTGCCCGTTCGCAACGAAGACGCAATCGAACGTCTCCGTCTCGAGCGGGGCGTCCTGCTCCAGTGTCGAGCGGTACGAAGCGAGCCAGCGTCTTCGTGGAATGTGGGGAGGGAGCGAGTCGGAGGGGAGGGTATGGCGGAGAGAGACGAGGCGGGTGTTGAAGCGGATGAGGGGGAGGAAGGGGCGGGCAAAGTCCTCGAGGTAGGACTGGACTTGTTCGTGGGTGCAGAAGAGACCCTGTGCAAGGTATTCCCGCTGTGTCAGTCGGAAAGGAGACCAGGGAAAGCGAGAAGAAGGGGACGAACGACTGTCGGAGGGAAGGGGCGGTCACGAAACTGCATGAGCGAGGTCGGTACGTTTGTTCGCAGACTCGAGTACATCGGTGTCGGGGGAGGGGCGCCTCGTTCGTCGCTCTCGCTGCGGAGAGGAGGAGGGAGTAACCCTCGTTCAGCGGGAACTTCGGGAGGAGGAGCAGGAACGCTGTCACGCACCCGGGGCTCGCCACGGTCGCCCAACCCTCGTCGTCGAAGTGCACGTCGCATCTGCCCGGGTCGTCCTCGTAGCGCCATGCCCCTCCGACGCCTTGCCTCGCCTCGAGACAGACGACTTCGAATCCCGCCTCTGTCGCCTGCTCGCACGCCGCGAGTCCGGATGACCCCGCTCCGACGACCAAGCACCTGAGCGTGTGCTGCACCATGCCCCTGTGCAGTCCAGCGAGCAGTAGTCGGTTGTAATGTCCAGAGTTGTAATCAGTTTGTAATCGAACAAGTGGAGCCGGGTCGTGTCCCGATCTCCGTCTCGCCTTGGCACCTCGCTCAACTTGCACTCGCTGTCACCGCTCTCGCTCGCACAGCACACTGACAACCTCGCACTCGGCTCACACACTCGCACAGACTCGGATACAGCCCACCCGAACTCGAACGAGCGCAGCAGCCTCTCTCCCAGTCCAGCTCGCCGCGAATCTCCTAGCGCGCCCTCGCTCGCACCCACAACCGCATCGTCAGACTCGCCCGACCCACAGATAAGTCATGGATGAACCAGGTAAGCAGCCGTACCCACTCTACCCGCTCAGCACGCGCTGACGCCGTTCACCTCGCACCCTCCCGCACCTCGCTTGCCCCTCCCGCTCGTGACCATCGCACCTTGCTCACAGGCTTCCACGCTCGCCGCCGCGCCGAGCGCGAGCAGCGCAAAGCAGCCATCGACGGCAAGCTCGGACTGCACGGGATCAAAACGACCGCCCCTTTGGCCGACCAAGCAGAATTGCGCTCGAAAGTCGGCGTGCCAGACGACGCCAAGGACAGTGTTGCCGGCACGTACAAGGAGGAATACAGGCCTGTGCAGACGGTCGTTGACCACGAGGACGTGCCCGGACCGAAGCCGGCGCAGGGCACCGTCCCGAATGTCGAGCCGCTCAAGCATCGCCCGGGCACGAGCGACAGGCGCATGAGCCCGCATCTCGTCACCATGTGCGTTCAGTGCATTCGCATCTTGCTGGAGTTGCGCGATTAACCTTCGTCTGCCTCGTCGCAGGACCAACGTGATGCTCCGCTACGACACCTGCGTGAACAACGTCTGGCACGGCTTTGCGATGATCGTGACCTCCGACAGCGGTTCGGACTACTCTACCCCTCCCACCCTGACGCTCGAATGGGACGCCACAGGCGGTGCACTCGAGTCTCGTCTCTCGAACTTGCAGATCCACGAAATGCCGAAGAAGCACGAGGAAGAAGGAGTTGGACGCCGAACGATTACGGGACATAAGATCCAGACGTATTACTCGATGGCGGGCGGGCAGAGTTTCTGGAGGTTCAAGATTGAGGTGCCGATGGGCGAGCGCGAGGAGGAGATCTACTATTCCCTCAACGTGCGTCCGGACTTCTTCCCGCTTTACTAGTCTTGTATGCTGATGAACCGTCTTTGCGACGCAGAACGGACCGGAGAACTCGTTCTGGGTACCAGCAGCCGACCAAGAGTTCCGAGTAATGTACCATTCCTGGTGAGTCCTCGCTTCTCGCCTTTCAGCACAAGGGTGCTGGTACGTGCTCCTCGCTGATCGACGATTACCGCGTCTCGCAGCAACGGCTTCTCGTCCGGTGTCGACACCGCCGCGTTCAACGGTCCCGATCCGCTCTGGCGCGACGTCCTGCGCAAGCACGAGCAGAAGCCCATCGTGCGTCCCGTTCCCTTCCTTTCAGCCAAGCTTTCTTGACGACTAGCGCTCTCACAGCACGTCATGGTCGGCGGCGGCGACCAACTCTACTGCGACCCCTTGACAAAAGAACCGGAGATCGCTCCCTGGATCGCCGAAACGGACGTTGCGACAAAGATTGCGGCGCCTGTGACGGACGAGATGAAGTTTGCGCTGGACAGGTTCTTCTTCAACTGGTGCGTTATGCGAGGACCGACTCGTTTCGCGGTTTCTTCGAGCGAAGAATGGAAGCTGATCGTCACGGTCGTCGTCTTGTCGTAGGTACTGCTCTTGGTTCCGCGACGGCGCGTTCGGTATCGCCAACGGCAAGATCCCGATGCTGAACATGCTGTACGTGACCCCCTCGACTCGCTTCTTTGGCCATCTCAGCTAACGTTGCCTCCCGCTTCTCTCGCAGCGACGACCACGACATGATGTGCGTCTGTGCTATCATCCGAGAACACCGTAGCGGTCGAGCTGACTTTCGCTTCGCGACCCGTAGCGACGGCTTCGGCTCGTACCCGGACAACTTGCAGCGGTCACCTGTCTTCAGCACGATCGGCGCGACGGGCTACAAGTGGTTCCTGCTGTTCCAGAGTGCGTCACACGGCGAACTTTTCGCCGCTCAACTGCTCACCGTCTCTGCGCTGCAGTGTTCATCGTCGACGAAGTGGACGGCACCGCCGCCGACTCGGCCGTCGGCATCCCCTCCGTCTCGACCCACCCCTCCAAATCGCTCATCATCGGCGGGGAAGGCGCCTTCATCCCCTACCCGAATCACTCGTTCCTCTCGTACCTCGGTCCGAGGCAGTACATCCTCATGATCGACTGGCGGAGCGAGAGAAGGTTCGATCAGTTGGCGAGTCAGACGACGTATGACAGGTGTGAGAGGGCGGTCAAGGCTTTGCCGGCGGGTGTTGAGCACCTCGTTGTCCTTCTCGGTGCGTTCCACCGTCCTCGTCTTCTCGTTTCTCCGCTGACCCGACAGATGCATGCAGGCGTACCTATCGCCTATCCTCGCATGGTCGCGCTCGAGAACATCCTCGAGAGCAAGTTCAACCCGATGACGCTGCTCGCGCGAGCCAAGTTGATGCCTTCGGCCGTCAACAAGTTCAACGCGTTCGTCCTCCCTTTTCCTCCCTCCCCTTCCCCACTGACGCATGCTTCGGATCGCAGCGAAGCCGAGCTCAAGGACGATCTCGCAGACCACCCCTGCGCAGGCGACCACAAAGCCGAGCGGAACGCGCTGATCGAGCGGTTCCAGCGCTGGGCGGTCGGGAAGCACGTCCGCATCTCGTTCATGAGTGGGGATGTGCACTGCAGCGCGAATAGCAAGGTGCGTCGGGCGCTTATCGCCTCCAAAGAAGGAGAAGGCGGCTTGCTGACTCAGTCCGCGCAGTTCTACTCGAAGAAAAAGCTCGAGCCGGCGCAGGACCCGAAGTACATGTGTCAAATCATCTCGTCTGCGATCGTCAACACGCCTCCGCCCCCGCCTGTCATCTGGCTCGTCTCGAAGCTCGGAGGGAAGAAGCACAAGGTGAGTTCCCGCTCTCCTTCCCGTCGAGTCGAGCGAGTTGAGTAGGGAACTGATGACTTGGTGCGATGCAGACGCTGCACAAGATTGACACGGAGGAAGAGCTGATCCCTCTCTTCACCGAAGACGTGCGTCTGCTTCCGCCCTACTCGCTCGCCCTCATGTGCTCGCTCACACGACCTTGCCACGCAGACCGACGGCTCGAAGCCGAAAAGCAACACTGTCATGGGCCGCCGCAACTACTGTATGGGCGACTACGACCCGGCGACGGGCGACATGGTCTTCTCGCTCTGCATCGAGAAGAGTCAAGGCAGCGGCACCACCAAGGAGTACGTTCGCGCTTCCTCTCATCTTCGTCTTTCCTCATCTTCGCTTTGCGAGCTCAGCTGATGATTGCTCGCGAGCAGATACGTCGTCCGCACTCCCGCACCGCGCTGGTGATCCCTCGCTCTCTGCGTGCTGTCCATCCCGAATTCCCCTCCGTCTTGCGGCTACCCCTACTGCCTAGATTCCACACTTTAGTTGCGCGCCTAGTCTTGACCTGTATCCAGTGACCTTTCTCTTGTCCATTCTGCTCGCTCAGGCAGTTTTGGCCGGTCTTCCCCGGGCAAGAGCAAGGCAAAGGGCCTTTGCGCGGTCTGACGAGTGTCGATGGCGTGCTGCCAGGGCGCGTACGAAGTCGGGAACCTGCAAGTCGCTTCTGAGCCAACAACCGTGAGGTCCAAGAGGACAAGGAGGGGCAAGTGGGCGTTCTCGCTGCTACCACCACCTCGCTCGCTCAGAAGTCGCTTGTGCTGTGCTGCACCGCTGCTCGATTCCAATCTAAGCATCTCTGCGTCGCATCAAGCACTCCCGCCTCGCCTCCATCCTCCGTCGCCTCCTCATCTCCCCTCATCAGTCAGCTCCGAACCGGCACACGCACGCCCTCTAGAAGCCCCGCGAAGCGTCACAAGTCACCTTCAAGCTCCTCCACTGCCTCCCCGCTCCCGTCATGCCTCCCAAAGCCGACTTGAACAAGGCCGGGCACGAGTCGAGTGACTTCCCCTCGCTCTGCAACGTCTGCCTCGGTCCAAACCCGTGCGTGCATCTCATTCCAGTCTTTGTGGGTATGCGAGCTGACTGGTCGGCGCGCCACAGCTACATCCGCATGTCGAAGCAGCCTCTCGGTGCCGAGTGCAAGGTCTGCACCCGGCCATTCACGGTGCGTTCCTCTGCGGCCGCTGCTGTGGGATGTATGAGCTGACACGTCTCGATGCAGGTCTTCCGATGGCTGCCAGGACAGGGCATGCGGTACAAGAAGACGGAGATCTGCCAGGTCTGCGCAAAGGCCAAGAACGTCTGCCAGACCTGCCTGCTCGACTTGCAGTTTGGTCTGCCGACGCAGGTCAGGGACACGGTGTTGGGCGTACAGTCAAAGGCGCCGACGAGCAATATCAACCGGGAGTACTATGCTCAAAACCGTGAGTCTGCTCCAGTTCGCTCCATTGTGCTTGTGCTGACGCGTTGGTCTCACAGTCGAGAAGGCGCAGGAGGAAGGCGGCGCATCGGGCGCGTTCCAGTTCGGCAAGGCGGACAGCGCAGGACGCGACTTGCTGAAGCGATTGGCGCGCAACGACCCGACGTACAAGCGGAATCGTCCCCACCTCTGCTCGTTCTACGCCAAGGGCGCGTGCAACCGCGGCGATGCGTGTCCGTACAGGCACGAGCTGCCGGTCGAGAACGCGCTGAGCCATCAGAACATCAAGGATCGATGTGAGACTGTATTTCGGCCCTTTCGAGCGTTCAAGTTGCTGATCCACTCTCTCGCTCAGACCACGGCAACAACGATCCTGTCGCGCGAAAGATCCTGGCGAAGCACGCTGGCGAGGCAGGACTTGCGCCTCCCGCGGACACCGACATCGTGAGTACGGCCTCGCTTCCTTCGAGCGACTTCTGCTAACACCGCCTTCCTGCAGACCTCCCTCTTCCTCACCTCCCTCCCCGCGACAGCAACTGAAGACGCAATCCGGCATTGGTTCACCGCGACCGCCGGCCTGCCCGACAACAAGCTCAAGTCGATCGTGCTCGTCTCGGCGTCCAAGTCGGCTTTCGTCAACTTCCGCGATCGCGACGCCGCCGAGATGGCAGCAGAGAAGTGCAGCGTCGGCGTCAAGGTCGATGGACACCCGGTCAAGGTGCAGTGGGGCAGGAGTCGGCCGAAGAAGACGGGAGGAGGCGGTCCTTCGAAGCCGGCGGGCGAGGTCTCTCAGCGCGAGATCGAGGCGACTGGGAAGTAGGCGTCGTTGACGCTGTTGTAACAGTCCTTAACATTCCGCTTAACCCTCGTCGTGAGCGAGTTGGTTCATCAGTTCTGGCGAGGCGGTGCATATCTCTCCCTTGTCCTCCTTCCACTCACTCTCGCTCAGCTCGTGGACGATGACGACTGCTACGCTAGACGAGAACGACGTCGTCAGAGCGTTCCACGCCATCACCCGCTCTGCACTGGCCCAAGCCCGCGCGGAGGGTCTCTTGACGACGGACGAACTCGAGACGGCTGGTGAGCTCGTCTCGCAGTTCGTACGGCGCTGTTTGGCTGACAGATCGACCCTACAGACGTCGACGTTCAGGTGGCAGGCCCGTCGCTCGCCCTCTTCTTCGCCGCACTCAGCGCTCGAGGGAACCCTCCTTCAATCACCAGCCCGGATGGCTCCTTCGCCCTCACCTCCTCCAACTGTCCCGCGCCTTTCGCCAATGCCTTCCGGCTATGGCAGACAAGTGTACCGAAGATCCAGGGCTTCCCGTCAGATGCACGGCACGACCTCGCCCTTGTTCTGTGCGACAAACCGGCAGAGTCGAGTCCGTTGCGGCTAGATGTTGCACGAACAGCGGCCGATCTGAAGGGAATCGCACTCGAGATCTTGCAGGTGCGGCGCTTACTTGCATGTCAGGCGGGTCTGGCTAACGAACTGTTCCCGCAGCGCCGAACCTTTCAAGACCGCTTTCAAGCCGACCTACAAGCCGCTCTCGACTCCGCACGACCACGACGAAGCGGCGAGTCACAACGGGCGAGGACCCATTACGAACCGCCGCCTATGTACAGCGAGGGCGAGCCGACGGAGGAGACGAAGCGAGCGTATGGTCACATCGCTTCGAGCGGTCACCGTGATTCGTCAGAGGAGAATGCGAGGGTGGCGGCGGTTGAGCAGCAGGGACTGGAAAATCTGTCGCTGATCAGGGAAACGCTCTACTCGGGTGGGTTTCGCCCTGGGGCTTCGCGAACTTTTGCTGACCCCTGGAAGCGCACAGCTCTCGCCGACGTCCTTGTCGAGACGCCCTCTATCCGACAGATGCTGAGCCGCGGTCCGGAATGGTCCGCCAAGGCATTCTTCGCTGCGACTTGTCTCGCTATCGTCGAAGTCGCCCTGTCTCGAATCGACCGTCATGGCGTGCGAGCGGTAGACCTCGGCAGGACGTCTCCAAAAGTCATCGGACTGAACGAGACGCCAAGTACGCTGCTTCGCTCGTTCAGGCTGTAAAGGCTAAAGACTGACTCTCCCGTGCTTTCGCGTAGCCCATCTTCGCCCTTTCCTCAGCCGCCTCATCGAAGTCTCTCAAGCTCTGCGCACTCTGGCAGTTGCAGACGATGCTCGAGCCGTTCAAGAAGCGACGGAAGGCGTCGAGCAGCTCACGCCGCCCAAACTCGACCGTCTCAAGGAACGGCTCGCGAAGGGGATTGGCGCTGAGGAGACCCTCTCCAGCGCGCGCTCGAGCGTTGATGGCGAAGTTGCGGGCCTCGCTAACGCCATCAACACTCTCGCCCTCGGTGCGTTCAGCCCGTGGCGTTCCAATCTTCATGCAGAAGCGCTGATCCCTCCCTCTTGCAGGCATGTCCGCCCTCCCGGCCTTCCGCGAACGCCAAGCGCAGGCTTTCCAAATCCTCGTCTCTGTCACGTCCCTCTAAATACCCGCTCGCTCGTCTGATCACCTCTGTCGGAATGTTCGTCGCAACCTCGCATCCTCGCACCGACGTGTACCTCGGACTTATTCTGTCATACCTGTGTAAAGCGTGTAGCGTTCTGCCTGAAGCTTACGCGCGCTTTGCGAAAGTCGACTTGCCAACTCGCAATCTCCGCGCTCTTCCACATCGTCGCATACAAACATGCAGCCCCTCGCTTCGACGTCTGCTGCGGGCTCTGAACAGTTCGACACGCCTTCGCCCATCGACGTCGCGCCTGCCCCGTCCAGCAAGGGAAAGAAGAAGGAGCGGGACGACGAGGACGACGGGGACGACGGCGTCAAACCCCCCGTCAAGAAGCGCAACCGCAAGGTGCGCCTCGTTTGCCTACGGATCAGAACCGCATACTGATACTGTGCGACGCAGCCCGTTACTTGCGCCCGCACGTTGCCGTCTTCCGCGTCTCACGACTCCAGCCCCACTGACATCCGTTTGCACCGGCTTTGACATGCACAGAGTGCCGCAGGAGGCGAGTCCGTCCACTCAGTCTCCTCTTTACACTTGCTTACACGTCTGCGTGCCCGCAGGAAGCTCAAATGCGACCGCGGGTACCCTTGTTCGTCTGCTCTCCTCCTCCTCTCCCTTCTCTCTCTTGACTGACCAGCCTATATCTCTACGTACAGGCGGAGCATGCCGCGACAGGGGAGAAGGCCACATGTGCGACTGGGGAGATGCGATTCGTTTGCCTCAGCCGTGCGTGCGCCCTTCACCTCCGTCTTCCTTCTCAATGCTGTACTCCCTCTAGGTGCCGCCACTGACCTCTCCTTCCTTGTCCTCGCCACCACAGCCACCTGACCCGCGATGCCGAAGCGCAAGAACTCCGTCTCCAGCTTGACCGCCTCGAAGGCCTCCTCGGCGCTTTGAGCGGACACCCGATCGCTGCTGCTGTCGGCCTCGCAGGTCCTCCTGGCGCCGCAGCTGGCGGACCGAGTGCGGGAATGGCTGAGGAGAACGCTGCCGAGGCTCTGGGTCTGCTTGCGGTACGTTTAGCGCCTTAAGGCGAAGCGATTGTTCCGCTCACATCCTCCGCTTCGCAGGCAAACTCGAGCACGACAGCTGCGGGACCGTCGAGCATGTCGTCTGCTGCGCACCGCGCGCAGGTGCTCGCGAACAACCCGACCGTCTCGCACCTCGTCGCCCTTCTTCCGCCAAAAAAAGAGGTCAGTTCCAGACGCGACCTTCTCGTTCCGCTGAGACTGAGTCGCTCATCTACCGTACAGCTCGAGACGCTCGTCAACCGTTTCCTCAACAACGAGCACCTGTACTTCCCGATCGTCCACGTCCCGACGTTCCAAGCGCGACTCGCTGCCTTCAACGCCAGCAACGCGACCGAAGCGCCGCTTTTCCTCGGCCTCATCTTCGCCATGCTCGCGCACGAGATGGGCTGCCAGGCGACTGAGCCTGGAGCGACGAAGAAGGCGGTGCTTGAGAAGGAGAACGCGGGCAAGCGGTTCTGCGAGGCGGCGCTCGAGGCGCTGAGGATGGGCAGGTGCGACGGTCGTCCTTCGGCCTCTTCTACCGCTCGCTGACAATGCTAGTGTCCATAGCTACCTGGAGCAGCCGACGTTCGACGCTGTCCGCGCATTGCTCGTCATACACCGTTTCAGCGAGCAGAACATGGATGCCCGCAGCACGCATTTCCTCAGCCAGGCTGTCCAGCTTGGTCAGGTGCGCACACCAGACATTTTCGACCTGCGTTCCTACGCTGACATCCCGCTTGATGCAGATGATTGGCTTGGTGAGGATCGTGCTCGTCGTTCTTGCGAAGCGCCGCTCACCGATCTTCTTGCTTGCAGAACCGCGACACCGCCGGCGTACCCGGGATTTCAGTCATCGAAGTCGAGGAACGCCGCCGCGTCTGGCACATGCTGCTCGCGGCCGACTGGCTCGACTGCTCGGGACGCCCGTCTGCGATCGCGACTTCGCAATTCGACGTCAAGCCGTTCACCGACGCTTACGACGCCGACATCACGCCCAATGGTATCACGGCTCGTCCCTTCCCAGCTTTCACGCCGACTCTGCTGCTCGGCGTACAAGGTCACCTTGCCGCGATCGCCCACAACATCAGCGAGACCGCCTTTGCCGTCAAGGGCGCCCTCCCGCTAACCTGCAAGTTCATCGACGACCAGAACGCTGCTCTCGCGGGCGTCAAGGCGAGCTTGCCGGCTTTGCAGTTCGGCGGCGACGCAGTGATCCCGCTGGACCAGGCGAACTTTGCGTCCGACCGCTTCCGCGTCCAGGCGCATTCGGCGGCGCTGCAGCTCACCATTCGCTTGAATCGCCCGTTGTGAGTCGCTATGCGTGTTCCGGTTGACCTCGTTCACCAAGCTTGACCCGCGCAGCCTCGCTCGCGGCTTTGCCGACCCTCGCTTCGCCAAGTACCGCCATGCGTGCTTGTCGGCAGCGTGAGTCGGGACTCTCTTATTTGTTACGTCGGACGCGCTGACTGATCTATGCTTCGCAGGCAAGAGTTGCTGGGCCTCTTCCTCGGCTACGACGACGCCCATCCCGTTTCCCGGTTCGCCTTCCTCACATACCACTGCTTGAACGCCCTCCTCATTCTTGCCGTCGACTTCTTCAGTTCGTTGCCTTCGTCGGTTCGCGAATCGGACAATACGCTAAATTCCCCTTCGTGCAGACGACCCTCACGGCCTGTATGCCGAGAAAAACCGTCGCTTGATCGGTCAGGCGTTGCTTCGCTTGCAGGGAAGGGAGATGGCGCCGGTACTTGCGGAGGTCCTGCGGATCGTGGCCGTGCTCATGAAGGTCGTTCAGTCGCAACCGCAGCGTAAGCCTGTCCTGCTTGATCCTCGTCCTTCCGAAGCACAGTTTTCGACGCCTTCGTTCGCAGGACCCGCCGCCGCTCCGCCGACAAGCTCCGCGCCTCTCGCCGCATCGACAAAGCTCGTCCACCCCCTGCCGTCGCCCCTCACGAACGATCCCTTCGCCTCGAACCGCCTCGACGCGCTCGCTGCGTCGTCATCCGTGCCTGACCTCGCCAAGATCTGGACGACCCTTGCGACGTCTTTCAAGACGATGTACGGTACGCCGGACTTTGAGGAGTGGAGGGAGCTCGTCAAGGTTGGTGCGGGAGCGAAGGAAGTGTGGAGTGCAGGTGTGGGACTCATTGCTGCATGATGGGCTGGTGAGGATTGCAAACGGAGAGGTGAGGAGACCGCTTGGTGGCAGGAAGGGAACAGCACGCTTGAAGAGACATTCCTGAATCTCCCGTTGGTGATATCTTCGCCACGAGCGAGCAAGCGAGCAGTGTCTAGACGCGCAGAGTTGATTACAGGAGCTGGACAGCGGGAAACAGAAACAACGGAACAGACGAGAAGAGAGGGAGAGGAAGCGAGCGACCGGTCGTTCAGTCGGCGAGGTCCTGGAAGGTCCGCTGGATGTCGGCGTGCAGCTGGTTGATCTCCTTCTCGATCGGCTCCTGGCCGTCTGCCGGGTCGAGGAACTTGAGCTGCGTCAGGCGGTAGTAGAGGTCGCTCGTGGCGTCCTTGACGCGCGACCAAGTCGTCCCCTCGCTGTCGACTGCCTTGATTGCCGCTTCGTAGTACGCGATCATGCACTTGAGCATGCCGGTCTGCGAGCAGGAGAGAGGAATATGCGGCCAGGAGAGTCAGTACACCAAGACGAGGGTGAAGTGCGAGAAATGCGAGCCGCGAGGGAGGGAGGGAACTCGACTCGCCGTCTTGTAGAACGGGCAGTAGCGGTCGTACGTCGAGATGCCGTTCTGTTGGAGGAAATCTTCCTTGAGGAGCCTCGCAACGTCGAGGACTACCTTGTCATCCTCGCCGAGCGAAGACTTGCCAACGAGCTGTACGATCTCCGCCAGCTCGTTCTCCTTCTGCAAGATCTCCTTCGCGAGGTTGCGGTAGTGCAGGAAGTCGGGCTCGGTCTCCTCGTAGTACGGCTGCAGGACGCGGGTGCTGCAAGTCGTTCTCGTCAGTTCCGACGCCACCAGGGCTGAATCAGCGACAGAGATACGCACTAGTTCGAGTACGAGACGTTCCAGTTAACGGACGGGAAGTGCTTGCGCTGGGCGAGCTTCTTGTCGAGGCCCCAGAAGACCTGGACGATACCGAGCGTCGCGGTCGTGACGGGGTCGGAGAAGTCGCCACCGGGGGGAGAGACGCTGTGTGAGGACGTGTCAGTACGCGCTCGCAAAGGTAAAGCGAAGGGAAGGCAAGGGAAGTCCGCCGCCTCCTCCGCTCGTTCCTGCAAGCCCAGACTCACGCTCCGATGATGGTAGTCGAACCGGTACGGCGAGGCGATCCCAAGCAGACGGCTTTGCCGGCACGCTCGTAGAAGGAGGCGAGCTTGGCGCCGAGGTAGGCGGGGTAACCCGAGTCGGCCGGCATCTCTGCGAGACGTCCCGAGATCTCGCGCAACGCTTCCGCCCACCGCGACGACGAGTCGGCCATCATGGCTACATTCCTCCCCTGGTCGCGGAAATACTCCGACAGCGTGATGCCCGTGTAGATCGAAGCTTCACGGGCAGCCACAGGCATGTTCGAAGTATTCGCGACCAGGGTCGTGCGCTTCATGATGGGTTCTTGCACGCCGTTGACGTCGATAGAGAGCTCGGGGAAGTCCATCAACACCTCAGCCATCTCGTTGCCGCGCTCACCGCAGCCGACGTAGACGATGATGTCCGAGTTGGAGAACTTGGAGACGGCTTGCGAGATGACCGTCTTGCCGCAGCCGAACGCGCCAGGGATGGCCGTCGTGCCGCCTTGGACGCAGGGGAAAAGCGAGTCGAGGACGCGTTGGCCGGTGAGGAGGGGGTAGTTGGCTTCGAGCTTTTCGCCGGTCGGACGAGGGGCGCGGACGGGCCAGAGCTGGAGCATGGTGTGCTGGGTCTTCTTGCCCTCGAACTCGGTCTCGAGGACCACGTCCTGATGAGCGAGACGGAGGTCAGTCGCGGCTCAGACGATTGGAAGCGAGTCCAACACACCTCGACGCTGTACGATCCCTTCTCCGCAATGTGCGTAACCGTTCCCATCCCGCGCGGGTTCATCATGATCTTGTGCTCGCTGACCAGCGAGTTCTCGTAGACCATGCCGAAGATGTCGCCGCCCGCAATGTGGTCGCCGACCTTGAAGTTGACCGGGTCAAAGTCCCACTTGATGCCCCGGTCGAGAGCGTCGGTGTTGATGCCGCGGGGGATGTAGATCGACTCGGACTTTTCGGCGATGGCTTTGAGCGGGCGCTGGATGCCATCGTAGATGTTCGACATGAGACCTGTTGGACGAGTGTCAGAGAGCCGCCTCAACCACAAGCCGCAACCTTGGACACAGTAGTAGCGACTGTGCAGCAACGGCCGGGCCTCGCGGAAGTAACCGACGCACCTGGACCCAACTCGACCGACAACGGCTTCCCTGTCCGCAAAACCGGATCGCCAATCGTCATTCCCGACGTCTCCTCGTACACCTGGATTGTCGCCTTGTCGCCGTCGATACGGATGATCTCGCCGACGAGCCTGCAGGCGGACAAGATTAGCGAGGCGATACCAAGAGAAGGTGAAATTTGACGCACTCGTCGTGGCCGACACGGACGAGCTCGTACATGGCGGCACCGGCCATCTTCTCGCTGTGTTCGACAAACTGAAGTCAGTGCCGCCTCACAGGGAGCGGTCGTTTCCCGCCAAGCGAACGAGAGGAACGTACGCAATCACGACAGGTCCCGACACGGAAAAGACGGAGCCGAACTTGGACTCGCGCTCCTCGTCTGCTCGGTGATAATAAAGACGCGAGTCGGATGGAGCATACACGGACACGATACGAGGGTGTCAGTGTCGGAAGCGAGGTTCGCGAGGTGGAGCAGCAAGTGTCGCTGGCGGCTGGCGACGCACCCTGGATCCTGATCGTCTTCTTCGCATTCTGCATTGCGCCAGCCTGTGTTCCTCGCGCACTGTCAGCCTCGTCTGCCTCATCTCGGCGTCGAGCGGTGCGTTCGCGGGGACAGAGCGATGACGGACCATGTTGGGCGGAGAGAAAGGGTGGCGGGCTTTGGAGATGCGAGAGAGGGTCTGAAAGGGAGTCTGTAGCGCTAGAACCAGCAAGCGAAAGTGCTCAGCTCGCAAGCTCACGTCGCAGGCGAGAGCGAGCGTCCCAAGATGAGGACGGTCGAGTTGTATTCAGTTGCATTACACTCGATTTTGTATTGAGCCATTACAACCGCCAACTCTCCCATCGTACGAAGGCGAGAACAGGACTGGACAATCTCCAGTAGCCTCCTGCAGAACCCCGTCCAACCACAGGACGCAAGCGAGGTCGAGAGACGACCCTCCTCCTCATCGCTCGCAGGTTGACCTTCGCTTCAGCGCCTGCTCGCGCGCACAGCCAGCTACTGGACTCGCCTAGTCTCTGCTAGACAGCCAAAGTTGTGTCAGACGCGCCCTCGACCCCCCGCGCACTCCCGCCGTCTCGCCGCCGCCCCCGAGTTGATTGACCTCTCCCTCGACCACAACATCCCGCTCACCCCGCTCAGATGGCACCGCCGACGCCAGGAAGGCAACGTGGGCCGAGACCGCAGGTCAACAACAACATTGGCGAGGCTGGCAGGTGCGTCGAGCGGGTCCTCGCCGTCTGTTGTGACGGTCGCGTATACTCGCCCATGCGCGCGACCGGCCCTCTGCTATCGCGAACAGTCACTCACGGTCGCGGATGCGGACAGAACTACCAACATCGCACCACCAAAGGGCGTGCCGCGCGACTCTGCCGGCCACGAACGACCCGACGCCTTCTTCAGCCGCGCCGACGGCGGCGAGTACAGCGACGATGACGAAGAGTTTGGCGACATGGTGCGCCGGCATCCGCCCAAGCAGGCGAGCGCGAAGAAGAAGGTCGTCAACGGGGCGAGGGGTGCAAGGGGGGAGAGACCGGACAAGTTCATCGCGGGAGAGGATCGTGGGCGGTGCGTCCGTTCCATTCTCTGAGCGAGTTGCGCGTGCTGACAACGTGGATACACAGGAAAACGGGCGTGACGAAGGCCGTCTCGCAGCGCGACGCCGATGGCTTCGAAGACCTCGACAACTTCTTCCACTCTTCCTCGCCCGCTCGATCAGTCGCCACGACCGCCGCCAGCCGCTCTACAGTCAAGAAGCGGCGAGAGACGCAGCTGTTCAGGCGGGAATCGCCAGATTACGCGGAAGAGTACCAGGAGGAGGATGACAGCGACATGATGGTAGACGACGGTTCGTTTCGCTCGCTTCCTGCTGCTCAACCTCGCGCTGACACGACTTGGAAAAGGTACATCGCTCTCGCCGACGACCTATCAGCGCCAACACCCATCCTCCGCCCGCGCTCCATCCTCCCTCCGACATTCGACCAACGCTTCCGGCGCGCACTCCGTCTCCCGCAAAGGCCTCCATCACTCCTCTCCGGCCGTCAACGGCTCAGCCAAGTCGAACCGCAGAAGGCTGTCGGACCTCTCGGCCGGAGACGACGAAGATGAGTACGAGGAGGCGCAGGATGAAGGCGAGCAGGACGAGCAGAGCGAGGACGAGGACGAGGATGAGGTTGTGCGCGCTACGTTGGGCGCAGACCGGTTTAGCGGGTCGCCGAAGAGGGTCGACATGGGGAAGGGCAAGGCGCGAGCACGCGACGAGGATGAGGACGACGAAGAGGAGGAGGAGGACGACCGCCGGCCGGCGAAGAAGCGCAAGTCGGTCGCTTCGAACCGTCGGACCAGCGGAGGCGGAAGCTCGAATGTCGGCTCGCCGACGGGCTTGATGAAGCTCGACCGAAACGGTCGGCCGGTTCAGGTCGTCGACCGCAAGGGCAAGGGCAAGGCCGTCGATCGGTCTCCTTCGCCTGCCGAGGACGACGAACAGCAGTTCGAGCAGCAGGACTACTACGACCAGGATTTCGGCGGCGGGTACGACGATGAGGAGGAGCAGCAGGCTGGCGAGCAGTTTGACTTCCAGGATGGGGCCGACTCGCAGGATGAGCAGCAGGACGACGAGGAGGAAGAGGACGAACAGCCGGTTGCGGGTCCTTCGTCGCGTCCGTACAAGGCTGCGCCGAAGAAGAAGGCGAGCAAGGCCACCAAGGCGACGAAGGCGAGCAAGACGACCAAGGCGACGAAGCCCTCGTCCCGCCGTGCTCGCGCATCGTCGTCGGAGGACAGCCCACCGCGCAAGGCTAATCAGCGGTCGAGGAAGGGCCCGGGTCTGAAGGCGCCGCAGCCGATTATCGAAGCCATCGACAGGCATTACAGGGAGGCCGGCACGATCGAGATTGACGGCGGTGCGTACTCGTCCTTCAATCGAACAGTTGGTCGCACATGCTGACGCCTTGCGCACTGCAGTCCGGCGGACGACCCGCGAGCGATACGGCCGCCTCGAGTACTGGCGCAACGAGCGCGCCATCTACAACCGACGACAGTCCGGCCTCGGCCTTCAAGCTGTCGTCCGCGTCCCGAAGGAGGAGCCGGCCCCATTGACTAAGGCCGGCGCAAAAAAGGGTACGCGCGCAAGGCGCGGGACCAGCGCCAAGCCGCACAGCCGGGGCAAGTCGGTCAAGTACGAGCCGCCTGAAGAGGAAGGCTGCGACGACATGACAGATCCGGATGGCCTCGTCTGGAGCTGGGAGGGCGATGCCGAGACTTCGCGGCGTAAGTTCCGCCTGTCTCCGTCGTCCCGAGTCGTGCTGACCGTCTCTTGCACGCAGGCATTGCTTTCACGGCCAAGATGATGGACCCGAAGCCGACGTTCGACGGCAAGTTCTCGTACCAGAAGATCTACCAGGAGCTCGACTACCTCGCCGGCGGCGTCCTCAACATCCCGCCTGGCGGCGAGAAGGGCCTCAAGCCGTCCAGGGACAACTCTTATGTGCGTGTCGTCATCATTAGGCGGTCGCGAAGCGCTGCTGACGGGATGCGCGCCCGCAGATCTTCTACGTTATCGAAGGATCCGTCTCAGTCTTCTGCCATCGCACGCGCTTCACCATTGGCCCGTGAGTCCTATCCTTCTTAAGATGAGTAGCACGCACGCTTATGCGGCATCTCCTGCAGCGGCGGCACCTTCTTCATCCCGCGCGGCAACACCTACCAGATCGTCGCGACGTCCAACCGCGAAGTCAAGATGTTCTTCGCGCAGGGCCGCCGCGTCATCGAATACGAGGACGGCAGCTCGCGCAACGACACCAAGTCGGGCAGCCAGCAGTTCGTCCAGTCGCAACTCGAGGCGGTCGAGGAGGAGGAAGAGGAGGAGTGAGGTGGACGCTCCCGCCCGCGGGTGCACCTACATCGCCAAAATGTCGCCAACGTCTCTACATACGATTCTATACACCTTCTAGCAGTACACATACCCCTCACCTAACGAATTATCGTAAAATCCCGTTGGAACTTGGTTGTCGTCTCATTCTACCGGCGTCCGGGCTTCGTCCGTCTGTCCCTGCTGCTCGTGCGTCGCCGTCAGAGCTCCTTGCAGTCGTCGAGAGTCGGCCGCCAGGTGCACGCCAAGTGTTGAACAACACTCCCCGCGTCCTCGACGCGCAAGGCGTTTGCGCTTCTCGATCATCGCCCTTCTCGCGCCCGCTGGCTTGGTTCGTCGCTTGGACGGCTTGGACGACGTTGAATCGACGCTGTGCTCTGTACTGTACCATTCACTCGACCCACGCATTCCGCCCGCCGACGTACGCACCCGCCGGGTTCTCCGACCCAAGTCCACGCGACCCGCACGACCCCTTCGCTCCTTTCCACCCGTCCGACCTTGTCCAGGCGACGCTTTCTCACTCGTTTCGACACCTTCGACACTGCCAGCCATGCATCTTTCGCTGGCGCTCACCTTCGCAGCGACCGCCTCGACGGTCGCTTCCGCTCGTTTCGACCGCCCACACCACCGACGCTCAGCTCGTTCGCACCATTCGCTCTCCAGGCGAGAGGCATTCCGTTACTTTGCCCCGCCCGAAGGCGTCGCGCAGGCCGCGCCGCAGTCGTTTGCGGTTTCGTTCGACTCAGAAGAGGGACAGGAGGAGGAGGAACGCTTCGAGTTGCCCGAGGGTATCGTCGCACTCCGCAAGCGCGATGTCGAGTTGCCCGTCATCTTCGACCAGATCGGCAACGTCGTCGGCCAGATTGGCACGGCGATGAAGCTCGCCATGCCCATCAAGCTCGCTTCGAACGACAAGACCGCCTCGACGTCGAAGAAGGAGGACGCCGCTCAGCTCAAGGAGACTGTCGCGCAGCGCAAGGAGAAGGCTGCTGCCAAGGCAAAGGAGGAAACGTGCGTCTCTGTTGTCTGCGCGTTCTCGAGCGTCGAGTTGACTTGGCCTCTCGCAACTCGAACAGTGCTGCCAAGGCCAAGGCGTCCGTCGCGAACCCTGTAAACCGCAGTCTGCGCTTCAGTCGCTAACGCTTCGCTGACTGCTCGCAGAGAGGCCGAGAAGAAGGCGCAGGACGCCGCTCACGCGAAGGAGCTGTGCGTTTCGATTTTCCTTTGTCTCGTCGTCGAGGTGAGCTGACCCGTGTTGGCCTTTTCCCAGTGCTGCTGCGAAGGCCAAGGCTGATGCCGAAGCCGCCGCGAAGGAGAAGAAGCGTCAAGCCAAGCTTGCCGCGAAGAAGCTGTCCGTTGTCTCCTCTCTTCAGCCTCGCCGCTCTGCGCTGACCATTTCTCCCCCTGCAGCGCCGCGAAGAAGAAGGCCGAAGCCGAAGCTAAGGCGCAGGAAGAAGCTGCAGCGAAGGCGTGAGTCGCCAACCTTCGCCTTGACCTTGTCTCTAGACTGACCTTCTCCCTCCATAGCGCCGCCGAGAAGATGGCGGAGGAGGAAGCTGCCGCGAAGAAGGCGTACGTACTCGTCGCCAATGTCGTAACTGCACTTGCTGACCGCTCGTTCATTCCGTAGTGCCGCTGAGAAGGCGTGCGTCTCTTTCGCTCTCAACGCCCTCCCCGCGATTGTAGCTGACTGACATGCTCGCCTACGCGCAGTGCCGCGGCAAAGAAGGCTGCCGAGCAGAAGAAGGCGGTCGAACAGAAGCAGGCCGAGGAGTGAGTGCCGGTTCCCTCGAGCCCGTCTCGTCTCGAGTCCCGTTAACTCCCGCTCTTCACAGGGTCGCCGCAAAGGCTGCAGCGGACAAGGCTGCTGCCGAGAAGAAGAAGGCTGACGAAACGTGCGTTCGACTTTTCCACCGCCGTCTCCCTTCTTGCCCTGACTCTTTCCCGCCGCCAGCGCCGCCGCCAAAGCCGCCGCCGCCAAGGCCGCCGCCGACAAGGCTGCTGCTGAGAAGAAGGCGTCGAGCAAGAAGCAGGCCGACTCGAGCAGCGGTTCGCAGCTCACGGCCGTCGGCGGCAAGAACGTTCGTCCATGCCTGACCTTCCTCTGCATCTTAAGGCACTGAACCATACTCTCCTACAGCCTGTCGGCCTCATCGGCTTCCACTCGTCGAACTGCGGACCCAGCGGCGCGACGGAAGAGAACCCGAACGGATCCGAGGAGTTCCTCAACTGCGGCATCTCCAAGTCGTCGCCCGACTCTGGCTGGACACCTCCGCAAGGCGTCACCCTTGACCATATCTCCACCGTCTCGATCGAGCACGCCCTCGCGACCAACCCGGTCTGGGAACCGTGCAAGCCCTTCATCCCGCTCTTCGAGAAAATCGGCAAGGAGACGGGTCTTCCTCCCATTCTCCTTGCCGCATTCGCGCTCCAGGAGAGCACCTGCAACCCCCACGTCCTCGGCGACAATGGCGGCGCGTTCGGCTTGATGCAGATCACGCAGGACAAGTGCGGCGGCCGCGACAACTACGGCTGTGCCGAGCCCGAGTACAACGTCAGGACGGCCGCGAACTACTTCAAGCAGGAGCTGGCCAACCAGGGCGGAGATTTCCTCGTCGCCCTCGGCGCCTACAACGGCTGGTACAAAGGGATGTCGTTCCACTCGGCGACGGCCAAAGCGAATACGCCAGCTTGCCAGCAACAAAATAATCTTGACTACCTTTATCAGATGACGGCGGGGTGGTTAAGGGGTCGTACGGGGTACGAACTGGGATCGTACAGGAACCTCGCCCTGTGCTCAAACCAGTCCTAAGTCTCCCCTCTCCCTTCAACCTTCCGACGTTCCCGCGCACCTTATCCTTCGTCTTCTTACCTGTCTGCACGCTGTGCGTGCCCCCGATACCCCTCCCCCGACGTTGTTCGTCCTCGAGCCGCACCCATACCCTCCTTACCCTTCCTTCCTAGGATCGTATCTACCCTCCTTTCACAGCTGCAACGAGTCGAGCTCGTATTTGCGCTCTCTATATGCGCCTCTCTGAGCTGCGGAGGCGGGAGGACGAGAGGGAAAGTGTCTGTTGCACAGCGATCCGGGAGAACCTCTACACCCTCACAGCGACATCGCCTCCGACTCCTCTCCCGCCACGCCGTCAACGCTAATGCCCCTCACTGTGACCTGCACGCCGCCCTGACCTCCGCAACTCTGCATCTCGCGGCCGAGGTCGACGAAGAACTCGCCTTCTTTCGTATAGTCCTTGACCTCCTTGACCTGCTCTCCTCCTGCGCCCGACGCTGGTCGCACGATAACTTGATAGCAGTGCGCCCATGCTGCGCCTGCGAAGCAGATCGCTGGTCCGCCTCGAGCGGGGACGGTCCAGGGTTTCGACGGTGCGGGAGGGACGGGAAAGCGAGACGGCGGTTTCTGGCCGTTGATCTTGAAGGATGCTGTGCGGATGGCCGAGACGATGGAAGCTTCTCGTGCGTCAAATTCGTGGTGAGGCGAGTCTTTCCAGCCGGGGATGTCTGCAGGAAGCGAAGTCAGCTCGAGAGGGAAGCGAGGTAAGTCGAAGCGAGCTGCGCACGGTATGACCAGTGTCCGTCGCCTTCTCCGTGCGTCTTGTGACCGCCGCCAGCCGAGTGCGGGCGGAGCGACCAGGCGAGCGAGCCGGCGCCTTCGGGAAGAGCCAAAGTGAGCCTAAGGGCGGTCTGGTAAGTCCTATATGGCGGACGCACCTCCAGCCGAATCTACAGCACTCATGAAGGAAGCGTAATCGTCGGCCTTCGAGAAGAAGCCGAACTCGCCGGCAATAAAGCTGAAACGGCGAAGGTCAGCAAGGCATGAGAAAGTCTGCCGAACCGCACGTACACCTTGTTGTGCCGCTTGGCAATCTGGCAGTCCTTGTTGACGCGCCGGATCTCGCCGTTGCCGTAGTAGTGGTACGAGACGATATCGACATCCCCGCTCTCGAGTACCTCCTTCTGATAACACCGCTCGGGATCATCGTTCCTCGCAAACGACCCATCCATGACGAGCGTCCTCGGCGCGCGAGACTTGAGGTGCTTGGCGACGACGAGCGTCCAGGATGCGGGCGCAGGACGCATCCCGAGGTGGTTCATCTCGTTGCCGGTCTCCCAGGCGAGGATGGTCGGGTCGTCGCCGTAGCGTCGGCCATTGATCGAGTTGACGCGGTTGACGAGGAAGTCGATGATGAGCTTGAAACTGTCGAGCGAACGTGAGTTTGACACGCATACGGAGGTGGCGCAGGGAAAGGAACGCACCTCTCGATCATGGTGTGGTCAGTCCACCAGTCGATCCGCCTCGCCTCGTCGTTCGAGCCGAGTCCGTAGCGATACCGCGTCAAGTCAGCCGTCGAGCCGACCCAGTTCGAGCTGTTTCGTAGCAAGAACTCCGTTAGTCGTCGGGCTTCAGCGGATAGAGTTCGAACGCACTCCTCGCCCGTATCCTGGTTGACGATGGGGATGATGAGCTTGACGCCGGCTTTTGCAGCCTCAGCAAGCACGAGGTCCATCTCCTCGAGCCTGCCTGTATCCCACATCCAGTCGTTCCACTCGTTGCTCCAGCCATTGATGTGCCCGCGGCCGATGTTCTTCGACTTGATCTGTTCATCAAGACCCCGTCTTATCAGCCAAGAGCAAGCCAAGCCCGCACAGGCCGAACAAAGCGGAATCGCCGACGAACCCGCAGAGTATAAGTCCTTGTCACAGCCGTCCCAAACGCTCCTTCCGCCGCCAGCACCGCAAACGTATCTCTGACCTCAAACAGTCCGTTGACGTCGCCGTCGAGCAGTTCGGGGGCGTTGAGGCTCGCGAAACGGAACTTTTGGCCGCCGAGGTAGAGGTCGCTGCCGCGTCGCTCGACGAATTGGTCTGCACCCAGTGGAGGCTGTTCAGAGAGAGTCAAGAGAGGTAGTGAGAGAGCGCACGACGCACCTGAACGTGAGACGTGCGAGTTGGCCATTGCAAACCGAGCCTGAGGAGCGGGAGGTGCAGCACCAGGTCCAGCGAATGCAGTGGCAGCAGAAGAGTTCGGTTCAGCTGGGTGAGCGGTCTTTGAGTGGCAGGCGCCCATTCGAGCGAGCCAAGCGAGCGGGAAGAGCGAGAGAGCGACGAAGAGCTGCGAGAGAGATGATGGCGGGGCGGTGCAGACCAAGGGGATTACCGGAGAACGGCGGGCAATGCAAGAGAGAGTACGAGACTACAGACGACGGAACAAGTATGGCAAGACAACGGGGGAAAGAAGGCGGGCGAGCGCAGGGAAGAACTGGATGCAACAAGGTGCGAGGTGACGAAGGGAGCGCGAGTACAGGGTGAAGGGCGAACGAGCGCGAGAGGCGTCTAATGTGCAGGTGCAGGGTCGAAGGTGAGACTGCGAGGGGTAAGATATGGGTATGGCGGGGAGAGCGTGCGCGATCAGACGTCGACGAGGGTTCCAACGCCGCCGTTCCGCTCGAGGTGCTGCTGCTCCGAGCCATGCTTGGGCGCGGCAGAGTCGGCCGCATTGGCGTCGCTCTCGTCGTCACCGAGCGGCTGGTAGCCCTGAGTAGGCGTAAGCGGGATGGTCGAAGAGGCTTCGGATGTGCGTGAGACGGTGGACGAGACAGGCGCGAGTTCCGGTGCGGCTGAGGCCGAGGCGGCTGGATCTGACGAGGCGAGCGCGGAAGGCGTGGTCGGCAGGTTGAGGTCGACGTGAGGTATGGGCGCAAGGATGGGAGGGGTTCCTTGGCTGACGGAGGACGAGGTCGAGGTTGAAGGCGTGGCTGACGTCGGCGGATGCGAGCCGTGGATGTCTTCGCCGACCGCCTCGTTAAGCAGCCGCTCCGTCGTCCGCGGCGTCTGCGGGACCGACGAAGTCGACGCCTCAGCCTCCGCACCCGCCTGAGCGGCCGCCCCTTTCTTCGCCTCCTCCTCCCTCGCCTTCTTCTGCCTCTCCTCCTCCTCGAGCTGACTCAGCCTCATCGCCTCCTGGACCATCATCTCCTCGAGATCCGGCCCTCCACCAAGCCCCAATGACTCGAGCAACGCAACGACCTCGTCACTCTGCCCTCCTCCTCTCCGCCTCAAACTCCGACTCCCGCGCCTACTCCTCCCGCCCGACCCGCTTCCCCCACTCTCGTTACTCGCATCCAACGCCGCCGCGATCTGCGACAAAAAGTTCGGCGGCAAGGTGGTAGTCGCCATAGTTGGGTTCGACCCGTCCCCGGCGCGGGAAGAGGTGATACCGACGGGAATGAGGCGGTCGCCGACTTGGCGGAAGACGATGCGGCGGTTTGCGCGGCGTGCGACGGCGGCTTTCATGGCTTCTAGTTTGGACTCCCAGTCAGGGTGGACCATGTCTGCAAAGCAAGCGTTAGCGAGCGTTCGAGACTGGGCTAGGGAGAAGACGAACCAGTCGTGACGACCTCCTTCTCGGTGTGCGCGAACGACTTGCGCCGCGGTTTCCGCTCGCCTCCAGCTCGGCCGGGGACGACATCTGACGAGGACGAGCCTGATCCAGCAGTCGGTGTCGGCTGAACAGGCGGCCGGACGACAGGCTGCTCCCCGATTCGCATCAGTCCACTCGGCTCAACTTGCGGAAGAAGGAGGGAGAGCGCACCTTCTCGTACACGACGCCAAAGTTGGGTTCCATGCAGAACGGGCATGCTGCGGGTTCAGACTCGAGGTGGGTAGGCGTGGGGTCGGCGCGCTTGATCTGGACGAAGCACTCGGTGCAGATGGGCTGGTCGCAACACCGCGTGTGGATCATATTCGGCGGGTAGTAGCTGCGCGAGTTCACCGTCAATGCGCGCTTTTACAGACAAGGAGAAGATGAAATGACCGCACAGGAAGCAGATCGGGCACTCGAGGGCTTTCGCGACGTAGAGCTTCGCCTGGTCCGTCTTGTTGGTCGTCTGCAGCGCGCCTCCGCCCTTCTTCTCCCTGATCTTGAGGACCTCGGCGAGTCGTTCGCGGTGCAAGACAGCCGCATTGTACGCCGTGACCGACTCCTTGTGCTTGCGAGTTCCCGACGGCGCAGAGAGCTGTGCGGCTTCGGCCTCGTTGGCCGTCTCGATAGCGGCCGCATGCGCATCCTTGAGGTTCCTCGTCGCCTGCTGTTCGGCCTCATCGAGCGCCGCAACGATCCTCCCCGCGTCCCAGTCCTCATCAAAGTCCTGCAAGCCGAGGTAGAACGGCGCGAGTTTCCTCTCGGCAATGAGTTTGTGCACCGTCGGGCGGTGGTACTCGAGTCGTGCGTAGAGGAGCGACTGAGGCTCGGGCCACCCGCCGTCCGTCATGCTCGTCGCCGAACTGGCCGTCGAAGCGCGGTTCCTCAATGCCGACTGGGCCGCAGCGACCGGGTGTGCGCGCAGACTGCCCCCGCCGCTACCGCTGCCTGAGCCGGATCCGCTGCCGCTGGACGAGGAGGACTGGTTGTTGCCCATTCTTCGAGGCGCGAGTCGCGTGAGGGGTCAGTCGGGAGAAGCTGATGAGCGTGCAGGGGAGGTGTGGGAGGTTGCTCGATCGGGGCTGGTCGGGCCAGGACGGTGTGTATCGACTGCTGGTGAGTTGGCTGGGGATGCAGAGTGAACGGCAGTTCGCCCGGATGCGATGCGTTGAGTTGAGGGAAGGCCGAGGCGATGAGGAGGCAGAGTCGGACGGAGAGGAAGCGCTAGCGTCGGGGTGAATCGCAGTGCCAGCCAGCCAGTCCGCGCGTGTGCTCGCACAAGCCAGCGAGCAGTCTGTGCACCGAGCGAGTGAGTTCGTGCGCGAGAGAGGTGTCCGCCGTCGCAGCGACCAAGTTCGCTCTCGGCAACGACGACGAACAAGGGTCAAAAACAGCATCGCAGCGTCACAGCCGAGCCTACAGCACTGCGAATAGCATGCGCGAGATATGCACCGAAGCGAACAGTCCGTCTCTCGCTCGCGGACTCGTTCTCCGCCCTCAGAAGGATCGCTTCTTTCGGTCGGACAAGGTCGTGTGGGCGGGTGATGCAGGCTGATGGTACAGTATGGCTACCACTTCTCGATACTGGGTCGCAGGTCGAGTTCTGCGTCGGCAGGAGCGGGCGTCAGGTCCTCTACACGAAAGAAGCGAGTGAGAAGCGGGACGACGCACCGAAAGCCCAGCAATTCCTCGGTTGCTCGGCGAGGTGGACGTAGGTGTCGGCGATGGCGTCGGGTTGCAGGCGCTGTTGTGGAGTCGCAAGTCAGAAAGGCCGGTGGGTGGAAAGAGAGCGGACGAACCGAGTCGGGCTCCTTTGCTTCGCCCATCATGCCCTTGACGCGGTCCGTCTCGATGATGCCTGTAATACAGTCAGAGTTGGCTCCTGAGACGCGAGAAACGGCGAAAGAGACAAGGCCAAATGCGAACGGACCGTCGACGATGATGTGCGAGACGTGAATCCCTTTCGGTCCAAACTCGCGGGCGAGGTTTTGCGCTGCGTCGAGACATAGAGTTCAGCATTATGTGGGCAAGACAGAGGAAAGGTAAACGCACCAAGTCCTCGCAACGCAAACTTGCCTGGCGCAAGAGCAGCAAACTTGGCGCTTCCTGCTTTGCTTAAGCTCGTCAGCGGAGTTCAGTAGGGTAGGCTAGAGCTTGACTAACCCTTCAACGCCGCTGTCGCGCCCGTGATGCCCAAGAACCCGCCGCCCGCTTCGAGCATGAGCGGAATCGTGACCTGGGCAAAGTGGAAAGCACCGTAGCTGTCCGCACGCACCGTGTCAGAAGCTACCACTACCCGACAGCAACGTAGACTGGACGCACAAGTTGACGTCGACACCGGGCTTGACGTCTTCCTCCTTCAGCTCGAGGAACGGTGTCATGATGAACGGCGAGTTCGCGTTGAACAGCGCGGCTTTGAGCTTATGGTTCGGCCACTGCTTCTTGATCGCTGCGAGGGCTGCGTCAAGCGAATTGCGCTTCGTCACGTCGCAGGCGAAGGGGGCGGCCTGGCAGAGAAGCGAACCAGAGACGAGAGAGCGAATTCAGCGAGTCGTTCCTCGGGCCCAGCAATGAATCGAGCGATCGAGCGCACGTCTCCACCGTTCTTGCGAATGTCCTCTGCGACCGACTGGACCGTCTGTGCGCTGCGAGCGAGGACGGCGACTGCATGTCCACGCCGTGCGAATGCGCGAGCGAGGGAAGCGCCGAGTCCCGGTCCTGCTCCGACGACGAGTGCGAGTTTGCGTGTGGACTGTGCGGTCATTCTCAGCGTCTGTTGAGCGTAGTAAAGCGTGCGAGGTGAGAGTGGTCGGATGCGAAGAGGTGGGGCTGCGCGTCGTCGTCGAGGAGCAGAAGGTGCCACATCACCACCCTCGTCCCTCTCGCCTGCTGCTTGCTAGACTGGGTGTGATGCTGGGCGTGGCACTCGCTAGGGCTCTCGTCGTCCTCGCACTCGCGGCAACGGCTCTTGCAGCCGACTTCTACGCTGCGCTGGGCGTGAGCAGGCAGGCCGGAGACAGGGAACTCAAGAAGGCCTGTACGTTCTGCTCTCTGAGCTCGCGCGCGCGGTGGATGGCGAGCTGACATCTCTCGACACGCAGACCGGGTGCGCATGAGGTCCTCGCAGGGTGAGGGAGTGCGTACGCTGACCTCGCCGTTTCGACCTTCCTCGCCCGCAGAAACTCAGCAAGCAGTACCGTGCGTGTCTCGATTATTCTTACACGGAGCTTAACAGCTGACGAACGCTACGATAAAGCGCAGACCCCGACAAGAACGACTCGGACGAAGCGAAAGCCCGCTTCCTCGAAGTCTCGCGCGCATACGAGGTCCTCTCCGACCCCGAGAAGCGCAAGACGTACGACCGGTTCGGCGAGGAAGGGTTGAAGCAGCAGGAAGGAGGGGGCCGGTCGGGCGACCCGTTTGATGTGTTCCGACAGGCGTTTGGGTTTGGAGGTGGAGGAGGAGGGCAGCAGCAGCAGCGGAGAGGGCAGAACATGCTGGCGGAGATCGAGGTCGACTTGAAGGCCATGTACGAGGGCGACTCGATGAAGGTGCGCGCGATTCGGCTCTTTCGACGACGTGAGGAGGCTGACTTTACGCCTGTTTCGCAGTTCTCGGTCGCTCGCAAAGCCATCTGCGAGCAGTGTGACGGTGCGACCCGCTCTCCTCGTCTCTCTGACCGCTGCTGACGCTCGCTGGCTCGCAGGAACGGGCGCAAAGAGCGAAAAGGACATCATCACCTGTCCGGTATGCGAAGGTCGAGGTGTCCGCGTCGTGCGGCATCAACTCGGTCCGGGTATCTTCCAGCAGATGCAGATGCATTGCGATCGGTGCGTACACCTCCTCTCCCCCGCTTCCTGCGCGTGCTCACGATGTCGGGATGGAACAGCTGCGGCGGCCGCGGCAAGTCGATCAAGCACGTCTGCCCGTCCTGCAAAGGCGCTCGTATCGTCGACTCCCACTCCGACTTGAATCTCCACATCGACCGCGGGATGCCTGAAGGTGCCGAGGTGGTGTTTGAAGGGGAGGCGGACGAGAGCCCGGAGGTGGTTGCCGGGGATGTGATTGTGCGCGTGAGGAGTAAGAAGCAGAAGGGTGCCTTTGTGAGGAAGGAGAGTAACTTGTACTGGAAGGAGCCGATCTCGGTTGCGGAGGTGCGTTCACTCTCGCTCTTTTTCTTCCTCATGCCGGCTGACCTTTCGCTCGTCTTCCCGCAGGCCCTCCTCGGCTTCAAGCACACAGTCAAGGGTCTCGACGGGCACGACATCGTTCTCTCCCGAACAGGCGTGACACAATCAGGTGCGGCGCATCCCTTCCCAGCGGCAGAAGCGCTCCTCGCCCATTTCCTCCAGGCAGTCATCGAGTCTCACGCTCACCTCGTACACTCGCAGGCTTCGTCGACGTCATCACAGGCGAAGGGATGCCCATTTACCACCTCTCAGGCCACGGCGACCTCTTTGTCGAATACCAAGTCATCCTCCCTCCCAAACTCTCGACCAAGCAACGCGAAGGTGTGTTCTGCTCTCTCTCTCCTCCACTGATGAGCGCGAGGCTGATCTGGTGGATGGGTAGCGCTGGAACAGGCGTTTGGGTACCGGCATCCGGACGCGAAAGAAGGAGGGCATACAGAATTGTAGACGGCCCGCTCGGGCGCAATAGACGACTTCCTACCCTCACTTCCTCGGCTGAACCCGCACTCGGCTTCGCTGCCCTCCGCCCTTCGGCGTCGACGACCCTGCGACAGTTGGTCCGCTCGATATCCTCGATCCGTCCTCCCTTGCTCGGCGACTCGGCGCGGAGGGGCAGGTTCGGCTTTCGCTTTTCTCGCTCGCTTACTGCCATGTAGTTACCCGAAACAAGGGGTGCGCGTCTGCTCCAATGACCAGCAGGACGCCAGAATTGAGTCAACCGTTCTCGGAACCCGTCGCAAGCGCTCGCCATCTGGAACGCCCAACTCGCTGCTGAGGAGCCGAAGAAGCCGCGGTCGCTTCGCTCTGCGCGGTCGTGCGATATCTACTAGCCGACAAGAGCTGGTAACGACTCCTCCGCTCGCTCGCTCGGCAAGCGAAGCGCAAGACTCGCAGGGGAACGGCAGAAACCGGGCGTGAAGGGTCGTGTGAGCTGAGCTTGACTCATCCTTGACTGAAGCTTGAGGATCGCTAGTTAGCGGAAGAAGCGGATCTGGCGCTAAGCTACAGTTTTGCGTGACGAGCGTGAGAGGATCTGCTTGGATCGACGCTTGGAAGAGGAAGGACGGAGAGCGGAGGGAGGGGATCTGCATCAGTGGAAATTGGCTTCTGCTGCTCGGAAGGACATCTCTTCGGGAGTACAGCAACAAGCCATCAGACGCAGGCGAACGGAAGCCGCGGCCAACTTGACGGTGGCAGGAAAAAAGCGCGGCCCCTCCCTCCTCCGCATCTCCCCGCACCCTCTCCAAATGGAAGACTTTACGATGGCTTCGGAGATTCGAAGGAACTCTGATCGGGTTGCGAACGGGCCGACGGACGTGAGGGTGGTCGAGAGGGTTCTCTGTGAGAGAGCGATTTCGCACACGAGTGGGAAGGCGGGTGCGGTGAGGGAGGGAAGACGCTGTTGTCGAGGCTCGTGATGTAGTTGGTGAGTCGGTAGCGAGCAGAGTTTGTCCGCCGGCGGAACGGAGCGGTTGCGGGCGAAGGAGCGAAGGCGAAGGTGCGAGATGGCGCCAGCAGAGTTGCGGGCGCTCGTAGTTGCGTCGAGTCCGAGCTCCAAGCGAAGCTGCAGACGATGTCCTCGAGTGGGAGAAGGAAGGAGCTAGCAGCAAGTCGAGAGAAGGCAGACAACTCAAGTTTCCTCCTCCTCCTCCCAGCCTGCCATCCCGTCGGGATCCAGCGTCGAGGAAACGAGCGAGTGCAAGCAAGTCCCTCCAAGGCATGCAAGATTTCCCTCGAGATAGCCTTTGAGCGGGAGAAAGGCTGAGGGAGCAGATCCTCCACGGCGACCAGCTCGCAGAACAAAGGGATCAGTGACCCGGGTGCCGGGTTGTTGAGAGGACGCTTGGCTGAACGTGGACGACGGGATGGATCCATCCGTTTGCTTGTGCGTGCGAATGAGGTGCGAGTGATTGAGCGTTGCGAGTCAAGGACGACGAGCGAGGACGAGGAGCGAGGAAGAGCCGCGAGGGAGAACTGACTCGTGCGACACAGCGGCTCGAGAGACACGAGCAGTCTGGGAGAAGGGCGTCGCTGGCACCGAGTACAGTGCTCGTCGATGGAGGGAAGCACGGGATGGCGAGAGGCAGGGATGCGGTTGCGTCGTCGCTCGCGGGTGCCTTACGTGTTCGAGTGCGAAAGTGCCTGCGAGAGAGTATTGCCCCGATTCCAAGGCACCCGCTTAGCTTTTGACCGGCTGAGTGCTGCTCGTCCCCCGCACCCGCAAAGATCCTGTTCGACACCCGTGCTCGTCCTCGTCGTCCGTGCTGAGCTTGGAACTGGGGCCGAGCGAGCAGACTGCACTCGATCCACACCGCCATCGACCGCACACACGCCGCCAGCGAGCCCAACACCCGAACTTCGGCACCCGCTCCCCTCGATACACCCGCAAGGGGCACTCGAAATCTCGATCCAGCGACTCGTACGCCCCCAGGACACCGCCCGAGCACTCGAGCACACCCACAGACTCGCATCCGAGCCCATCAGCCACCGCCTGTCGACTCCACCGCGAACACCGGACGCCTCGCGCCTTCGAGAAACGTGCTCGCGGATGGCGACTCTCGCCGGCGCACCCGCGCGCGTCCTCGAGCCTGCCATAGAGGGTGACGAGCTACCGTTCGGCGACTTTTGCTTCAGGTGCGTCCAGTCCCACAGGCGAGAGCGGGCGAGGACGATGCCGCCCGCCGCGCTGTATCGCGGGATAAGAAACCTGGGGGCTGACTTGGACTTGCAGCTGTGGGAACGCGACGCAGGGCTCGCCGTACTGCTCTGCAGAGTGCCGCAAGGCCGACCACGAGCGGAGCGAAGTCTCGCCCGACGACTCGCCCTTCCTCTCTGCCGTGCCGCCACTCGTCTCGTCCGGCAAGTCGCAGTGCTCGACGCCCCCGAGCTCGGCCAACAACAGTCCCCTCGTCGTCAACACCGTCCTCGACGACCTCGCAGACCCGCCCTCGCTCGACCTCCCCCCGCCCAAGCACCGCTTCGAGTACGGCGCCGCCCAGTCGCTCCCCGCCGGCATGCGCTACCCGGCCACCTGGACCATCAACTACCAGGCTGACCCGCTCGTGTCGCCCATGGTCGTCCCGACCGAGATCGCGCCCATCGCCAAGGACCTCAGCTACCGTCGCAAGCCGGGCAAGCCTCACTCGGCCGTCCCCTCGCCCTTGTACTTCCGCCAGAAGGCTGCGGCGGTTCACTCGTCGCCTGCGTTCGATCCGACGTCGCCCAACTCGAACCGCCTGTACGGTTTCCCCTCGGCGACCGACTTTTCCGGCGCCCACGTCCACGAGGATGACATCGCGACTCTGGCCCTTCCCGATCAGCACGACCCTTCGGCCGTCCCGCCATTCCTCCCGACGCCCGCGCACTGCGGACGACCAGGCTGCGTTGGCGTACCGAAGCGGCCGCGGGTCGAGCACCAGCCCAAGTCGACGAGGAGGTTGTCCGGTCCCGCATCGCCTGCGCTGAGAGGGCTCGCGCCGCTCGACACGTCCGACGACGTCCTCCTCTCGCCGCGCATTCGTGCACTTCGGTCAGGCCACCACTCGCCGATGGAGCAGAAAGAGTCGTCTCCTCTCGCGGCCGAGTCGACCTCGTTGGCGAGCGGCGAAACTCCCTCCTCGACCGGCGCAGACGACGATCACTCGGCTTTCGCCTGCTACCTCTTCTCGCACCTTTCGTCTGCCGCACCGCCCGAGCGCGAGCGCGGCCGATCAGGCTCGATCGACCACCAGGTGTCGGACATGCAGCGGAGTCTGTCGGTCGACGCAGTGCGTGCTGCACGGAACACGGTCGGCTCGTCTGCTTCCTCAGCTTCCCCTGCGCCGCCTGTTCGACCGAGGCGAGGCATGCTCGGCGGACGAGGACCTGCGGCCGTCAACATGCGTTCCGAGCCGGTCCTCCCTCAGCAGGCTCTCTCGGCGACCGCGACGCCCGAAGACGAGTCCCTCCCTTCGTCCGTCTCGGACCGCATCGAGTTCGGCCACGACCGCGACGCGACTGTCCGACCCGACCACTCTCGCGCGCGCGACTCGGACCGCATGAAACTCACCCCCGGCCACTTCATCTCGGCCACGACCGAGACTCCCTCCGGCGTCTCTCCCTTCCCTTCTCCTCCCAATTCTCCACCCACAGCAGGTCGAGGCCGCTCGCTCGCCCGTCGCGCATCAGACGTCGCAGCTTCGTCGCCCGACCCGCGTGGGCGGTCGAAGCTCCGTGGAGTGGGCGCGTTGCACCGTTCCAAGTCGCCTTCGGCAAGGAAGGAGAGCAGGTCAAAGTCGAGGATGACGGAGCGGTCGAGTTCGCGCGAACGAGGGAGGGTCGGAGGGATCTTGCGCGAGTCGAGGGGGTCGAGGGGGACGAGCGACGCTTCTTCAACTCAGCGCGGGAGGGGGCGAGCGCGCGAGGAGGTGAGGGAGGTGGATGAGGACGAGGAGGACGAGCGAGGAAGGGGACGGTCGCACGTCCGCGACAGTCGCAGTCGGAGCAGGAGCTTGCTTCGGAGCGGACGGGGGCGCGAGGTCGTCTACTCGATGGCCGCATACGGCCATGTCAGCGACTCCGACTCGGATCGATAGCCTCACGCCCCCCTCTCGACAGCCGCTCAACTCGGCTGCGAACCCACCTCGAAAAGCCGCGTCTCGTCGGCGTCCACTCCTTTTCCCTCGCCTCCCTCTGCGCCTCTCTCGCATCTCGACCCGACTCTACTCGTACGACTCTCACTCGCATTCAACTGCAGCAAAACGCAGAAAACCCTTATACCACGCCTCCTCTGAGCCCAATCCGCATGCCCTTCGGCACAGTCGCTTATACCCCCCCTCGCACTTCCTCTCTCCTTCCTCTCTCGCATCGCTCCCTTACTCCCCCGCTTGTAACCCACTCCCTCGCTCCCTTGTCACCACCACCGCCGCTCTCAACAGACACTTCTCCGCTCTCCTCCTCGTTCCGCTCCCTCATCGGGGCTCGTCTCATTGCAACTCGCATCCCCCCTCTCGTTTGCATCGCAATCAAGGGACTGTTCAGAGAGTTTCCGTGAGCGATTTTGGCGGTGCGCGAGTTTGTTCGCCTCTTCTCCGAGTTGCCATCCCCGAGGTTGCCCTTTGACAACTCGCTCGACTCGCTCAGACGCGCTCGCTTGCTGCCGAACTGCGCGCTACTGCTCTCTGTGACTCGAGCACTGGCTGTGGCACCGCTCCAAGCGAGGTGGAAGGGGTTCATCGCCGCGCTTTCTCGCCCGAGTTCGCCATGCCTTCCTCGGCACCGCTCCTCGACGACGCCGACGACCTGGACATCCTCTCGTTCGGTTCAAAGGGCAAGGAGAAGATGACTGGGCTCGAGACGGTCCAGCTCAAGGTCGAGGGTACGTCTGGCTTGGACCTCGTCCCCCCGAGGAATCTGCTCACATCAGCCTCGTGTCGACGGCGCAGGAATGACGTGCGGCGCGTGTGTGGCGAGTATAGAGAGTGGCTTGAAGGACCAGGAGGGGATCGCGAGCGTCAAGGTGGCGTTGTTGTAAGTCCTTGTCCTCCTCGTCTGCCTTCCAAGCATCCCTCGGTGCGCTTCACTCACGCCCTTCGCGCCTGCAGAGCCGAACGAGCAGTCGTCGAGTATGACCCCGACAGGTGGACAGCCGCGAAACTCGCAGAAGTTCGCGCGATCTCTCAATATCTCGCGACTCGAGGCTGATCAGTCGGTACATGCGCTCGCAGGAAATCGAGGATATGGGCTTCGAGGCGACGCCGATAGCGCCTGTCGTTGCGGATACGGTGCAGCTGCAGGTCTACGGGATGACGTGCGTCCTTGATCCCTTCGCCGTGAGTTTGCGCCCGCTGACCTCGCTAGCGGAAACAGGTGCGGTGCTTGCGTCGCGTCCATCGAGAACGCGCTCCGCTCGGCTCCCGGCGTCAACTCAGCAGTTGTCTCGCTGGCGACCGAGCGCGCGAGCGTCACCTACGATCCCTCCATCCTTGCCGGTCCTCGAGATATCGTCGAGCTGATAGAGGACGTCGGCTTCGACGCGACTCTCGCTTCGGACGAGAACAGCGCGATGCAGCTGCAATCTCTCGCCCGCACGAAAGAGATCCAGGTGTGGAAGCACGCCGTCGTCCGCTCGTTCTCCTTCGGCCTCCCCGTCTTCCTCATCTCGATGATTTTCCCCATGATCCCCTTCCTCCGCCCACTCGTCAACTTCCCTATCGTCCGCGGCGTCTACCTCGGCGACACCGTCTGCCTATTCCTCACCCTTCCCGTACAGTTCGGCGTCGGCCTTCGCTTCTACCGCTCGGCTTGGAGGGCGGTCAAGCACAAGTCGGCCACGATGGACGTCCTCGTCGTCCTCGGTACTTCGGCAGCCTTCCTCTACTCCGTCTTTGTCATGCTCTTCGCACCCTTTGCCAGCGACCCGTCCTTCCACGCCACGGTCTTCTTCGACACCTGCACGATGCTCATCACGTTCATTTCGTTCGGGCGGTACCTCGAGAACGTCGCCAAGGGGCAGACGAGTACCGCACTAAGCCGCCTCCTCAGCCTCGCACCGTCTCAGGCCATCATCTACACCGACGCCGACTGTACCAAGGAGAAGAAGGTCCCGACCGAGCTGATCCAGGTTGGCGACGTCGTCAAGATTGTTCCAGGCGACAAGATCCCTGCCGACGGAGTCGTCATTCGCGGCGAGTCGGCCGTGGACGAGAGCATGGTGACGGGCGAGGTTGTTCCGGTCGCCAAGAGCGTCGACTCGACTGTCATCGGCGGAACCGTCAACGGCAAGGGCACCTTCAACATGAAGGTGACGCGCGCCGGCAAGGACACGGCTCTTTCGCAGATCGTCCACCTGGTCGAGGAGGCGCAGACGTCCAAAGCGCCGATTCAAGCCTTTGCAGACACCGTCGCAGGCTACTTCGTACCGGTCGTCATCTCGCTCGGCCTCTTCACCTTCGTCGCCTGGATGGTCATCGCGCACCTCTCGCCTCGCCTCCCGCACGTCTTTGAGGAGCACGGCGCGACCAAGTTCATGGTCTGCCTCCGTCTCTGCATCTCCGTCATCGTGGTCGCCTGCCCCTGCGCACTCGGCCTCTCGACCCCGACAGCCGTCATGGTCGGCACCGGTGTCGGCGCACAGAATGGCATCCTCATCAAGGGCGCCGGCCCGCTCGAAGCGAGCCACCGCGTCGACCGCATCGTCCTCGACAAGACCGGCACTGTCACGCTCGGCAAGCTCGACGTCGTCGGCGTACGCTGGGTCGAGCGTCAGGGGCTCATGGCGACCGAGGCGCTGGGCAGCCGCGTCGGCTGGCAGGAGGACGCGATCCTGCTCTTTGCCGCCGCCGAGACCAAGTCGGAGCACCCGCTCGCGAAGGCCGTCGCGCAGTGGGGGCTGCGCCAGCTCGGTCTGTCCGAGGTCCCGTCGACGCTCGAGGTCAAGGCGTTCGAGTCGTTCACCGGTCGCGGCATTCGCTGCGACGTGTCTGGCCACTTCCCCTCGCTCTCGCCCACAGCCGGCACAGGTCGTTCGACGCACAGTATCGAGATCGGCAATGTCGACTTCCTCTCGCAGCAATGCTCGATCGCCCTTCCGACCGCCCACGAGTCCTTCCGCGAGCGCGAAGAGTCGCTCGGCCGCACCTGCATCCTCGTCGCAGTCGACCGCCAACTCGCCTGCATCGTCTCGCTCGCCGACCAGATCAAGCCCGAGGCGCGCCAGGCTATCGACGCCCTTAGGTGGATGGGCATCGAGGTGCTGCTCGCGACGGGCGACCAGGAGCGCACGGCGTGGGCCATTGCGGACGAAGTTGGGATCGCTCACGAGGATGTGCAGGCTGGGATGAGCCCGAACGGCAAGAAGGCGCTCGTGGAGAAGCTTCGTCACCAAGGACACCGCGTCGCGATGGTGAGTCCGCCTCAAGGCTTACCGCTCTTTCATGCTCGACTGACTGTTTCGCCTACAGGTCGGCGACGGGATCAACGACTCGCCCGCCCTCGCTGCTGCCGACGTCGGCATCGCTCTTTGCACCGGCACCGACATTGCCATGGAAGCTGCCGACATCGTCCTGATGAAGGCCGACTTGCTCGACGTCGTCGCCGCACTCGACCTTTCCCGCCGCATCTTCCGCCAGATCCGCCTCAACTTCCTCTGGGCGACTATCTACAACCTCGTCGGCGTCCCTCTCGCCATGGGCCTCTTCCTTCCCTGGGGCCTGCACCTTCACCCGATGATGGCCGGCGCAGCCATGGCCTTCTCGTCCGTCTCGGTCGTCGCCTCGTCCCTCACACTCCGCTTCTGGCGCCGCCCTCGTCTCGCTCGCCGTCCCGACGACCCGGCTTTCGACAAGGGCGAAGGCGCAGTCTCCGAGCTCACTGGTGCGGTCGTCGAGATGCTCAAAGCTGGCTGGGAGACATTCTTCGTCGACAGGTCGGGCGGGCGTCGTCGTCGCGGAGGTCGTTTCCGCCAGCTCCTCCGCACCGAGCGCAGTCACAGCGAGTACGGCCTGCTCGGCGACTCCAGCAGTCCCGAAGACGACGCGGTGATGATGGAGGAGGGCATCCCGCTCGCCGGCGCGGCGTCGCCGATGGTGAGGAACCCTGGGTTGATGGGCGCTTGAGATTCCGCTTCGCATTAGACTTCCCCGCATACCGCTTGTTCCCTTGTTGATATCTGTAGCTAGTTCGCAACCTCTTGCGCGAAGCTGGAACTCTCGCGTAATCTCACAACCAAATAAGCCTGCGTTGCGTTTTGGCTACGAGACGAACTTGGCCGTCAAGCGCTGGTAGTCCGCCTCGACGCTCTCGAACGTCTCCTGCAGCTTCGCCTTGCGCTCCTCCTTGTCCTCGATCTGCAACAGCTGCTCCTTGTTGAAGAGGTACAGCCGCTTCTTGACCGTGAGCCGAATCGCTCGTTGCTGCGCCTCGTCGTTCGGGTCCGTCGTCAGGAAGAGCATCATCTCGACGAGCCGGTAGAATTGTCGCTGCAGGGTCACAGTCAGCCGAAGCGTGGAGGGAGAAGCGGGGACGGGACGCACGTCTGCCAGCTTGTATTTCGTGCGCACCATCTCGGTGAATTGGCGATCCAGGGGAGCTTTCAAGCCGTCGAGCGCATTTGTGGAGATGAGCGTGTAGAGGTCGCACTTGTCGCGCATGTCTTCGAACGCCTCAGACGGGTCCTCCACTGCAGAAGAACGGCATAAGTGCGGACGAAGGACTCGAAAGAGGAGCAGGCGCACCAGTGAGCTCGCTGATCTCGTCGCGCGAGAGGATGTTGCGGTAGCAGAGCGAGTAGAGCGCGGCTGCAGCGAGGGAGAGATCAGCATTACGCTTCTCGGTGAGTGCAAAGCGGGAGAGACGTACAGCCGTGACCTTGACCTTGCCAGGGCGGAAGAAGGACGAATTGGCTTCACAGATCTCGATCAGTCAAGGGAGTGGTCCCATGCTTGGAAGTTGTACGCACGCGAGACGAAGGCGCTTCGTATCCGGCCAGCAGAAGAAGGAGTAGAATGAAACGAAGCCGACGAAGTGATACGATGTCGAGTCGCCCTTCCTCCGTCGCTCGAACCTGCGAGCAAGGAAGATCAGTCCACGACTTGAAGGAACACTTCGGACGCGACGCACAAAGTGACGAACTCCCATCGGCCGTCCTCCTCGTCGATGTATGAGGCACCCTCGATGAAGAGCAGCACGAAGATTTGCATCTTGCGGTGGTACTCCTTGAAGCCCGGCGTGTCCCAGTTGGTCCAGTACGCCTCGTATCGCACGCCGTCCTCGCCGTCATTGTCAAAATCGTCGATGGCCTCCCAGGACCGCTCAGGAAGAATAGGTCCGCCTTGACTCTTCGCCTTGCCCTTCCCTTTTCCGCCGCCGGTCAGCTCGTCCTCTCCCTTCATCCGGTATGCGCCCACTCGCTTGCCCAGCGGCTTGAAGTCGAGAGCGTCCTTCTCGACCGTTTCCTGGAACGTCTCGAGCGATTTGGTGTAAGATGGCGGGATGAACTCGTAGAGAGTCTTTTCGGGGTCATCGGCCTTGACTGTCGCAGTCTCGGGGAACTTGGCGTCCCAGGAAACGTTGAGGTATTGGTTGAGGCTGCCCGAGGCGAAGCGGTACTGTGCGAGCAAGCGGCGGTCAGCCAAGCGGGCAGGACTTTCAGCCTGCGTACTCACATCGATGGTCAAGCCCTTGTAGCCAAAGATAGTCTCCTCCTCGCCGTAGATCGGGTAGACGAAGATTGGGGAGAAGGGGTCGACGAGGGAGCACTCGTCCTCCGACAGGTCCGCCGCCTGAGCCTTGGAACGAGCTGTTACAATGTATGCAGCATGGTCAGCTCCCGCCGCAGTTGTCGCAGGGCTCCTGGGATGCCGCCGACGCCAATCCTCCAGCGCGATGAGGACGCGTCGAGTGGACGTACCGAGACGAATCTGCAGAGCCTGAACAGCCGACGCGGACCAATCGTCGCTCATGGTGGACACAGCGCTGGAGCACGCGCAACGGAACGAGAAGCAGCGAGGGGTGAAGCAAGTCGCGGCGAGAGAAGCGGACGGCGACGACGACGACGCGATGTCAACCTGGCAAACGACTCTCGCGGAGCATGCTGAGTCGTGCAGGACATTCCTTGCGTTGCAACAATCTACCGATCAAGACAAGAGAGTCCAGCTCTCGCCCGTTGCATGGCTGTCCACCTCACTCAGGGTCGACGACCCGCTCAAGTCCCGCTCCTTCGGTCGACCTGGCACAGGCGGAGGAGGCTTCTTCGACCCGTTCGAGATGAACGACGACTGAGATGCGCTTGATGAGGAGTCGGGTGCAAGAGGGTCACCGGGACGGGTGACAGACGGTGATGCCGCGCGAGAGACTGGCGGCGGCGGCTTCCGCTTGACTGCTTGGAAGGACGTGGGTGCAGCTGAAGGAGCTGGTGCAGACTGATCTGCGGCGGATGACGAGACGTCGTCGAGGTCGAGAAGGTCGCCCGTCGGAATCGCTTTGCGAGGCACCGCAGGCGGCGGTCTTCGCTGAGAAGATGCAGGCGTTGCCTGTCCGTTCGACACCGACGTCGTGGGCGAAGACTTGTAGAAACCTGGGTCGAACGGGTTCGACACGGCAAGGTTGCGCGGTTTCGGCGGAACTTCGGGAGGCTCGAACGACCCGTCTTTGCCATTCCACCACGCCTGCTGGTCGTCCGAAGGCGGAGGTAGTCTCCGCGGCGGCTTGTTGCCGTTGAGATCGACCTGCGAAAGCTGGTTCTCCAGCGCATCTTCCGGAGGATTCGCGATGAGGTCCTGCAGGAGCTCCTTCCGCAACGCAGCACGCTTCGTCTGGTCGACGGTGCGGATGCGGGCGCGGAAGGTGGCGTATACGGGGCGATGATCTGACATGCGGAGCTCGGCCCTCGAGTAACGCGAGCAGTCGAGCTGCAAGAAGTGTTGTCAGCGAGAACAGGGTTCCTGGTCACTGGGAGGACGCACATCAGGCCCCTTATACAAAATGCGATCCGTGTAGGCGGGTATGCGCATCTTCTCCGACGTATCATAGTCGTCGGTCCCGTTGTCGTACTTGTACGTCGGGCGGAAGAGCAGCGGAGCCTCCTGGTAGCCCTGGAAGATCCCGCGCGTCCGCATCGCGACGTTGAGCTGCGGCAACGATGGATCAGCGACAGATCGAGAGCGGTGTGAGGGAGATTGGCGTACCTGATCAGCCGCGTACAGCGCAACGTAGTCGTCCTGCTCGGCGAGCGTTCGGACCTCGTCGTTCGAGAGCGAGATGCGGTAGTTGCTGTCGAGGCACCAGCATACGTTACTGCGAGCAATGTCGCCGTCAGTGCGGTATCAACTACAGAGGTACGCCGTCGACTCACTCGTGGCTGTCGATTGTCTTGCCTCGTGCGAAGTGCAGGCCCCGCGAGATCGTCATGTAGTCCTGATTCCGCTCGTCGACGTTGTTGTGCCCGGCCGCGAGATGGGCGGTGACGAAGCAGAACGACGAAGCGTGGTAGTCGAGGCGGATCGCAACGGCGCCCTCTACGAGCCGAACAAGCCTCGTCAGTCAAGCCAGATGCGAGCGAAAGAGTGAGGAGACTCGCTATTGCCTGCTAGCCCTCGCACGCCGGTCTGTAGCGAAGCAATCAGTACGAAGACGACTGAAGCGCTGCAGACGAACTGACCTTCTTGATCGCCGCCTCAACGTTCCGCATCTCACCAGCGATCTCGGTCTTGCACAAGACGATGAGAGCAGTCCCGACGAGCTGACCGGACCGTAAGATGACGTAGTCGGACTTCTTTTCGGGGCGCGAGGCAAGCGTCTGGAGGATGTGCTGCTCCCAGCGGCGCCTACGAGATGAGGCGCATTAGCGGAGAGTCTCGCAAAATCCGTCTCCTCACGCACTTCTTCTCAGGATTAGTTGACATAATCTGCTGCGGCGAGAGTGGCACAATCTCCTGGAAGCCGAGGACGAGCAGCGAAGGCTCGGGTCCTGTTCGGCGAAAGTCAGAAGACCGTCACGGCTTAAGGGGTGAACGTGACGCACCATCCACTGGGAACATCCAGTCCATCAAGCTCTCTTCGCCAGGCGACTTGCCGTTCAAGTTGTAGGTGCCGACCCAGATCGTCGTTGGTTCGGACGTAGTGAACTCCGAGGCTCGCTCGCGCAGTCGAGCGCGAAGCGTGTCGTGAATTGGGTTGAAGATGCGGACTTTGCGGGACGTGGCGAGGTTGCCCTGCGGACGGATCCAAGTCAGCAGCGAGACCAGACGAAGGAGAGGGTTCACGCACGAGAAGCGCATCGATCGCTTTCTGCTTTCCGCTGTCGAAGAGCTGCTGCTGGAAGACGCGGTTGACGCTGAGAGCGCAACGTCAGCCATGCGACAACGACGAGATCCGTAGCTGGCGCACCTCTTCGACGCATCCGACAGCAAACCCGCCAAGTTCCGCTTGCCCGACCTGGTGAACGAGCTGTTGATAGCGCCTGTACCGACGTAGATCTTCGACAGCGCATCGCCATTCTGCAGAAGACGTGTCAGTGCCGGGCACGGCCCAGCATGATCAGGGAGAAACGCACATCCGCCCACAACACTCGATGCGACGCCCAAAGCTGCGCGGCGTCGGATCCGAGCCAGCCTGGCTGCGTGTTGCGCAGGAAGTCTTCGATGGCGAAGCGGGACAGCGAGTCTTCGACGGCGTTGGTCCGGTCGAGACACTACAAGTGGGAAGGTCAGGCTAGACGTTTGAGCGGATCAAGGGTCACTACGCACGTCCTTGCAATTGGTGCGGAAGACGCCCTTTTGCGTCAGGATCGGCGTCGTCCGGCCCTCCTGGTCGACGCCGACGACGCAGGCCCCAAAGTCTTCCTCCACATCGCCGATCTCCCTCGACAGCTGCGACTTGACGCTCTCGATGCCGCCCACTTGGCTCCGAGCATGGAAGTCAAACTCGGTGATGCCGACGCCCTCAGCGACATTCTGGTCCATCTCCTTCGCGACCTTGAGGTGCGCCTCGTATGCGTTGGTGAGCGCCGCTTCGCCTTCTTTCGTCGAAAGGAGATTGATGATGTGGAAGCGCGCATAGTGCTCGAGAAGGTCTTCGCAGTGACGGAGGAAGGCGGGAAGAGAGGCTTCGAGCGGACGGGTGATCGTAATCTTCGGGTTGAACGGCTGGCCGCCGCCTTCTTCCCAGAAGACTGCAGGAGTCGGGAGTTAGCGAGTGTAACTGCACTCGAATCGAACCACAATGAGCTCACGAGGAACGCTACCTCGGGTCTGGACATACGAGAAGCACAGGTCTCGCGTACGCAAGATTGTTTCCGTCTGCTCAACAAGAGTCGGCAAATGGCAAGGGAAGGACGATGGCGCGTACGCACCTCGACGAAGTTGGCCACACTGCCATCGTCGTCAACACCTCGAACGTTGAACCGAGTCCCGCTTCGCTTCCACCCGAGTCGGCTGATCAGGCTGAGAACCGCTGGTTCTCCGCCGAGAGTGATGTCGTAGGTTCCTGCATATCCTTGTATCGCGAGCACCATGAAGCCTTGCCGGTCGAACTCTTCGCGCAGGTTGAGCGGGAGAGACGAGCGGAAGGACAGGATAGGCGCGACGAGGTAGGTGTTCCAGAGGAACCGCGCGTCGTGGTCGATCTCGGCAGCTTCGTAGCCGTCTGGGTTCGGCTCGTCGTCGACACCGCCGCCGCCTCGATCTGCCGCTTCGGGCGCCGCTTTGCCCTGCGGAGCCTTCTCGAGACGAGCTGGTAATCGAGTCGACAAGTCGAACGCTTCGGGTCCGCTCGAGAAGTAGAAGCTCGAGTTGCTGAGGATCTTGCGTATGCCCTGACAGGGATGTTCGGTCGGGGTTGGTTCGGCGCGTAGGGAAGATGAAGAGGGCGAGGCGAGCGAGGCGGCATCTTCGAACGAATCGTTCCCGAGAGACGTTGAATAGGAGTCGGCGGAGCTGATGGGAGCATGCAAGTAGTCGAATGAAGGCGAAGTCAGGCAGAAGAAATCGACGGCGAGGATGCGGTTGATCGGCTCGGTACCGGGTCCGTCAAAGGGGCGAGAGTATGTCGAACCGAGCGGGATCGCGTGAGTGATGATTGACAGGAAGGTCTCTGCGGAGAGCGTGTCAGCCCGACGCATTGGAATGAGAACGGAGGAGGACGCACCGTTTCCGACGGCGAGGACCCCCAAGCACCCGCTCACACGACTGTGCAGCAGCACGGCCGACTCCAGATCCACCTCATCCCGCTCCAGCAGCTCCATCACGATTGACACCGACCCCGCATCGCTAGCCTTCGATGCTGGCGCAGGCTTGAAGAGGAGGCTGTAATCGGAGGAGACGAGGACAAGCGTGCGAGGTTGGCGGATCAGATACAGCGAGAGCGGCACCGTGTGCATCCTGTAGTAGCTTTGGCGCCTTCAGCGCGGCTCAAGCTGCGAGGACGTCGGTTTCTAGACGAGCAACCTGGACGTCGCCTCCCTCGACCTTGACGACAACGCTGCTCCGCTCACATCGCTTGACCTGGCTAGAATGAGCGCCATCACGCATTTGACGAGCCTGCCGGAGCTCAACAAGCTCCTCGCGGCCAAGAAGGACCGCCTCGTTGTGGTGAGGACACGCCTCCCCACTTCATCTCTTGGAGGATCTTGACACGCTCATACACGCTTTGACGCCCGCAGATTGACTTCCACGCTACCTGTGAGCTATCTTGACTGCCCGACGCACCCACGTCCTCCTCACTCCCCTTCTTCCCGGCTCTCGTCCTCGTTTCCGCTCGGTACTCTCCGTACTGACCCTCGCTCTCGGTGGATCAGGGTGCGGTCCTTGTCACGCCATCGCTCCGACATTCGAGAAGCTCGCCAACCAGTACCGACAAGCGACGTTCTGCAAGGTGGATGTCGATGCGGCGCAGGAAATCGCTCGCGCGTACTCTGTGCGGGCCATGCCGACGTTCGTGTTCATCAAGAACGAGCGCAAGGTTCACGAGGTGAAGGGCGCGAACGCATCTGCGTGAGTCGACTCTTCGAACTGGTTACTGCGACGTTCTCTTCGCCAGTTCTGCCAGACCGCTTCTCCGCCGATGCAAGTCGCCTGCGTCTCGCTCAGACTGACACGTCTGCGTCTACAGGATCGAATCGGGCATCAAGCAATTCGTCGGCGGCTCCGGCGGAGAAGCAGGAGCGTTCCCTGGGCAAGGACACACCCTCGCCGGCACGCCCGTCCCGACAGAAGCGCCTCCCGCCGAGGTCAACTACGTGCGATGGCTCATCTTTGGCGCACTAGCTCTGTGGTGGTTTTGGTCAGCTCGGCAGAGCAAGGAGCAGTGAGCAGCGGTGTCTGCAGGTCCGCAGCGTGTATTACTAGAGTCGACATCGCATTGTTTTGCTTCGCCCGCCTCCCTATAGCCATCGAGAGATAGCTCTGACTGCGTTCACGCTCTCAGCAAAGCGAAGCGCGTGGTGTCGTTATTTTCGATGGCCGCGTCGTCGCTTCGGAGGAAGGACTCGCCTCCGTCCGCCACCTCGCTCGACTGCTCCGGGCTTGCGACAGGCTCAGGCTACGCTCAGGCAGATGCTTCCGGCTGGACACAGACCAACCGGCCTTCTCCGCGAGCTCCTGCGGGACTTCGCTCAGGCGGTGAGGATCCGCTCTCGTCGAGTACTTCATCGCGGCAGCTGACGGGTTTGCGGCGTCGTGTAACGCACAGAGTGCCACACGGAGACCGATCCCACCCTTGCGCACCTTCTCGTCCCGCCAGCGCCCTCAGCAGCGACACTTCCCCCGCTCCTCCTCGTCGTCCCTCTTCCCCTTCCATCGGCGGACAGGCGTGCCTGCAAACCTCCCCGCCCTCGCTCCTTACTCTCTCTGGAGTCGCGCGGTTCGCTCTGCGAAAGAGGCGAGCGAGATTGACGACCTCCGCGACGCCATCTCGAAGGCCTCCTCACCCGCCGAAGCAGCCGAAGCGAAACTGAAGCTCTTCCAGGCGATCTATAACCTCGACAAGAAGACGTATGCGCAGGAGGTGGAGGGGTTGCAGTTGTACGAGGAGGTGACGGGACTCTGGAGCGACAAGCGGGAGCCAACGCAGGTCGAGGCGCTCAAGGACAACGAGGGCTTCCTCAACTACCTGCGGACACTCGGCACTCTCGTCTCGTCGACGTACAAGGACGCACCCGAAGAAGAAATTGCTTCGAACCTCGAGAAGCTGAATACGGCCCTTCAGCGACGAAACTCGGTCCTCGGACACGCTCCGACTTCCGCGACCACGACTGCGACCCCTGAACTAACACCGACACTGGCACCTACCGCATCTGCGACTCCTGCTCCTGCCGCCCCTTCGACTTCCACTCCTCCAGTCCCTCCTGCAGCACTCATTTCCGCCCTCTTCTCCGGCGGTTCGCGAGGCAAAGGCGGGGAGGCGAAGATTGCGTCCGCCGGGTCGTACGGCTCGTGGTCCTCCATCTTTGGCGGCGCTTCAGCAGCAAAGGCGGGCAGTCCCGAGCCGATAAGGGTCATCGTCGAAGAGCCCAAGTCTCCGTTGGTTTGGCGCGCGCTCAAGTTTGTCGCGGTCACCGCCCTGTACTCGTTTCTCCTGTGCGTGTGCCTCTCCTCGCCTCCTATTGAGCAAGACTGACGATCTGGCGGCAGGCTCTCGCTTTTGTCGCTCCTCATCGACTCGTCCGGCATCTTGCGCGCCGGCGGTGCCAGCCAGCCTTTCCAGCCGACCGCTCCGCCCGACCCGTCTGACCCGAACCGTCGCGGTACGACGTTCAAGGACGTGCACGGCGTCGAGGAGGCCAAAGCCGAGCTCTACGAGATCGTCGAGTTCCTCAAGGACCCGAAGAAGTTCGAGAAGCTCGGTGGCCGCCTTCCTCGCGGCGTCCTCCTGACTGGCCCTCCCGGTACCGGCAAGACTCTCCTCGCGCGTGCCGTCGCAGGCGAGGCCGGTGTGCCCTTCTTCTCGGCGTCTGGGTCCGAGTTCGACGAGATGTACGTCGGTGTCGGCGCGCGCCGTGTGCGCGAGCTCTTCACTGCTGCCCGCAAGAACGCTCCCGCCATCGTCTTCATCGACGAGCTCGACGCCGTCGGTGGCAAGCGCTCGCCAAAAGACCAGAGCTTCCACAAGCAGACCCTCAACCAGCTCCTCACCGAGATGGACGGCTTCTCGACCGGCGAAGGCATCATTCTCATCGGCGCGACCAACACTCCTGACGCCCTCGACCGCGCTCTCGTCCGTCCCGGCCGCTTCGATCGCCAGGTCGTTGTGCCCCTCCCCGACGTTCGCGGCCGCATGGAGATCCTCAAGCACCACATGAAGAACATCCTCTACGACAAGCAGAAGGTAGACGTCTCGATCATCGCTCGCGGTACGATCGGTTTCTCCGGCGCCGACTTGCAGGCGCTCGTCAATCAGGCCGCTGTCAAGGCGTCTGGCGAGAATGCCGACATGGTCCGACCGAGCCACTTCGAGTGGGCCAAGGAGCGCATCATGATGGGTGCCGCCCGCACGTCGGCCTACATCACGCCCGAGAACAAGCTTGCGACGGCGTACCACGAAGCCGGACACGCACTCCTCGCCCTGTACACGAAGGGCGCCTATCCCCTTCACTCGATCACGGTCATCCCGCGCGGCGCAGCTCTCGGATACACACTCATGCTTCCCGAGAAGGACGTGCAGTCGCATTCGCTCACCGAGTACCGTGCCAAGATCGCCGTGGCGATGGGCGTGAGCTGGCGCTTTCTCTTTCGTTTGGTTGAATGATCCGTTGACGGCTTTCGTTGTCTCCCTGCAGGGTCGCGTTGCTGAGGAGCTCATCTATGGCAAGGAGAACGTCACGGACGGCGCGTCGTCGGATATCTCGAACGCGACCCAGATCGCCTCGAACATGGTTCGCCGCTTCGGCTTCTCCGAGGCTATTGGTCCTGTCGCGCACATGAACGACTCGGACCAGCCGTCACCGTCGGAGGAGACGCAGAAGCTCATCGACGGCGAGATCAAGGGCTTGATCGAGAAGGCGCAGGACCGCGCGAGGGAGGTCTTGACGGCCAAGAAGGATGAGCTGGAGAGGCTCGCGCGTGCGCTGGTCGAGTACGAGACACTGGACAGTGCCGAGGTGCAGAAGGGTAAGTTCCGCTCTTCCCGCTGTCTCCTCCAAACCGAACTAACTGCTCACTGCTCACTTTGCTTTGCGCAGTCATCAAGGGCGAGCCGATCCGGCGGACAGGTCTCGAGTGAACGAATCGCAAGGGTGTCACAATGTACTTCTACGCTCGCAACAGCAGTCTCTCCCGAGCATTCGAGCCGCCTGTAACTCGAAGCGATACCAACTTGTAACAACGAGGAGAGCTGGGCTGCTTCGTGGGCTGCGGTCGCCTGCCTGCGCTGCTTCTGGGCTCATTCTGGGAGTGCAGGGTGAGCCATTCGCCTCAAAAGAGCTTTTCGCGGTGCTCGTCGCCTACTGCGAGGGACTTGAACGCACCTTTCCCTCCCTCCACCACCTCGACCTCGCTAGTCCCGCTCAACGATAGCCATGTCGGGCGTAGCAGGACTGCCACACTCTGGTGAGCATGCGCACGCTGGAGCGAGAGCCCGTCGTCGCTCACCCTCACCTGCTGACGCTCCCCCACTTCACCAGGCATCAACAACCTCACCACGCTCCTGCGGCGGCTCGAGGCCACTGTTAGCCGCCTCGAGGATGTCGCTCTCACGCACGCGAGCGCGGGCGGCTTCCCCTCTGGCGCGAACGCCGTACAAGGCGCCGCCATTCCTGCCCCCTCCGCGCCGAACGCTTCGGCCGCTGCTGCTCCGCCCCAGCCGCCCAAGGAGGAGGAGAAGGCTTCGCCTGCCGTAAAGGGATACCAGGACCTCATTGACGGACCTCTCGCGACTTACGAGAGTCTGAGCAAGGAGCTCGGCGGCCTCGTTGCGGAGCAGGTGCGTGCGAGATTCGCTCGTCTCGCTGTACTTCTGCTGATGCATTCGCGAGTACACAGGCCCAGCACGTCTCAAAGGCCTTCCACGCCCAGAAGGACTTTGTCCAGCTCGCGTCGGCATGCACGAAGCTCCCCACCTCGTCTCCTCAGTACCCGTCCGTCATCGGCCCTACCCAGTCTGCGCTTCTTGCCGCCATCGACATGCGCGAGAAGAACCGAGCCAGCAAGGAGAGCAACCAGCTGACGGTCGTTGCGGAGGGTCTGCCTGCCCTCGGCTGGGTCACTCTCGTTCGTTCGTTTCCTCCCCGTCTCGCCGGAAGTTCAGCTGACGCAGGTCTTCCCGCGACGCAGGACGAGAAGCCCGGTCCCTTCGTCGGCGAACACCGCGATAGCGCCATGTTCTGGGTCAACCGCGTTATCAAGGAGCACAAGGAGTCGTGCGTCTGGCTTCTGCTCTGCCTTGTTTGGCTCGTCTGACCGTCTCGCCGCTTGCAGGAATCCTAAGCAGGTGGAGTGGGCTCGGAGCTTCGCCGCCTTGCTCGAAGAGCTGCGCAAGTACATCATGCAGTACCACACGACCGGCCTCGTCTGGAATCCGAAGGTGTGTGCCGCTGGTCTGGTCGCTCTGCACCTTCAAGCTCACAGTCTTCCTTGCAGGGCGCTGACCCGACGACCTACAAGTCCGCCTCAGTCGGCGCCTCCTCGGCCGGCGCACCTCCGCCTCCGCCTCCGCCCCCTCCTGCTCCCGCACCTCCTCCCCCTCCTCCCGCAGGGAGCGCACCGGTCGATGCCGCATCTGCCGGCGCAGCAGCGGCCGGCGACATGAGTTCGGTCTTTGCGCAGCTCAACCAGGGCGAAGGCATCACCAAGGGCTTGAAGAAGGTCGACAAGAGCGAGATGACGCACAAGAACCCCGAATTGCGCGGGTCAGGTGCCGTGCCTTCGACTCTTGGTGCGTTCGTTGGTCCGTCGACAGGTGGGGAAGTTGTGCTTACGAGGTTGAGGATACGCAGGCGGCAAGGCTCCTCAGAAGGCGCCCAAGCCCGGCTCGATGCAGAAGAAGCCGCCCAAGAAAGAGCTCGACGGCAACAAGTGGAACATCGTGCATGACCAGACTCCGCTCGAAGCGAACGGTGACTGACTGTCTCGCATCTCGCAGGAAAACTTCGAGAATGACAGGGCGATCGTGGTTGACCAGACCGAGATCAACCAGACTGTCAACGTCTTCAACGTCAAGTCGTCAATCATCCAGGTCAAGGGCAAGGTCAACGCGATCTCGCTCGGTGCGTTCGCCTTCGAGTCCTCGCAGTTCCGCTCTCCTCTGACTGTCCCGCTTCGCAGTCAATTGCCCGAAGACCTCAATCCTGCTCGATAGCACCGTCTCTTCCCTCTCCGTCTCCAACTCTCCCTCCTTCACCGTCCAAATCCTCGGCCGGGTCCCGACCGTCCTCCTCGACGGCAACGACGGCGGCCAAGTGTACCTCTCACGCGACTCGCTCGACTGCGAGATCGTCACTGCCAAGTGTTCGGCTATCAACGTCTCGATTCCGGAGGAGGGTGAGGAGGAAGGCGTGTTTGTGGAGAAGCCGGTGCCGGAACAGTTCAAGACGGTTGTCAGGGATGGCAAGTTGCACACGGTTGTGATGGAGCACTCGGCGTAGACGGCGGGGCTATTGTAGAGCCATGAGACTTTTCTCTCTCCCTCTCTTCCTCTTTTCGAAACGCGTTCGTAACCGCTTCTCTCGTCCGTCCGGCTGCGAGAGTCATACAACGGAGGACCAGCCTTGTCTATCGTCACATTCACAGCTACCTCAGCTCTTTGGCGCGTCCTCCCGTATGCAGTTGCCTGGACCCGGCAGGAGGTACCGCAACTCGTCGGCGTGTTCGACCACGTAGGAGGGGATGTCGACCGCTGATTTGCTCCTGCGGACGTGACGAGTGATCAGCGTTCGCGTGCGGTAGGAAAGCTACGGAAGGGAAGACGAGCGCAGACTCACGGCACCAACCTCATCTTGTTGAAAAACTCGAGGTACGTATACGCCTCCGGGAGCATCTCGAACATATCAAGTCCCTTACAGATCGTTTCCTGAATCCTCGCTGGTCGGAGAAGCGCAGATGGACGCGAAGCGAGTCGGTCGACGTGTGAGTAGCCGGTGGCTTTGAGGGCAAAGTCGGAGAGGTGGCGGAAGCACCAGCTGTGAGGTACAAAGGGGGTTAGCGGAGGAGCGGAGAGGGGTGGGAAGGGGACGCACGGGGAGTGCCAGCCGGAGTTTGGGAGGATGCGTTCTGTTACTTTGCCGTGTCTGCGCGCGGATGGGAAGGTCAACCTCGTGTGCGCCCAACTTCTGCAAGCCGTCGATAATGGCTGACCACGACTGTACTCGTGGTCCACGCCATCGGAGGGAACGAACGCAATGCGGACGCACCGGTAGAACTCGTCCTCTCCCTCCCCTCGCAACGGCCACTCAACCGCGCTAGGCCTCCAACTACTCGTCTCCCCGCCCTCCTCAAACTCGAACGAATACACGAAGGACCTCAATCCCAGATGCAGCGGCGCGGGGAACTGACAGGCTTTGAGGAGCGACGCCGTCTTGAGCGAGAGAATTTCATCGACATCGGAGAAAAGCAATACCGGCGTGGGCAAGGGTGCAGAGGGGAAGTGTTCGCGCAGGAGAGAGGTCATGAATTGTCGGAGGGCGATCTCCTGATAGCAGGGAGACTCGCCTTTCTCGAGCGCACGGCCGGAGAAAGTGCGGTAGGTGATGCGAGGGAGGAAAGGCTTGAAACGGGCGTCGTTCGTGAGAGCGGGTTGCAGGACGAGGCGCTTGGGGAGACCAGTAAAGGTTCGGTCGGATTCGACGAGGAAGAAGCGGTCGACGGCGGGAAAGAGCTCGTGCAGTCGGACGAGGAGGAGGTCGAGTTCGGTCGAGAAAATGGTCTGTCGGTGCGAGACCGTCAGCTTCGATGTCACAGTCGCACTGCTTCGCACTCACCGCATCCCACATCTCTGGCTCGTCGCTGCGCTTCTCCCACCCGTGCAGCCGACACTGTTCCGCTGCGTCGAGTCCGTCCGCCCAGTAATGCTCGATGGCCTCGCCTGGTCGCTCGTCGTGATCCCACAGCGGTCTCGTCGCATAAGCTATTGCTCCTCGCGGGAGGAGAGGACGGAGTACGACGAGGTAGACGAGCAGTGCACCGCCGAACAGCGCGAGCGCGAGGGTCGCTGGGCGGTTGCGCGAGAGTGGCAGCATCGTCGAGGGCTGCGGGTGCAGTCGTCTTCCAGCGTCGCAGTCGCTCGTTTGCTGTCGCCGCGCGTGCAACCGGCGTCGTTGGCGACGACGCTCGAGCGGAACCTCCGCGCCAAGCGTCCGGGGCACAAAACCGGAAGCGTGGGAAATCAGCAACAGAGACATTCATTTACAGAAAGCATTACAACGGAGAATAGAGTGAGCTAGTAAAGCATAGCAAGCGAGGGGAGTGGATAGAGAGGAGCGAGACGGAAGCAGACGGAGGACAAGGCCAGTTCAGTCGAGATCGCAACAATACAACTCGGTTTGTATTCAATTTTGTATTGGCTCGACTTTGTAATCGCAGTCTCATCGCCTTCGCTCCTCGACACGCTCGACACACCCCGACACGATGGCAGATCCGTTCAGAGACCCGCAGCCGCAGACACTCGACTCGGTGAGTAGCCCACAAAGCCGCGCAGCACGCCAGAACGACGCCGGACACCCCCTCCTCTCCCGCGACCGCACTTCCGCTAATCACGCCCGTACACGCACACAGAACCCGTTCGCAGACCCAGCAGTGCAGGCTGGACTCCACTCGCATGCGCACGAGGACTACGACGCGTCACTCAAGACCGGCGGGTCGACGTACTCGCTCCCGCAGACGGGAGGAGGAGGGGCCGGTGGAGAGGACATGCAGGCGCGCTTGGCCGACTTGCAGCGGAGGGAGCAGGAACTGGCAGTGAGTCTCGAGTCTGGACCCTTGACGGGAACGCGCTTGTGCTCGTGCGGCGACCTCTCCCTCGACCGCCCACTCACTCGCTCGCACCCGCTCATAGAACCGGGAATCTGCACTCAAGGCGAAGCAGGAGCACATCCGCAAGCAGTAAGTGCGCTCAGGATTTTTAGACGAGTCTGCGCTGACACTTTTGGCTCGCAGCGGCCGCAACAACTGGCCTCCAGGTCCTTTCCCTCTCCTCTTCCACAGCATCGAGTGCGTGGCCGTGTCTCTCAGCTTGCTCCCCTTCAGATGCATGTCCTCTTCAATCTAGACGAAGCGAGCTGACCGTCGGTGCCATTTTTATAGGGACGAGATCCCCGAACAGCACCAAGCGACGGTCCTCACCCTCTACCGCATCTGGATGTTCCTCATTCTGGTCCTGATCGTCAACCTCGTCGGTGCCATCTTGTTGCTCATCTCGGGCGCAAGTAACGGCGGAGCGGGTGAGTTGGTTGTCGCTTGTTGGAGCGGGAGTTTCGCTTGATGCGGACGCCGTGCGCTTCTATCAGCGGACGAAGGACTGACACTGCTTGTGTTTGACAGACCTCGGAAGCGGTATCATGTATGTGCCGGTAATCGGGGCACTGTCTTTCTTGCTGTGGTGTGCGTTGGTCCCGCCCCCCTCCTTCCTCAAAACGCCTGCTAACCTTTGACCTCTCGTAGACCGCCCCGTCTACAATGCCTACGCAAAAGTGCGTTTGATCCTGACCCTGCCGTCCAGATAAACCGCTGACCTGTCCGTCTCTGCAGGAGTGCGGTCTTCCTCCCTTGCCAGCTGCCTCCGCCCACTCGCCCAGAGCTCACGCTGCTTCTCCCGCAGATACTCCTTCTTCTACTACATCTTCTTCCTCTTCGGCGCCTTCCACATCGCCTTCTGCGCGTACATGTGCGTCACCGCTCCACTACCTCCTCCCTCTTTCCCCTCCCCTTCCTCGCTGACTTCCCCCACGACACAGGTTCGTCGGCATCCCCTCGTCCGGCTCCGCAGGCCTGATCAACCTCATCTCGCGCTTCGCGGGCGGCCACATCGTCTCGGGTGTTTTCTGCGTGTTGGCGACTGTGGGATGGGCGTTGGAGGGACTGGCGATGCTTTGGATGTACAAGAACGTGCGTCGAATTCCACTCTTGCGTGAGAATGCAGAGAAGCGGGGGACGGGTGCTGACCGGGCAGTTGGACGCAGGTTTGGGCGCACTCACACGGCGAACAGGGGCACTCGCTCGCGCAGGCCAAGCAAGAGATCCAGATGTGTGCGTCCCCTTCCCTCGTCCACCTACCCAAGCAACACCAGACTGACGATGATCGCGCGAAACAGACGGCATCAAGCAGTACCTCTTCAAGGCGCACTCGATGCCCGCTTCGTCGCAGCAGCAGGCGCAGGTCTAGACGCGTCCCTTCCTTCTTTCTCTGTCGGTGCGAGGGGAGAGGAGTGGCGTTTGTGCGATACCCCGATGGATTTGGTACGTTCGAGTTTGGAGCGGGAAACATGGACAGTACTCTCTCACGCGTTTACGTCGGTGCCATGAGAGCGAGAGGGATCACAGAGAGCACTACAACGAGAGAGGGGTATCTGCACACCGCGAGCTAGAGTACAAGCGACCAAAAGAACGGAAGGAAAGGGCACGCTAAGCGAAAGTAAGGGTCGCGCCGTCGTCGCTGAGGTAGAAGACCCCGAGCTCAGAGTACGCCGCAAGCGCATCGTCGAGCTCGTCCTGAGTAAAGCCCGCCGCGAATGCGCGGTCCCGAATGTCCGCCATCCTGAGCGTCTCCTCAAAGTCGTCTGCGGCCGCATCGTCGTCAACGTCCATCAACGCGTCGCTCAGCATCGACTTGACGAGGTGGTAGATGCGTGTGCGCGAGCTGCGGTCCTCGCCTGCATCGCGGTGCTCGTGCTCGTGCAGCGACGCCTTCGAAGCCTCCATCAACCTCAGCGCCTCCTTGACGTCGTCGACGTCGACTTCGGGCGAGAAGCGGAGCCGCGCGCAAGCCTGCGCGAGACGCAAGACGCCCAGGAGCGTACGCGCAGACGTGTAGGTGAAGAACTGGTTCTTCTCGTCTTCTTGCTTCTGACGCCGCCGCAGGCTCGTGTACTCGTTCACGACCATGTCGGCGATGACCTTGGGCACGACGGGGCGGACCTGGCGCGCGAGAGCGATGTAGTGCCTCAAGACGGTCGGCGAGATCGGCTCGAGCGCGAGAGGGGGTGCCTCGCGGTTCATGTGCACGAACGTGACGTGCTGCGCCAAGCGCTCGTCGTCGTCGCGCGTGGGCGTGTCGAGGATCAAGAAGAGGAGGTCGAAACGAGAGAGGAGGGCGGCGGGGAGGTTGATGTTGTCGACAGGCGAGATCTTCGGGTTGTAGCGGCCGTAGAGAGGGTTCGCGGCGGCGAGGACCGACGTGCGCGCGTTGAGCGTCGTCGTGATGCCGGCTTTCGAGATCGAGATGGTCTGTGGGACGCACTTTGGTCAGCTGCGCTTCTCGCAGGCGAGTGAGAGGCGACGCACCTGCTGCTCCATGACCTCGTGGATGGCTGTTCGGTCCGACTCGTCCATCTTGTCAAACTCGTCGATGCAGCAGATTCCGTTGTCGGCAAGGACGAGAGCACCTCCCTCTGCGGAACGTGACCGTCAGTACGCGCTTGACTGTCGAGGGAGAAGCGGCTAACGCACCGAGGACAAATTCGTCGGTGACGGGGTCGCGCAGGACGGCAGCAGTAAGACCGACGCCCGACGAACCGCGACCGGTCGTGTAGACGCCTCGAGGCGCGACCTTGGCGATGTACTTGAGCAGCTGCGACTTGGCCACACCGGGGTCGCCCATCAAGCACACGTTGATGTCGCCACGAATCTTCATGCCGTCGCCGACCGCCTTGGTGACACCACCGACGAGGAGAAGGAGGAGAGCGCGCTTGACGTCCTCGTGGCCGAAGATCTCGGGGGCGATACTCGACGCGAGGCGGGAGAAGAGACCGGGCACGGCCTTGATCTCCTCGATCTCGCGGGTGATTTCGGGCGTGAGCTGCATCGCCTCGTACTGCTTTTTGAGCTGCTGGACGTGGTGCGCTTCGAGGTACGAGTCGGTGAGGAGGCCCATCCGCATCGCCTTGAGGCCTTCATACGGGATCGGGAGGAAGATGCCGCTGATGTTGACGACGTCGCCAGGCGAGACTGCACGAGTCTGGTTGCCGTAGAGGTGGATGACCATCATTCGGGGGATGTGGCCGACGGGGACTTGGTCCGCCTGCAGCTCAAGAAGGTCAGCTTCGCTCCTCAAACGGCAAAGTTGAGCGAACGCACCATCTCCTGGATCCTGCACTCCTGGAAGGGCGTGAACTTCGACGCCCTCGTCTGCATGTACAGCTGACCCCTGCTCTGGTTCTGCGTGCAGACCTCGCTGATACACGCGTCAAGGGGCGTGACCTTCCTCCCCTGGACGTCCTGGAAGATCTCTGCGCCGCAAGAGTCGCACGTGTAGGCGTTGACCTGGAGGAGAGGCTTGACCTCCGAGACGCGCGTGACGATGCCGCGGACCGTGATGAGCTTGCCGAGGTGAGCGCCGCGAACCTGGCGGACGGCGAGACTCGGCTCGTTGGCGAGAGGGCGGAAGTAGAGGTTGCTATCGGACACTGCCGTCAGCTCAAAGAGAGCTGCGCGAAAGAGATGGTCTACGCACTATCGTCGGAGAAGCTGCGGAGGGAAGACAGCCTGGCCGGCCTCCTCGTTCTGCTGGTTCTTGTTGTTGCGGTGGTACTGCATGACGTCGAGGATGTCCGACTTGGGACCGATGTCGACCGTGTTCTGCGGCATGACCTCGTCGATCGCGCGGCTGAAGAGCTTGATGTATCGCTGCGTGTTGCGCTGGATCTGGGCGACCAGCGCCCGGCCCATCTCGCCGTCCTGTCGTCAGAGAGAGAGTCAGCGACTTTGTGAGGACCGCGGAAACGCCGTCACGCACCTCCTTCAGGTCCTCAAGGTCGATGACTATCCGCTCCTCGTCTCGGTTTGCTACCCGTTGCTGAGAGCGTACAACTCGGTCAGCACGCGTTCCCGCGAGCTCAAAGAGTGACATCGCGGTCTACGCACCAGCATCTCGACATACTTTTCCCTCGGCGCCGCATCCTCGCCCTCCTGCACATCCTCGTCCATGTCGACATTCTCGAGGGCCTCGTCCTCCGGCAGGGCCCTCCGCTTGCCCGGACGCGTCTTGAACTTGGTCAAGAAGTTCTTGATCTGGTCGAGGTCTTCCTCACTGGTGGGCGGGGAGAAGTGATCGTTAGCTTCGAGTCGAGGGGGGAGAGGGAGAACTGGGCGCACTAGTCGAGCCCGAGGTTGATGGTGGGGAGTGCGGCGGCCATCAGAGCGTGTGTGCTGACTGGCGGCTAGTGCAGGGCTGTCTGTGCTGTGGTCGGCGAGGTGAGGGACGCGAGATGTCGAGTGCGAGGTGGAGAGCACACGGCGGGATGGGGGAAAGACCGGCAGACCTGGCTCCTTCGGCAGGTTCAGGAGAGCCGTTGAGAGCGAGTGCGGGTCTAGCAGAGAGCGCGGGAGACTCGAGGCGGGATGAGGCGAGGATCAAAGTGAGGAGGACGCGTGACAACTCGTCGAGGCGCGACGAACGCGTCCAAAGCTACAACAAATCGCAGGGCGCAAGGCAAAGCACAGAAGTTTGCGAGTGGCTGCAATACAGTGACACAACGAGAGGCGACGACCGCGCTACTTCCCGCCTTCGAAGACCGCCCTCACAACAGCCTCGACAGCCGCCTGCGCCTCGCATCCGTCCTTCAGCATGCGCTCAAACTGCGCCGGTATAGCTTCGAGTGCATATCGTGCCTTTGCGGAAAGGCCTGGAGGAGGAGGAATCGCGGCGAGGGAGAGGTGCGGCTCGACAGGTTGGGCGGAACGGAGGATTGGCAAGGGAGATGAAGATGGCGCGATGCGGGAGGAAAAGGTGAGGACGGGCGAGCGGACACTGTGTACAAGCGCAGTCGTCAATTGCGAGCAAGCCGGCCTCCAAGCAGGGAGGAGAGCGCACCTCTGGCCTGCGAAGGTCAACTCCGCCTGTCCACCCTCTCCTAATCCCGACACGCCTTGCGCAAACTCCGGAAGCGCTTTGGTCAGCCTAGCAAACAGCTGTGAGCGATGTGCGGCGAGCAGGCTGTATTGTCGCAAGAGGGCGAAGAAGGCGGGCGGATCTGGCGGAGTGTCGGGCTGTAAGCTGCGTGCCGTCCACGAGTCAGCCTGCGCACGGCCAGGATCTTCCGAGACCTAAACGCACGTCTGCAGCGCATTCTGCAACTCCTGCGACCCTCCCTCAACCCGACTGTCCATCTGCTCAATCGCGTACTCTCGCCCAGGATCCCTGCCCGGCTTGTATCGCTCATCCGGGTCTGCCGGCGGTTCTCGTACGTGCAGCTCGAGTTCGAAGGAAATTGGAGGGAGAGGGGCGGCGTGGGCGTGGCCAGAGAGGGTGTGAAGGCGGATTTGCGAGCCTGCGAAAGCGCGAAGGGGTCAACATCGTTCTCTTGCCCGCTGTTCGAATCGCACGCACTTCTGCTACTGCTCACGAGTTTGGTGGAAGCCCGCTCGATGCGAATACCAGTCAGTTCGGCGTTCTCCTCGACCTGGTGGAGCAGCTCATGTCAGCGTGAAGCGGCCGACAGCTCTTCCGGGCACGCGTACCATCTGTCTGGCTCGCTTTGAGCCCTTCGAACCCTCCGCATCATCATCAGTCCGCCCGAACCCCTGCCCGCCGTCCTTCGCCGCGTCGAGGATCCGGTCCCTGTGTTCGACAACCTCTTATCAGCCCACGCCCCATCCAAGCTGCTCGCCTGCATACGTACAGCACCACCTCACTCTCCTCTACCCCATTCACGCCCCTCGCACCTCCCACGCGCCTCACACTCCCCTCCGTACCCCCGCCCCCAGGCGAATGTTGATGAACCCCTCGCGCGGGATCAGACAAGCGAGCGAGCTCGAGCTCGAGTTGGGCGATCTCTTGAAGGAGTTGTGAGCGCTCTGACGAGTCGGGAGAGGCGGAGCGAGGCATGAAGTGGGGGTGGTGAGGAGGAGAGGGGAGAGGGGTGGTTGGAGGCTGGGTGTGTGGGAGGTTGACCACGATGAAGAGCGAGGCCAGCCACTGACAGCACTACTGCAGCAAGTATGAACGGCTCAGAACAGCGAAAGGACGGAAAGAAGCTAAGCGAGCGTGAGGCGAAGCTCTCTGAACGAAGTCTGACAAGATGCAACAAGTCGTGCCATACAAGCTCGCCAATACGAGGGCATGCTAAAACCGTACAGTCCAAGGAGAGTAAACAAACAGCAAAGGGATTAGAACGAGGTCGCTGAGCGAGTAAAGTTCTTGCGAAGCTCCGTTCCGTAGTCCGGTTTTCAGTGCGCACCGACGGTGTTATCGCCCGTCACCTGCGTGTCCCGCTCGTTGTGCGGGCGTGAGCGGACCCGCTTTTGTCGCCGTGGCTGAGAGCGGCTGAGGTTCAGCCTCAACCTCCGCCCAACCCGCCGTCAAGCCCGAAACGACCTGCGCTCCCTCGTCCGCAACATGGTTCGAGATCGGGTACTCGCCGTCGACTGCCGTGAAGGCTTGTTGCGGAGGATACGGGTGCGCAGCGGGCCAGGCGGAATGGTCGGCGTACGAGCCATGCGGAGGGGAGACGACCATCCCTGCTGGGTACTGGACGAACGCCCCGCTGGCTGTTGGCGATACGGGCGGGTGGTGAGCGACGGACGAGATGGGGTACGGTGCGGCGCCGTGCGGAGCGCGAGGATGGTGATGGTGCAGTGCGACGGGGTAGGGAGGGCTGGAGAGATGCGGAGGATAGGCGAATGCAGGGCCGGGAGGAGAAGCGGAGGAAGAGATCGGGTAGTAGGCGGACGTAGGGGATGACGCTTCAGCGCCTGCGACGGGAAGAGCGGCCGTTCCAGGCGAGTAGGCCATGCCGACATGATATGGTGCGTATCGAGGGCCGTGCGTCGGGCTGAGCGGCTGCATGCCGTCGACACTGGCGGGAGGGGCGGCGACGTAGTAGGACGGCGAGACGAGGACGTGAGCTGGCGGAGACCGCTCAGCCTCGCCGGTGCCGTCGATTTGGAGCGCGGTGGGCGGGTACGAGTAAGCCATAGGCGGTTGTGCATGGAGATGGGCGTGTGTAGAGGCGGGTGATGCGAAAGGGTAGAGCATGACCGGCTGGTAAGGATGTGGGGAGGTCGTAAAGGAGGAGGGAGAAGCGGACTGGGCGAGCTGGACGGAGCGACTCGACGGCGAGGTCAACGAGGCTGGTAGCAATGGTGTCAGCTTCGTCGAAGAGAGACGTAGTTTACGCGAACGCACAGTGCGAAGTACCGGCGTTCGACGTCCAGTAGCCAGAGTCGGCGCGACCGCCTTTGCTCGACGAGTAAGACCCTTGTCCCGCCGTCGACGCTTTTCGCGACACCGTCGCTTGGCCAAGCTGTGACGGTCGTCGTCGAGGCTCGCTCGGCGGTAGTTGAGCAGACTTGGGAACGCTGTTCGGAGGGCTGCCGATGCAGGGGGTGCCTGTTCGTGCAACGTCAGCTCGAGAGGCTCGAGGACGTCAGAAGCGACTCACCGTTCGGTCCGAGTACATCCTGCGCCTGCCAGCCTTTCGGGCCTTGCACGATAGAGTATTCGACCTGCGAAGGTCAGAGGTCAGCGTTGAGTGGAGAAAACTGTCCATCGTCTTTGCAGACTCACCAGCTCGCCCTGGGTACGTCAACGTCGTCAGTAACGAGTCGCGTGAAAGCAAAAGAGGAGCGACACACCTCCATCAACGAGCGGAACCCTCGAGGACCGCCTTGGACGGCGAGGATGGTCGTGTAATGGACGAAGACTGCGCGACCGAGGTTAGCTACATGCACGCCGCAACGAAGGAATCGACGCACCTTCGTCGTTGCCCAATTCTTCTGCCGCATCGTCGAGGATGAACCCAAAGCCCTGCGGAAAGGAGCGGTCACCTCTGGGCGAGCAAGTCGGCGAGGAGGAGAACGTGAGCGCACCTTCTGGGCGTTGAAGAACTTGCAGCGACCCGTCCTCCGCTTCTCTCCCTTTGCCAACGCATCGGCACCGACCGAGGCACCGCCGGCAGCGTCTTCGCCAGCGCCCTTTCCCAGGCTCATTCGCAACGCCGTCGCGTCCCACTCGCCGTCTGCGCCGTCGTGCGAGCCAGCAGGCGACGACGAGAGCGGACGAGGATCTACAGATACGCGCGACCCTTCGTCGCCGTCGAGATCGCCGCCGGTCCGAGATGAAGCTGGTCGCGGCGGAAGGGTCTGAAGAAGCGCTCCGAACGAGCCCAGCAGTGCGTCGCCGTGCCCGTCAGCCTGGCCAGCGTCCCCAGCGTCCCCAGCGTCCCCAGGCGGCGAATCGGACGTCGACGACGATGGCGGCGGCGAATCGACGGCGTCAGTCGACCCTCGAGGTGTACCACCGAACGCCGGCGACGAGAGAAACCCGTTCGGCAGCGGTGGACGGCGGCCGGTCCCAGCGGGCTGTCCTGCGGCTGGTCGAGACGGTCGTGTCGAGGGCGAGGGCGTCGAGTCCGGGCGGTCCGACGACGAGGACGAGGGAACCGCGGGCGACGACGAAAGTCCAGCGAGAGTCGGGCGGGCCATGGATGGCGCGCGGCGAGACGGTCGTCCTGCGTCGAAGTGGCGAGTGCAGGCGTCGTCCAGGAGAGCCGCGGACCTCAGGAGGAGAGCGTTCGATAAGGAGGCGACTGTGGGGTGAAGGATCGAGGGAGTGGAGGTGGTGTCGAGGAGAGGAGTCTCTCTCCGGGATTACTCGGCGGAGCTGGCTCGACTGCTCGACGTCGAGCTCACTGCACGGCGAGCGAACGAGCAGAAGGAGACCGCCAGCGATGCGCGTGAGAAGGAGACAGGCGAAGGCGAAGACATTATTTCGCTGCGGAAGAGCTTGTCGAGGCACACGCAATGTCTTTCGTTCGCGGCGCGCTCTCCGCTCACGCTGCTGCTGCCAGCTGCACACCCGGCACTGCATCCGTCGACCCTTCCTCCCTTGCCCGCAGTCGAGAGAGGAAGCCGACCTTCGTAACCTTCCGCGACGGACCTCCTTCCTCCTCACACTCCTCGCTCGCACCGCATGTCGCTGAGGTCGGCGGCGAACTGGCATCACGACAACGCCGCCATGCGTCCAAGCAAGAGCGTGCCGTCGAAACTCCGCCAACGCAAATCAGGGACAAGATTGCCGCCGTATGTCGAGAGCCCTCCCGCAATTTTGTCGACTCGGCCGGCAAGCTGGTCGCGTTCGGCGGCGTCGTTTGCGTGCTTGGTCGACTGCGAAGCTGCTCGCTGCACAGGCGACGAGTGTCAGTGGGACCGTCTGGAAGAGGAGGAGTCGACGAGAAAGGATAAAGTGGGCGAAGAAGAGTCTCACCCGAGGGACGATTCCGCGAGAGAGAGCGAGAGAAGCGAGAAACCTAACCAGCGGTTCCGAGAAGAAGCCCGGTGAGGCTTAGCAAGCCTTACTTCGAGATCGCCTTGACTTGGCGGTGGTAGCTGGCGCTAGAACTCGTACGTAGCGCAGGAGACCAGCAGGAGAATGTCGCATCCCGTGCGATGGCAGCTACAGATCGCGAAGCCAGCGCCAAGTCGCACCCGACAGTATGGCAATGCAGGCGCTGTTTGTCTGTTGAAAAGGCGCGGCGGCATAGCAGGGCCTGTCGCTGTACGAGAAAGGAGGAGAGCTGATCTCCCACGCACGGCAAGCGTCGATGGCGCTGAGCGCTGCCGTCCTGCATCGACGCACAATACGGCCGGAGAGCCTGCTCTCAGTTGGGGGACGGAATGCGGAGTGAGTGCCGAGCGGGTGAGAGTTGAAAGGGGACGGTGGAGGTGTCGGAGGAAGGCGTGTTGCGATGGTCAAGGCGGGGGTCGTACGGCCGAGTGCAGAGTCCAGGGAGCCCAGGCATCGATACAGTGGCCGCTCACTGCCCAGCTAGGCGCGCTGTTCCGGCTTGGTCGAGGGTACGAGGAGAAAGGGGTCGTCACCAGCGTCAACCGCCTCGAGCGTGTTTGCGCGCGCGTGTGTAGCAGTTCACAGCAGTTTCGTCGTTCTACAGCTCACATCCGAGCCACCCTGAGCGAGTGGGCGAGGTGGACGAGGCCCAACCATTGTCATCAGTTCGCGCAACCTCTTCGACCTCGACCAACTCGCCTCGTCCTGCTAGGGCGTACGGGACTCGCTTGTCTGTTCTTTACTAGCTTCTGCGACTCCGCCACCCACTATGGCTTCGACTTCCGCCGGCCCCGCCCTCTCCATCGCCGCGACTCGCCCGCGCAGGACTCGTCGGCCAAACCGCATCGCCGCGCAAGGCTCAGACGACGAGTACGGTGGTGGAAGACGCTTGCGGGTGCGCGTCGGGCAGGGCGGACCGGGCCCGAACCCGGCAGACTCGGTGGGATGGGACCGCGAACTCGACTCGGATCCGGACGAGCCTCTCGCTGTCGAGGAGCAGTTCATCTTGCGTGTACCGCCGGAGGTTGCACCGAAGCTGCGGGAACAGGTGGACAAGCGCGACGTGCCGCAGGACGTCTGGTTCAAGTTCAAGGATTCGAGGAGGGCGGTCTTTCATCTCGGCCACAAGCTCTACGGCGCCAAGCTCGTCGACTTGCCGTCCATCGTCGAAAGTCAGCGCTTGACGGGCGTGGGAGGACAGACGGTCAAAGTGGCCGACATCAGTCAGATGTTGCTCGTCGAGGAGGAGATTCGTGAGGAGGGCGAAGTCACGCACAACAAGGTCTTCAACATCGAGGACTTTGTCTATCCGCATGGCATCACTCCTCCGCTCAAGCACGTTCGCAAGCGTCGCTTCCGGCGGCGGGCAAATAGGCGGGTGCGTCGAAGATCTCGAGCCTTTCTCACTGTGTGCTCACTCGTCTTCTTCCCTCGGCAGACCATCGAGCAGGTTGAAACGGCGGTGGAAAAGCTGCTGGAGGCGGATGCGAGGGCAGAGCAGGTGCAGTTCGGTGCGTTTGCTTTCCTCGCGAATCTCCCGCTGTTTCGCTTAACCTTTCGCTCCCGCAGAGATGCTCGACTACGATGTCCCCTCCGACGACGAAGATTACGATCCTACACAACGACGAAACGACATCGAGTCGATCGGAGCGCCGACACCTCGACCAGACGGCGCCGTTTCGTCTCCCGCACCATTCGGCGATGATGGGGAGAGTCAGCGCGGCGAGGAGGAGGACGATGAGGAGAGTGATGAAGCAGGGAGCGGGTACGACAGCGACTTGGCGAAGGAGATCGAGAAGGACCTGAACATGGCCAATAAGGGTGCGGGCGGGACGGACGAGTCGGGGACGGAGGATGACGAGGATGGAGACGGCTTGTTCGGGTCGGACGACGACGACGATGACGAGGAGGAGGCGGTCGATGCGGAGACGCTCGAGGCGCGCAAGAGGCTCAAGCTGCTGGCGGAGGAGATGAGCGACCTCGACCGCGCCATCGCTGCGAAGGAGGTCGAGCTGAGCAAGGCACCCAATCCGATCTTCAAGGTGCGTTTCGCTCTGCTTTTGCGAAGGGACCAAGCGCTGATGTCCATCTCGGTGCGCAGAAACGCTTTGAGGAAGTCATCAAAAAGCTTGCGACAGAGCGCGACCTCAAGAAGAATCAGCACGCCCAGGTCGCCCGCGAGCTCGACAAGAAGCGCGAGGACGCTGCCGCTGCCGCTACACAGGCCGCTGCGGACCCGCCTTCGATGAGCGCGGTCGTCCAGCCTGTCGTCGGAGGGAGCGGGACGCCTGCTTCGGGAGGCGGGAGCGCAGGAGCCGCGATGGACCAGTCGTAGCGCCTCGTCGTGTGCAAGGGCGGCATTTGTCGACAACTACGTGCCAGGACGGACTTCCGCCTCTAGAAGCGATGCCAGGGGTTGCCCGGTCCAGGCTCTCCCCCTCGCTTCTCTCCCTCCGCGCTACTCTCTCCTCTCCTCTCCTCCTCTCCCGCTTCTCATGCCATGGTTGCTGATACGCTTCTCCAGCTCGCTACCTCTGTGTGCCAGGCAGTCTCCCGTCGTGCGTCCCTTCTCCTCCTCCTTCCCCCACTTGCCCCGCTCTAAACCTCGGGAGATGCTGACTTCGCTCGATTGGCAGGTTTGGGCTGGACTGCCTCGTCTGACTTGCTCAGGCTTCCCGATGAACTGCTCTACCACATCTGCGTGGACGTTGCCGAGGCGGACAAGCAGGCGAGGATGCGAGGCGACTGGAGTAGGCAGGTCCCCGTTCCTTGTGAAGCCGGCGCTACTAAACGATTGCATGTCGACGCAAATGACAGTCAGAGCCTCGCTTCGATGAGCCGCACCTGCCGCCGCCTTCGAGGGCCAGCTCTCCGCGCCCTTCTCGACGACCCGTCTGAACACATCTTCGAGGGAGTCGATAAAGCTGCGGCAACTCGTCAAGACTGGGCCCGGCTATGCGCTCTCGTCGACCTCCTTCGCGCCAAGCCACATCTCGGACAGTACATTCAGCACCTCGACGCTCTGGCAGAAATCGCGTACGCCAAATTCGCGGAGCTCAATTCCACCTGGCCGGCCGAGGTAGACGGCGTTCTCGTCCGCTTGCTCGCCATGAGCCCAAACCTCAAGAGCATCGACGTCTTCCCGGTCAAGAAGAAGGACGTGGCCAGCATGAAGTGGCTCGACGTGCTCAGAAAGCTTCCCTGACTCGATGTGGTCATCGTCACCGACCCGTCGCCCAAGTACACTCTCCGCCACATCGTCTTCCCCTTCCTGTCGTACAGGAAGATACCGTCGAGGGTGCGGATCTCGATCGAGAACTTCCAGTGGCATGGGCGAATTCTCGCCCATCACCGACACGCGGCCGTCGTCGGCAACACCTCGCTTTCCATCACTGAAGGCGGTCTTGACGACGCCGACTCATGGCGGCACCTTCCCCTCTCCTGCCCCAAGCTCCAACACCTCACCCTTGCACCGCCTGCACTCCCACTCTGCCTCTCAAAAGGCCTCGCCCCCTCAACTCTCCAATCTCTCACGATTCGCACGTCAGCTATGCTCATGGAGCACGCCGTCAAGGACAGGGACCTGCTCGAAAAGTTCTGGATCGACCGGTACCAGCCCTTCCTCGCCGCGCTCCACCAACTGCCCGCACTCGAGCGCATCCAGCTCGATCTCGCACCTTTCAACGCCGACGTCCTCCGAGCGCTAGGTCACGTTGCGCCGGCTCTGCGTGAGCTCGTCTTCGATGGTCCAGCCTGGCGAAGCACCGCCGTCCGCGACCCCGAGACCGACGTCGACATCCTGGACGCCATCTCCTCCCTCAACATGCTCCGGCGCGTCGAGCTCCTCACAGTTCCCGACGACGACGAGCCCGACGTCCTACCGGCGACGAAGGCGTACTGCAAGACACGCGGGATTGGGTTGTTAATCGTGCCGGAGGCGTTGGAGGACGAGGAGGACGAATCCGAAGGGGAGGATTTCGAGGACGACGAGAAGCGGAGTGGAGATGTCATGGGAGAGGCTGCAGGCGCGCAGGCGTGAGATGCGTGAGAGACGTATCTGCGCGTTCGAGGGAGGACGTGCGGCCGGGGAGAAGGTTCCCTTGCGCTTCGATTTGGAACGCGCAGCGACCTCTCTTGTACTTCGCACGTTCCTTCAACACGCACAACGACCATTGGGAGAGCGAATGTTTGGGCTTCTTCTGCGGAAAGAAGCAAGCTGTTCCTTCACCTCGCTCGCTCGCACACACGGCTGCTACTGCTGAGTGCGACTGCTGGGCTTGTCGCGCGTGACTGAAACCTTCTTCCGCTCGCCGTACTGCCTCTGCAGGTGCGCTGTCTTCGAGTTCTCCCCCTCCTCGTCCTCATCAGCTCACGGCCCTCATCGCGCAATAACAGCTTCGCAAGACCCGCCGACAGCCGCCTGTCCGCCATACATCCTCTACGAGCCAGCCAGCCCCAAAGCGAGCCGCCCATTAACCCCGCGAGCCATGTCGTCTCCGATTCTTCGCCTGCCGGAAGAGCTGCTGGACTTGATCAGCGGTTTCGTCGTCGAGCTGGAGGGAGGTGCGTAGTCGACCCGCAAAGCCTTCAGGAGCACAGCTGACCCTTCCGCGCAGATGGCGTCGTCACGACCCTCGCGCTTTTCTCAACTTGTCGCCGACTCCTGCCCAGTGCTCGCCGCGCACTTTGGTCCGACCCAACACGGAGCCAGCGCCTGAGAAACTGGCATCAAGCTCTGCACTTCCAGAACACCCTGCTCAAAAAACCGGGACTGGGCCGGCTAATCGTGCGACTCGACTGGCTCGTCGACGTCCAGTCCGCTTTCTATCGGCAAAAAGTCGAGGAGTTATTGATCGAGAACTGGACCCGGCATCTCCTCTCGACATGCCCCGGTCTCCGTTCGTTGGCGGTGTTCCCCTGCGTCGACTCCAAGTGGCCGGCGGAGCTTGCCTCGCTGCCGTCGCTCCGGCATCTCACCGTCGCAGCGCGAAGCGTTGTTCCCTGGGTTGGTGAGGATTGGATCAATCACCTTGACTTCCTGGGCACTCTCGACGTGTCCCGTCTGGTCTCCTTGACCTTGCGCGATTTGTATCTCGAGGAGCCCGACCCTAGCCCCGAGATTGTTCTGCCGCCTCTTGCCCTTTGCCTCGAAGAGATCGACTTGTTGCCGGAGGCGACGTGGCGTCTCCTGCCGCTGTCCTTGCGCAACGTTCGTCGGCTGACGGTCAGGCCGAGGAATTCTACCGGCCTCGACTTCGTAACCAGCCTCATCCCGCCGGAGCTCGAATCTCTCGTCATCGAGCCGCTGTTCAGCATCGACACCATGAGTGACAGCGTAGCCGACCATGACGAGGAAGACATGGACCACCTTTCCTTCCCCTTCACTGAACTCCGAGAACTTCGTTACCTTCGCCACCTCGTTCTTCGCTCCATCCTGATCGATTTCGACGACTTTCAGCTCCTGACCAAAGCAGCGCCCAACCTCGAGTATCTTGATCTGAAGAATAGCAGGTGGGATGACTACTGGTGGGACCGCCCGCCCAACAAGGCCAACATGATTCTGTCGAACTCGCTCGACGGGCTGCCTTGTTTGCGGTTCCTCGACCTTGGCTTCCTTCCCGTCGCCAACTACCGCTCCCCGATGCGACCTTTGACCGAGTACTGCGCCGAGCGCGGTATCGAATGTCAGTGGAGACCGCTCGCAGGACCGCTGCCGGGCCACGAAGAAGCGGGGAATCCTGGCGAGATCATCGACCCAGGTCCGCTCGACAAGCAGGATGAAGTCGGCGCCGATCTTCGGCATCCTCGCGCCATCCTCCAGCGAGAACCGCAGCTCGGCGACGTCGACCCGTCGGACGCACTCGTTGAGGATCCGTTCGGCTGGGCGCCTTCTTCGCGCGAAACGACACCATTCGACGAGGTCCTATCCAAGAGCTTCCTCGAGAACGTATCTAACTTGTCCGACGCCGACTCGTCGTCGACACCCTCTCCACCTTCTTCGCCCGACTACCTTCCCGCTCCTCTCGACGATCCTCGCCTCGCATCCGATTACGAAGCGCGCGATACGGTCGACGAGCCGGACGAGGAGCCGTGGTGGGACTGGCGCAGACCTTGCGACTTTGAGGCGGCCGACAAGGCGTGGATGGAGCTGGAGAAGGACGTCGAGGCTGGGACGTTTCCCTTCCCGTAGGCGCAGTAGGCTGTCGAAATGTATCTGAAGGTGCCAAGTCAAGCAAGAGAAGCGAGCGCAAGCTGACGAAAGCGCGAGCCGCGAGTACGATGCAGCTTCTCCTCTCGTTAGGGATCGTCGATCTGCTCGGCGAGGTTTATTACATCGCGTTCCACCAGATCTACTCTTTGCGCGTCGCCATCAAGTGCTTGCTCGTAATGCGGCCGAACCATCCAGGACTCAACACGATGGTCTGCGTCCCGTCCAGCACGAGGGCTGCCAAGCAGGGCGTCAGTAGCGTTCGGGGAGCGATGTAGACAGAGTGGCTAGACGCACCAGGGCCCTCCGCCTCGTCGCCCGCCTCGAGGTTCTCCAGTAGGTACACCGGCACGTCAAGTCGTCCCGTATCCTCAAAGTAGACCGACGCCTTCTCGTGGCACTTGCTCGCCTGGCCGTCCTTCTCCACCTCGCGCGCAAGGGGCTTGAACTCGAGCTCCCTGATCTCCTCAAAGACGCTCTTCCCGAGCGAGTCGAACGACTTGCCGACTCCCCTTACGCGCACGTCGTCGACGATGATTGGCGCATCCATCGAGAAACCAAACTCCTGCTTGTAGTTCGCCGCGAAAGCCTTGGCAAAGTCGAACCCGTCGTCCGGCTTGCGCGTGAAGAGCGCCGAATCGGTGCCCTGGTACCGACAGTTGAGGAACTGCTGTACCTCGATGCGGTCGTCGGCGAATCCTTGCTGCGAGAGCGTCTTCTTGACCTGCTGAGAGAGCTCGTCAAGACGCGCTTGCAGGCGACCTTGCGAGCCGTCGGCGCCCCAAATCTCCGAAGACGGTTCTTGCCGCTCGAAGACGCTGCGTGCAGGTAGAGGTCAGTATTGCTCGTCGTCCGAGGTCTGCAGACGACGAACCGCTCGGCGAGCTGTGAGAGGTTAGTTGTCAGTACGATGTGCAGCAGAGGAAGCGAGCGGACATACAGCCATGCCGTACGCCGACAGAACGGACGAGAAGCGGTGGATGAGGACTGTGCGCGAAGGGACCGTCAGCTTCTCTTCCTCTTGCGGAAGCCATCAAAGCAAACGCACTCGTCGATATACCGAGCGTCTCCGCCAGCGCACACGCATGCTGCCCCCCCGCTCCACCAAAGCAACTCAAGATATGCTTAGACGTATCGTACCCTCGTGCTTCCGTCAAGCTCCGAATAGGCCTGCACATCGTCTCGTTCGCGACCTTGATGAACCCGAACGCGACCTCGTCGAGCGAGAGGTTGTTGCCCGTCTCGTCGTTGATCTGCTTGCGGAGTTCTTCGAGCGCTGAGCGCGAGGCCTCGATGTCGAGTGGCTGGTCTTCGGTCTCGCCGAAGATCTGAGGGAAGTGAGAGGGGAGCAATCTGCCCAGGACGAGGTTGGCGTCGGTGACGGCGGGGTAGCCCTGCTTGCGGTAGCAGGCCGGACCTGGATGAAAGTGGTCAGTCGACAAGCTTGAGTGATCATGCGAAAGCTCAACGCACCAGGATGACTGCCCGCACTCTCCGGGCCGGTAACAATCATCCCATTCCGCCAGAACAACCGCGATCCTCCTCCCGCTGCGACCGTGTTGATCGACAGCTGAGGCGACATAACAGTGATGCCGGCTGTTGTCGTCTCAAAGACCGTCTGTGGGCATCTCCGGTGAGCTGGAGTGCGAAGCGAAGAAGCGGAATGCGCAACAGACCTCGTACTCCCCGTCGAACCGACTGACGTCCGTCGACGTTCCGCCTGTCGGACGTAGAAAAGATGGCAGGGAGGGAAGCGAGCGAAAGGAGCGTTCGGCAAAGGTCAGCAAGCAAGAAGTCGAGCAAGGAACTAGGTCGACGCACCCATGTCCAGTCCGACCACTGGCCTGCCGCCCTTTTCCCAGCTCGTCAACGCGTACCCGACGACGCCTCCCGCAGGACCTGACACTGTACGGCGGGCGGAAACTCAGCAACAAGCCCAAGCAGACGAGAAGGAAGGCAATGCACGAATACTCTTGAGCCCGCTAAAGTCGCTGACGTCCGTCAATCCTCCATCGCTCCGCATGAACTCGACCGTCGTCTCCCTCTGCGCCTGCTCCTTGCTCTTCGTCTCCCTATAACTCGTCTCCCTCAGACTCTCGTCAAATCCGCTGAAGAAGCCGTCGATGTATTCGTGCAGGACGGGGGTGAGGTAGGCGTCGGCTGTGGTGGACATGCCGCGTGCGACGATGCGGATCATGGGGAGAGAAGAGGACGAGAGGGAGATGTGTTCGAAACCGATCTTTTCGGCGATGCGGGCGATCTGCTGCTCGTGTTCTGTGAAGCTAGCAACCTTCAACATATGCGCTTGCGAACCCTCTTGAGAGGGTTGAGATACGCAAGAGAAGGAGGCGACGCACCAGGGTAGGTAAAGGCGTGCATAAGGACGATCGCAAGCACCCTGATCCCGTCATCATACAGCTTCCGCAAGTCCCGCTCAACCTGTTCCTCGTCCACCTTCTTGAGGATGTGGACCGCCTCCCCGCTCATGCCTTTCACGACGCTGCCCTCCGTGTGCTCCGCCCCGTCGTACCCCTTGACGACCTTGCCCGCCTGGTCGAACTTCACCGCCCGTTCCGGGTGCTTTGGGTCACTCGTGTATCCAAGCAGCGTCACGCGCTCGTCGACCTCAAGCACAGTCGAGTACAACACCGACGGCCGCTTGATATCGAGATCAAAGATCCGCGGCCGCGACTGGTTGCCGATCAGCAGGAGGTCCTTGAAGCCCTTTGTGACGACAAGCGCGTGTTTGGCGCCTTTTCGCTCGAGGAGGGCATTGGTAGCGACGGTTGTTGAGAGACGGATGGAGTCGATCTTGTCGACCGGGAGACGGTCTTCGCGCTTGTAGGTGCTGCCGGTCGCGATCTCGAGCACGCGGCGGACGCCCTCTACATCCGTGTGCTCGTCAGCTATAGCACAGCGGGGAGAGGCAGAGTACGGCGCACCTCGTGGGGCGTCCTTGTAGTGTCCGGGATCCGACGACAGCAGCTTAAGGATTATCTCCTTCCGCTCCTTCTGTCCCTCGACAGGCCAGCTCGCGTGTACATCCGAGAAGGTGCCGCCTGGTAAGAAGCGAGAATACGGTAAGGAGTTGCGACGCAGTCGAGGGGGACGAGGATGCGGAGGGAAGACGGAGTATACGGCGAAGACGCGTGAGAGAGCTGAACTATGCTGCATGACGCTGGAGCAGGGAGCGCACCTCGGTCCACAGCAATCTTAATGGAGCGGTCAGGGATGCTGGCGGGCGACATGGCGTCCGAAAGTCAAGCGGAGGAGGGGACGGGAGGTCGCGGTGAGCTGAGGCCGGGCGCAAGTACGGTCAGGCTGGTCCCTAGACGCAGGAGGACGACTATCCACTCACTTGCAGGGCTTCGGAGACGGTGGACGAGCCAGACGAGCGAGATACGGTCGGGAAGTGGGGTGAGGTGCTGAAGACGTCGAGCGGCGACAGGCGGGAGTTGCGCGGACAGCTCGTAGCAATCAGACAGCGCCAGTCGACTCAACGATCGTGCAGTTGGAGCAGTAGAGCGATGTGAAGCGACGAGGAGACGAGCGAGGCGGCACGGAGGCGACGGCTGAGCGACTCGCACCTCGCGGGAAATTCGCGGCCAGGCTCAGTAAATCCGAAGGTGGCTCAGAAGCATAGCAGTAGTGCTGCCACTGCTTCCCGCTGCGGTCGAAGTGAGCCACTCGCGACTCCGCCTCACGGAACGACCAGACCAAGCTCGCTCTCCACTCTCATCGCTCACCTCGCTTGCTGGGGTTGTAGCACCGCTATTGAGACTCAGCTATCGATGCCGCTCAACGCGCACGCCGCCGCGCGCCTCAGGTCGAAGAAGCGCGGGTCCTCCTCGTCCCGCACCGCCTCCTCGACTACCGCCTCGCCAGCGCCATCAACCAGCTCGAAGAAGGCCGCGCGCTTCCGAGATGCAGCGCCGAAGGATCTGAGGTGGAAGAGCATCGTCTTGCCGGCGGAACTGGGCTGTGACGACGACGGAGGACTGCTCGAGCTGGATGAGGTCGAGGGTGTTGATGTGGTCTACGAGGATGGCAGGGTAGCTTTCAAGGTGCGTGCATTCTATTCTCTGCGTACTGCTCTCAGGGCTCATGACTTTCTGCAGGTCCGGGAAGACGAGGACGGCGAGCCGCCCGCGAAGAAGAGCAAGAAGGGCAAAGGAAAGGCTGTTCAGCAAGACGACGACGAGCCCGAATTCGTGCCCATCGACCAGGCACAGGAGTCCGAGGGCGACGAGCCGAAGTTTGCGGAGGATGAGCCACTGTCGTTCCCTGACGAAGAGCTCGAGTTCCCGGACGAAGAGGCGGGAGAAGCTGGCGAGGCAGCGGAAGGCGAGAGCGTGAATGTTGCAGAGGAGAAGAAGAAGGCAAAGAAGCAGAAGAAAGACAAGGGGAAGAAGCGGAGTCGAGATGAGGCGCAGGAGAACGGTTCGAGTGGAGGAGCGATGGAAGAAGCGGCAGACGAGCCTCCCTTCGATGGTGCGTGTTGCTCACATTCGACGACGGTCGGTCTCTGACGGTTCTGCGCCTGCAGTCGAAGCTGAACTCCCGGCTTGGTCACACATCCCCCTCGCCAACCCTCTCTACCGCGCCCTCGCCGAACTCAAGTTCACCAAGCCGACCGAGATCCAGGAGAAGGCGTTGCTAGTCGGAGAAAACGCAAAGGCGCAGGCTGAGGGCGAGGACGAGCAGGAAAAGTCGGCTTTCGACACTGCGCCAGCAGGCCGCGAGCGCGACGTCGTCGGAATCGCGCAGACCGGTTCCGGTAAGACGCTCGCCTATGGTCTACCCATCCTCTCGCACATCCTCTCCCAGCCCTCGCCATCCTCGTCGCCCGCCGACTCCGACGACGACGAGTCTTCCCTCCCGCCTACCCGCCTCGCCGCCCTCATCCTCTGCCCAACGCGCGAACTCGCCCTCCAAGTCCGCACCTCCCTCTCCTCCCTCGCCGTCCGCTCTCTCCCTCTTCGCACGCCCTCGCCCGAAACCGAAAAGCTCGCGCCTGAAGACCCGCGCAAGCGCAAGAAGGGCCGGTTGGTCCAGGTTGTCGCGTTGACGGGAGGGATGAGTGTCGAGAAGCAGAAGAGGCAGTTGGAGAGGGGCGCGGATATCGTTGTTGCGACGCCTGGACGGCTGTGGGACTTGATTGGCGAGGTGCGTCGAGCCGAGCTGAGCTTGCGACTATGCTCGACGAAGGAGTCAGACTGACGCTTGTCAACATCCCATGCGGCCGCGCAGAGCGACATGCTCGTGCACGAGATTAAGAACATCAGATTCCTCGTCATCGATGAGGCAGACAGGATGATCGAGAACGGCCACTTCGCTGAGCTCGAGAGCATCGTCCGCCTGACTCGCCGGGAACAGTCAGTCCTGCACCTGACTCAAGATCTTCCGAGCTAGGGCTGACGTTTGGGACCGCAGGGCGACTCCCGATGACGGCTTCGTCAACGACTTCGATACCGCCGTCACTTCCCGCTCGAACGTGACCACCCTTCCCTGCCGCCCGGACATGCGCACCTTCGTCTTCTCCGCTACGATGTCGAAAGAGCTGCAGCTCAACCTCAAACGCAAGGGCGCGCCGAAGAAGTTTGTCCCGAAGGCTGTCGAGGGAGAGATGACCAGCCTCGACGACTTGCTCGAGCTACTCGACTTCCGAGACCCGGATCCCGAGATCATCGATCTTTCGCCGGAGCATGGACTCGTCGAGACGCTCAAGGAGTGCAAGGTCGAGTGCTTGGCGAACGAGAAGGTGAGCCGTCGACCAAGTCTCGGTTGGTGCGCTCGCTGACATACCCTCACATGTCGCCTCATAGGACATGTACCTCTACCACTTCCTCCTCCGCTACCCTGGCCGTACCATCGTCTTCCTCGCCGCCATCGATGGTATCCGACGACTCCACCCTCTCCTCACGCTTCTCAAGGTCAACGTCATCCCGCTTCACTCGGGCATGCAGCAGCGACAGCGATTGAAGGCGCTTGACAAGTACGTCACCCCGTACCTCGGAAGATGCATCGGAAGTATCCTGACGCCTGCTTGCTCGCACAGGTTCAAATCGTCGCCCGATGCCGTACTCCTCGCAACCGACGTCGCCGCCCGCGGTCTCGACATTCCTTCCGTCTCGCACGTTGTGCACTACCAGCTCCCTCGAGCGGCCGACACCTACGTCCACCGATCTGGACGTACGGCTCGTGCGGGAACCGAGGGTTTGGCGTTGCAGCTTGTTGCACCCGAGGAAAAGAAGGTGCAGAGGATGTTGATGGCGAGTCTTGGGAAAGGTGCGTGCGGGATCCGCAGCGGGGCTTGACGCGTCTCGCTGGAGCTGACCTTGACGTCTGCGGGCCGCGCAGACATTGACCTCCCCACGCTCCCGACCGATTTCTCCATCCTCGACCAGCTCAAGAAGCGTATCGACCTTGCCAAGGAGATTGACCAAGCTCAACACCGCGCGACCAAGCAGGCGCACGAGGACAAGTGGCTGCGCGAGGCGGCCGAGGCGATGGAGATCGACCTCGACGACGACCAGGAGTGAGTTTCGCACCAAGCGCACCCAACGTCGATGAGCGCTGACCAAGTCTTTTTGCAGCTCCGACGGAGATGGCCCGCAACGCTCGAGCAAGAAGCAGCGCGGCCAAGCGATTGCTAGCGCTCGACAGCTCAAGGCCGAGCTCGACAACCTGCTCAAGAAGCCCCTCATGGTCCGCGGCGTCTCAGCCAAGTACCTCACGACACGCAGCAAGATCGGCTTGGTCGACCAGCTCGTCGGCGGAACGGGACACTCGAAGATCTTTGGCTTGTCGACCTCGTCGGCGCTGGAAGACCTTGCGGCCGCGCCGAGGACGAAGGAGCAGAAGCGGGCGGAGAAGGCGAGGGAGACGAAGGCGGAAGAGGCGGAGGAGTAGAGTCTTCGCAACTAGCGGCAGTGTCCTCGGTTCCGTTTGACTGGCTGAGAGGGAGGGAGACAAGGAGAGAACGAGTGTTCCAGCGCACTATCCGATGACTGAGCGAGACATACTACGCTTCTAAGGCCTGAAAGACGTGTGAGAGAATACAGCATGGGGAATCGAGAACGACAGGGGAAGGCGGTATCGGCAGATGCAAAAATGATGGAAGAATAAACAGATGAAGCGGGAGGGCGTGACGGGAGCGTGATCAAGGCAACAGCGTGAGGAGGAATGAACAGGGTTTGACGAGAGGGACCGCATCAAGCGCTCAGCCTCTCCGCGGAACGAGACTGCCGGAGCAGATGCCGCGAGCGCGATGTCGTGCGAGTGCGTCGCCTCGAGCGAAGCCTTTGCCGCTGTAGGCACGAATAGGACCGTCAGGAAGCGAGTCGACCAGCCAGGGTGTCGGTCGGAACGCACCAAGGACACGGGAAGGGCTTGTTGCCAGAGTGGATGCGCTCGTGCCGCCGCAAGTCGTGCTGCCGAACGAACGATGCGTCGCTGTGAGCAGAGAGCCGTCAGCGTCGCGTAGCTCGAAGGAGACAGGGAAGCACGCACCAGTCGTCGTGCGGGCAGACGAACGGCTTGTCCTCGAGGTGCGTCTGGATGTGACTCTCGATCGCGCTCTTCCTCGGGAACGAACGTCCGCAGCCTTCGATCAAGCAGCCGTAGCGCTTCGACACCTTCGTGCCGTCGGCAGCCGTGTGAGCCGGCACTGCGGCGTAAAGCGACTGGATGACCTCGCGCGGGACGGAGCTACGCGGCTGTCCTGGTTGAGCTGGCGGACCGACGGCGTACGTGATGCTTGCCGGTGTCGCGATGTTGCCGTTGCCGTCGCTCACGAGGAAACCTTCGCCATCGTCGTCGGAAAGCAGTGGAGAAGCGTAGGGCGAGACGGCGCGGTGGATCTGCGGGACCGGCGGCGAGAGGTTCGCGCTGAAGACGGACTGGTGCTCCGTCTGAGGCGACTTGATGGATTTGGGCTTCGGGCCCGGCCTCAACCGCCGTCGGCCAGTAAGGCAAGGAGCGGAAGCGACCGTTCGAAGTCGCTTGCTCGTGCGCTGCGACTCCTCGGCTTCTGGTGAAAGCGCGATGTCCGAGTCGTCCTGGCTGAACACGTCCACCTCGCGCGCACGCTTCGACGGCGTCTGCGCCGCATCGGCGTACGGGTCGTAGAGCGAGTCGAACGTCGCAAGCTTGCGCTCGTAGTCCTCCGTCCTGTCATGCGAGACGAAGACGTTCGTGTGCGGCTCGTAGTCGGCCATCGAGCCGGCGGGACCTGTCATGCAACGTACGTGTGGGTTGAAGCGCTGGCGAGTCGGGGTGGTCGGGACCGGCGGGAGAGGGAGAAGAGGCGGGCCCTGCGAGCCGGACCATTGCATAGGCGGCGGGGGCGCCTGCACCTGCGATGCGAAGCGAGTCGGGTACGAGAAGTTCTTGCGACCTGCGCCGTACGCCGAGTCTGGAGGAAGCTGCTGCTGGCGCTGCCGACTTGAGCGGCCGTAGCTCATCTCGTCCTCGGCAGCTGGAGTAGGTGCCGCGTAACCGTACGTGACGGAGCGCTGTCGGCCTGCGACGTCGGGGAGAGGCGAGTGGGTGGTCGCGGCTGAGAAGGTCGAGCCGACCGATGTAGCTGGGAACATCGGAGCGGACGCCAAGCCGTCGTACGCATCGTACTGCATACCCGTGTCGGGCGATGGGTCGGAGAGGTAAGGCGTTGAGGGGGAGGAGAGCGCAGAAGGAATGCCAAAGGTCGGAAGAAGAAGGTTCGCTCCACCACTCATGCCGAGACCGATATTGAGCGTGTCGACCGCGCCGTGATCGAAGATGTCCTTCTTGTGCACGTCGAGCTCGTCGACGGCCGCCTCTTCCGCCAGGCCGACGTTGTAGAGGTCGGCGAAGCTGAGCGGGCCCGTGTTCGGTACCTCGACGTAGCCCGTATGGGGTGTGCCGAAGGTCGCGCCGGTTGGTGCAAAAGTCGATTGATCCGTAGAGACGGGCGTGAGGGGCTCGTACATGGCCTGCGCGTCTTGCTCGCGAGCCTGAGCAGCGAGAGCCGAGCAAGATTTGGCCTTGTTGATCGTGCGAGTCGGCAGCGCCCTCGTTGGACGGAAGGAAGTCTCGGGGACGGGAGGAGGCGGAAGACGGAAGGAGGAATAGTCGAAGCTGTCGAAGCCGGCCGTCGCAGGACGACCATCGCCCGTCACGCTCCGAGTGCGCCGAGTCTGCGACGACGAGAGGTGCTGCGAGGTGCCGAGGTAGCCGTCGTGACCGGTCGTCGCACCCTTGGCCATGCCGTAGCTGCGCAAACCGAGGTCGTCGGCTCCGAATCCTCCCATCGTTTCCTGCAGATCGTCCAAGCCCGAGATGCCCATGCCGAGTCCTGTCGGCTCTGGCACGACGACCTGGACGGCGGTGCCGGGACGGCTGCCCGAGACTGACATGCTCGCGGATGTGTAGCTCGCCGTGCTGCCGACGCTCAAACTCGGCATCATCTCGTTCGTCACGCCGCGTTCACTGCTCACAACGCCGCTGTGCGAATCGCCAGGCGTCATGAGAGAGGACTGCGGCGGCGGAGGAATGGGCGAGTCGATGGCAATCTCGGGCGCGGCGAGTCTGCCTGTCCGGCTGTCGACGCGAGGCTTGCCGACGATGAGCGGAGAGGTGAGGAAGCCGCCGTCGCTGCCGACGCCCATGAGCCGCGTCTTGAGCCTGCCGTCACGCGTGAGGGACCGAACCGGGACTTGGCTCCCAGACGAGCCAAACGGCGAGTCGAGGTCGTACAGGGAGAAGGGGTTCGACGAAGTCGACGCTCCGAGGGTGCTGGTCGGGTCTGCGACATGGACAGAGGGCGCGGGGGCGAGAGAGTCGGGGAAGTGGGTGTAGTTGGATGAAGAGTTGCCGAGCGGTCCGGTTGTTCGGGAGGGAAGGGGCCCAGGATCGGAGAAGATGGTCGAGTCGACGTCGAATGCATTGTTTGGCAGGAGCGTATGGGACTCGTCGAAAGGCTCGTTGCCGTATGAGCCGAGGTCGAATGACGAGTCGAGGTAGTAGGCCATTGTGACGACTAGTCGCTGGGCGCAAGACGGGGGTCAAAGGGGTGTTGTCGTCTCGTCGCAGTGGTTCTGCGAGCCGCACGAGTGTCCGTCAGCGAGCCTTGCGATGGGTAAACAGGCGGGAGACACTCGAGGCGGACTCACAATGGCCGTCCCAGATGGAGCCAAATTGCACGAGCCGATCGAGGGCGACCACAGGCGTCGTGGAACGAGTCGGGGACGGCTGGGCGAGGTCTCGGGGCACTGTGAGCGGGTGGGAGAACGGACGACGACGAGCGCTCTGGCGACGAGGGGAGGACGTAAGGCGAAAGGGCGAGGTTCCAACCTCCAGATGTTGAGGCAGTTTTCTACCGGGGACGGAAGGAGCCGGGGCGCTGGCAGGGGCTGTCGAGGGTGCTCGGCGTCGTGGACGAGCAGGTCGCGGGCTGGCTGGGGCGGAGTTGGCGCGGGTGGCAGCGGTGCGGGTGCGGGCGAGGGAGAAAGCGCTGCAGCGGAGTCCGCGCTGAAAGTGGGTTTCTGATGAGACGAGCGGATCCTCGCAGGGCGAGACCGTCGACTGCCCATCGCCCGCTCGCCCGCGCTTCCTCATTCGGGGTTCCTCCCGGAGTCCGGCATGCACCGACGCAGCCCTTGTCCTCGTCGCCCTTACGCCAGCGCACTCGTCAGCGTCCTTCTCGCCGAGTCTTGCGTCCCTCGACATCGCTCCTCGACGAGGCGCATCGACAGTCCGCAGGAAAAGCTGCCCAAAGCCGACTTTGCAATTCCTTCGACCGCCGGTCGATCCGCGTCGCGCGCTCAATGAAAGCGCAGTTCTCGAGACAAGCTTGAAGCGCTCTGACAAGCAGCCAAAGGGGAAAGTCGAGCGGAACGGTTGTTCTCCGCCTCGACCTCGTCGACGACTGCCCAGACCCCTTCTTTCCGTTCCTCCGACTGCGCCGCGTTGCAGCAGACGAGCCAGACTCGCCGGCAGATCGAACAGAGCGTCCGGCAACTTTGCGCGAGACTGCTTCGGAGCGTTCGAAGATTCGTCGTCGACCCGCAGCGACGGCGTAATGAAGCTGGCCCGATCGGAGCATCGGTGCGTTCTGCGGCTACGTAGCGAGGGAGAACAGCGCCGAACGAGCGGAGAGTGACGAGAAGGAACAGGCGAAGGAGAGAGAGAGAAAGCCGGTCCTCACTCGCGGAAGGTCCGCGGATCAGCTCGTCGTCGTTGCTCACGAGCAGCGACGGCAGTGCAAACAGCTTTTGCAAGAAGCGAGAGAGACGGAGCGCGACAGACTACATGGAGAACAGCGTACAAAGCGCCCCGCAAATCTTCGCAACGCTCACCGCCTTGCTCCCCATCCTCCGTCCCGCTCACGTCCTCCGCCTGCACCAGCTCGAGGACCGTACCCGACGCCGCCACCACGGGGCGGAGCCGGAGGTCCATCGAACCGCCTATCCGGATGCCTGAAATCCCTTCCACCGCCTCCGCCGCCACCGCTGGGCCCATCCCGCCGGTCATCGTCGTCGAAGCGCCGGTCAGGGTGACGGAAGTCGCGCTTCGGCGCCGAGTCACGCGGAGGTGGCGTCGGAGACTGGTCGCGCCGCCTTGGAGGCGAGTCACCGCGGCGACGGGGAGGAGGAGAGCGGGAGTACGAGGGAGAGCGGCGGCGAGTGCTGCGAGGCGGAGGGGAGCGCGAGTCCGAAGGGCTGCGGTCCCTGCCGCCACGGCGAAGAGGGGGAGGAGAACGGGAGGGCGTGCGAGACCGTGAGCGGCTGCGACTGTCGTACGACCTCGCGCGCGAGCGGTCGCGGCTGTCGTAGGAGCGGGAGCGGGATCGGCCGCGGCGGGGAGAGGGAGAGCGCCGGGAGGACTTGCGGCGGGGGTAGCGCGAGTCGTCCGAGGAGTAGTCGGAGGATTCGGAGAGGGACGAGGACGAGAGAGAGGACGACGAGTCCGAGTCGGAGGAAGACGATGCTCCGCCGCCCGTGACCTGTGCGCGGCGCTGCTGCTCGAGGAGGAGCGCTGGCATCTTCTTGAGGTGCTCGCGCATGTTCTCGGTGATGGCGCCGAGGCCGATGGCGGTGAAGAAGTTGATCGAGAAGCGCGTGTTCTTCGGGTTGTCGATCGGGAAGACGTTGCCGAGGTACGGCTGGAGCGACTCGTCCTTGAACCGGTCGACGAGGCGCTTGAGACCCATGCCCTCGAGCATTTCCTGAAACAGGATCTTGACGAAGATACGCGACGACGACGTCGTGTCGTCCTCGTTCATTTTGACCGCCTCGAGAACCGTCCACGACATGGCGTCCGTCATCAGGAGGTGGCCGAAGAAGCGGGCGATGTTGCGCAGGCGGTTCGTCTCGTAGCGGTGGATCGTGGCATAGTAGTTGACGAAGCACTGCTCGTACGCCGTCGCCCACACCTGGTTGATCTTGCAGAACCGCTCGCCCATCAGGCCGTAGAACTTGCTGAACGTCCGCTCCTGCGAGCAACACTCGATGACCATGTTGCACAGCTCGACCTGCGGGCGCGACATCGTCAGCTCAAGGAAACGAGTCAAAGTGAGCACTTGCGCGCACCTCCTGGCCAGGCGCAATATCCAGCTTGAGCAGCTTGTGCGTCGCCTCCTCGAAGTCGAGCGCCGACATGATGGTCAGGTAGATCGTCCGACGAAGGTTGACGAGGTTGGCGCCCGTCTGGTCGTGCACGTCGACCGTGCCGTCCGCCTTGATGCCGTCGTCAATCTCGCTTTCCTCGTCACTGCCCTCCTCCGTGTCGCCCTCGTCGCCCGAGCCTTCCTCGTCGTCCGAGTCGCCGAGAATCTCGCGCTTGATCTCGGCGTACGCCTCTTCGTTCTCCTTGAAGTTCGGATCGAACTTGAAGATGTCTGCGCGGGGAGAGAGACTAGTCAGGCAAGTCGACAGGAAGCGGAAGGGCCTTGGTACGCACTCAGGGTCTCCTGCACCGTAACCTCGTCGTCGAGCGAGATGCGGTGGGTGATCATGTCCTCCTCCTCGACAAGGTCAAGCCCTTCGGGGATGATAGGGTTGTCCTTGTACTTGTCCTTGCGGACCTGAAAGAGTACCTCGACCATGTACTGCACTCGCTTGTCAATCCCGCTCTCGTTCAGGATCGTGCGGAAGCGGTCGAAGATGCCGTTGTTGGCGCGGGCCGAATGTTCGGCCAGGAAGGCGCCGACTTCGCGCATGAACGAGACGGCAATCTCGACCGAGTCGTCTGTCGGCCGCTCGAGCAGGAGGACGAGCATCTGGAGCGCGAGGACCTCGTGCGCGACCTGCTGGTTGACGAGGTGGGCGAGGAAGGTGGTCGTTGCGGTCATGGTCGGCTTGTCGTTTCGCGTGTAGCTGCGGCGGAACTGGTGGATGAGGCGGTGGAGAAGGAGCTCGCCGACTTGCGGAAGTTTGGTGTTGATGATGGCGACGAGGGAGGCGAAGATGGGGGTGAAGGGGAGGGAGGAAGCCTGGGCGCGCATGACGGATCGGACAAAGAGACCCTTTCCGCGGATCAGGTTCTCGCCGAACAGCTGTGCGAAGAGGGTACGCGTCAGTCACCGAGCGAAATAACCGGCACTGCAAGACGAGCGCACCTGCGGCACGATGAGCTTGATGTTGGCCGTGTTGACCTTGTTGATGAGACCGTTGATACTCTTCCTGAGCGCCTCCCACGTCAGCCGCTGGTAGTCCTCGCCCTCCTGGTCGTCCTGTGCCTGCTCGGCCATCATCGCGCGCAGCCTGTGCGGCGGGATGTAGGTCCCTCCGCCCCTCGTCAAGGCCATCTTCTTGACCTCGGCAGCCGGGTCGACCTTTGGCTTGATTGAGATAGGTGCGCGAGAGCCCTCGGCCTCTTGCATGGCGCGCATCTGGCGTTCGCGCTCCCTCAGGCGGACAGGGTCGACATCCTGGAGGCGGGGGAGAGAGGGGGCGCCATCGCGGCCGGCAGGACCAGGCGAGGACGGGCGGACACGGCGGGCGGGTGGTGAAGGCGAGCGGGACTCAGGCGACCTGCGTACGCAGCGTCAGAGCGTGTCAGCGGGCGTACGGGACTCGTGCTGATGAGGAGGGGGAGGTGGTGACTTGCCGTTTCCTCGACACGCGCGGGCTGTCTGCGGGCGACGCCGAGCGTTCCCTGCGTGGCGAAGGATCCCTCGACATGGCTGTGCGCTGCCCAGAGAGCCGTCAAGCAGGAGACGACGTTGTTGGCGGAGGCAAGGAGCAACTTCGCTCTCGACGACGACCCTATCTCGCTCGTGGGCAGCTGGAAAGGCCGATGTGGGCTACTGTACTGAGGTGAGTGGTTATGCGAGGCTGCGCAAGCTTCCCACGCTGATGACACCTCTCCTGCTCGCAGTTGGCTGTTCTTCGGCTGGTACTGTCTCCTGTGGTCGCTCTTCCTCCTTGGGCTGCGAGTAGCGTGCGTCAGTGCCTTTGTTGCGGATGGATCTACCGCTGACAGGCGTTCCCACAGGCGAAAACGCTACTCCCGCTCGCCAGCATCCCAACTTCCACCGCCGCCCCTCCCTGCATCCTCGGCACCGGGCGTCTCGATCCTGCGACCACTCCGAGGACTCGACTGCAACCTCTACGAGAACCTCGAGGCGTCCTTCTTGCAGGACTACCCCAAGTTTGAGATCATCTTCTCGGTCGCGGACGAGGCAGATGCCGCGATCCCTATTGTCGAGGAGTTGCGGCGGAAGTACCCCAAGGTGCCTGCCAAGCTGATCATCGGTGCGCAACGTTTCTCAGTAGAGACGGAGCAGACAAGCGACCTGACGAGCGTTTGACAGGCGAGGAGATTGTCGGCGTCAACCCGAAGATCAACAACCTCATCCGCCCATACCGCGCGGCAACTCACGACCTACTTTGGATCCTTGACTCGAACGTCCTGACCTCACCTCAATGTCTCTCCCGCTCCGTTCCCCTCTTCTCCCAACCCGCTCGAGGCGGCCGCCAAGTCGGTCTCGTCCACCATCTCCCGTTTGCCGTCTACCCCGACACGCTCGTCGGCTCCCGCGTCGAGCAGGTCTACCTCTGCTCCACGCATGCCAAGATGTACCTCGCCATCAATGAGGTCGCCATCGCTTCGTGCGTTACGGGCAAGTCCTGCCTGTACCGCCGAACAGACCTCATCCGAGCTTCGGAGCTCAAGCGCCAGCGAGGCAAGCTGCCGCTTCCTCCGCCTGGCGTCACAGACGAGCCTGGACTCGCTGCGTTCGGTCAGTACCTGGGCGAGGACAACGAGATTGGCGTTGCGCTCTGGGAGGAGCTGGGGCTGAGACACGCGATGGGTGTCGAGGTCGCTGGCAACGCGGTCGGAACGATGTCCTTCGGCAAGTATTTCCGCAGGCGAGTGCGGTGGATCCGAGTCCGCAAGTACATGGTGACGTGAGTCGCGGGTGTTTCCTTCCATCCGGCAGCCGCTGACCTCGTCCCTCCTGCCCACAGCGCCTCGACCCTCGTCGAACCGCTCACCGAAGGCGTCCTCACCGCCATCCTCGGCGCGCTCGCCTTCAAGCACCTGTTCTCCGTCCCCTCGTGGCTCTTCATCCCGCTCCATACCCTCGCTTGGTATCAGCTCGACGTCTCTCTCTACCGGTCCCTGCTCCCCGCTTCGCCCGCAACGTCGACCGTCACTCGACCTCCGGCACACGATGGCCCTTCCTTCGCCTACTTCAAGGCCTGGGCGCTGCGCGAGCTCCTCGCCCTGCCGATCTGGCTGTTCGCGATGCTTGGCGACACAGTTGGCTGGCGGGACGAAGGAACTGTCTATCGCGTGCAGCGGGATGGGAGCGTGAGGGCGCTGAAGGACGGCGAGAGCGAAGCGCTGGTCGAGCGGCTGTGGCAGCGGATTTCGACGAGGTGGTTGGCCGGAAGGGGCGGACTGAACGGGTATGTGACGCTCAGCCCGGACGACGTAGAGGCACGGGCATCCTCGCACATCGAGCCGCGGTAGAGGAGTAGCAATAGACGGGCGAAATGCAGAAAGACGTGTTGTCTCGCCCTCGTCTCGTCGCGGCGCAAGGGAGTCTAGTGTCTACTACTGCTTCGATTTCGGACTTCATCGTTGTTCGTGTCGTGCTTTTGAGCATCTACGAGGGCTTGGGTGGACATCATGCGTGTAGGGCAGGACGGGGGCGAAGCGAGGAGAGGGGGGAGAATAAATCGGCGGGTGAAGAGAGCAATCCGGAGGAATGGCTACATGTGGGGAGTGCAAGCGAGACCGAGCACCACTGAGACCCAAGAAGAGTGGAGAGGAGGGAGAGGGGACGAGTTGGTGAGGGGGGCGGGGCGAGCTTGGCGGAGGGGAAGGTGGCGGCCTGGACGAATCGTTGGGTTAGCACAAGCCCAACGGGTTATCAGAGGGATGAAGCCTGCTCACCTGACTATGTACAGTGCAGAACAACAGGAGGGTGGAAGAGGGAGGAGGAAGCCGCCGAGCTCGTTTCGGGAGGACGGCTCGCGATCACCTGCCAGCCACAGCAGCGGCCGCCGACTGCCTCCTCGTCGACCTGCGCGGAGGCGATTGCTCCGGAACAGGAGCAGGCTTGACCACGCTCGAACGACGAGTTGATCGGGTTGCTGCTGTCGAGCGTCGAGTGCGAGGAGGCGGAGGCGAGTTCGAGACTTCACGCTCGTCCTCGTCGGACCGATCTTCCTCCTCGTCCTCGTCGAGCTGCACATCGTGAACCAGAGTGGCAGCAGGAGGCGTGGCGGGCGAGGTCGACGACACGCGGCGGACGACGCCAGGCGGTCCGCACCTGCGGAGCAACTCGGCGCCTTCAAAGCTGGGCGAGCCGAGAACGACAAAGTTCGGGTCCTTCGCGCCCTTCTGCTCGAGTGAGGACTTGCCGCTTGAGCGCATAGTCGGGACGGGTTCGGGGAAGTGCGCTGCGAGGTCGTCGCCGAGGAAGGACGAGAGGTGGCCGAGTTGCTTGGCGTGCGCGGCGAGGAAGTCGCGGGCGACTGAGATAGGAATCCAGGTGCCCTCGACACCGGCGTCGGAAGCCGCAGGGACGCGGAAGGTGTCGGTCTTGACGAGGAGGCCTGCGAGGGCGGAAGCGCGCTCGAGCGGGGACGAGAGAGCGGCTTGAAGGAGGACGGTTGCGTTGACGTAGTCCGTGTCGAGGCGACGCAGGAGCGGCATCGTACGAGCCGTAGCCAAGTCCGTTACCTCGACCGAGAAGACAACGATGCCGCGCTGAATGATGGTGGCGACAACGAGCGGCTCGAGCGGGATGACGGGCTCCATGACAACGTTCGTCGAAGCCGACTTGGGCGAGCTCGACAGGTTCGACGAGCCGCGCTGAGTCGATCCCGCGAAGATAGTCGCGGACGAGGACGTGCGGGACAAGGCGGGCGGTGCGGGCGAGGCAACGCCGCGTCCGCTCATCTTGCCAAAGTCGGCGAGGACAGGGACTCTCGACGACGATGTACGACGCGGCGACGGGATGGGCGAGGTGAAGCGGAGAGGCGAGTGAGGGTGCGACGAGCCGGTGAGGAAGGCCGTTGCGCTCGAACGGGGTACGGTGAGGGTGAGACCGCCGCCGATGCGTGGCGAGGGTTTGGGAATCGGCGCAGGCGGCGAAGCCTCCTCGTCATCTCCGGCCCAGGCGAGATCGAGCTCCTCAAGACCAATCGTCTCGGGCGCCATAAGGTCGACAGGTGCGGCATGCTCGGCATCGATGTCGTCGAGCATGTCCATGCTGAGCGACCAGTCGGTCATTTCGGGCGGCGAGGGAGCGGGCTGCGGGACAGGAAGGCCGGTCGCGAGCGTCGAAGGCGAGACGAACGTCATCGGATCGAAGGCGTCGCTGTCGCTGCCTGACGACCCTGCTGAACCGGCGCGCACACCTGCCAGAAGGCGGGAGTCGAAAGCTGGGACGGCAGAGGACGCGCGAGACGAAGGTGCGGAGGAAACGGCCATCTCGGGCTCGTCATCTTCGACCTTGACCGTGACAACCTCGTCCTCCTCACCATCCTCCTCGTCGTCTGCGAGATCGACGTCGTGGACAAACCCGAACCCGTCTTGCGCGCGCTCGACCTCTTCGTGCCCGACAAAATCGAAGTCGACGGCAGCGAAGGCGTTGTTGAGTGCCGGCATGGGAGACAATTCGAGCGGGAGAGGCGAAGGAGGGGGCGCGAGGTGGGCCGAGTCGCTCTTGTGGGTCGGCGACTCGTGCGCAGCGAGGTTGATGAGCGTGTCGGTCGACTGGGCGGGGTCTGCGAGGCGTTGCGAGTCAGCACACACTTTTGAAGGAACGAGGCGGTTCAAACGCACCGCTGGAAGGCGCCTCCTGCTTGACATGCGACCTGCTCGCAACAATCACGACATCTCCATCCTCGCGGTCATCGTCGTCCGCGCCCGAGAACCCGCCGCAAAGCGTGACCCTCATCCCAATCTGCGAGATCGTGCCCAGCGGACCCTTGACGACCTCGATACCCTCTTCCTCGAGCGCCTTCTTCTCCCCCGCGCCGACCTTGACATCCTCCGCGTCCTCCTGCAACTCCTTCCCAGGACTGCGCGGAGTCGTAGCAGGCGTATCGACGCTCGCTTCCTCCCCACCAGCAGGCGTGACAGCCCTCTCCCTCTCCCTCCCAGCTTGCGCCTCCTTCCTGCGCTCCATCACAGCTGCCTGCTGCTCGAACGCCTTGGCCAACAGCTCAGCCTGCGCCTCCTCGCTCGTATCCGTCACAGCAGCCGCTCCAATCGTCGCCGAAGCTTCGACCGAACTCGCACCCGTCCCTGCAGTAGTGTACGATTCACTGCCCCACTCAAAATCAAAGTCGTCGCCGCGGAGCATGGCTTCGTGGAAGTCGTCTTCGGAAGTGGGCGAGTCCGAGGGCGGAGTGACGGCTGTGGCGAGGCCGGCTGATGTGGTAGGTCGGGAGTCGGTCGCCGAGGGTGAGGGCGCGTCGTCCATGACGACGTCGGGAGGGGAGGGAGCGTGTGTAAAGTGGTGAGAGAAGATGTTGGGTGCGGAAGCGGAGAGGTGCAGGGGTGTTGTGACGGGCCGCGCGAAGGGGAACGACGTGCCCGAGCTGTGTGCGAGAGAGAGGATTTCGGGCGAGACGGCGGTGTGAGGGGCAAGGGAGGTGTCGATGTTCGGCGTGGGGGCAGTCGAGCCGGGAGTCGAGGCGGCAAGGAGAGACTGGGCGAGAAGGGCGGACGAAGAGGCGGAGGAAAAGGTCGACGAGCGGTACGGGAGGGACGAAGTCGAGTACGCGTCGTCGTCATCGTCATCAATCGCGTTCGACTCGACGCTCCCAGCACGACTGAGCCCCTCGCTTCCCGCCCTCCGAACCTTCTTTTTGTTCTTCCTCCGCCACTCGGCCGCCTCCCCCGTATGCCCATCCGAATCGTCCACCTCGTCCAGACTCGTCAGTCGCAGCTTGAGCTTGGGGATCCCGCTCCGCACAGGTGCAGACGACGGTCCGCCGAACGACTGCGAGCGACGGTGTCCTCCTCCTCCTCCTGGTGGTCCCGCCAATGCGCCGGTCGGAACTCGCGGTGCGGCGGGGATCGCGACGGGCGTCGAGCTTCCGGACCCGAGCGGGCTGGGACCAGGACCGGGCGTAGCAGGCGCGCCCATGGCAGCCATCATCGCGCTCGACGCGCGACGCTTCCGCTTCCCTCGTCCCATGCCCTCCTCGTCTCCGCCCATCGCGTCCGCCTCGTCTTGAGGGGTATTGAAGAGCGTCGAACTGAGTGCGAGAGCAGGCGGGAGGGGCGCAGGGTGGTGTTGGAGGGGTACGAGTCCGCGAACATACAAGCCGTCCTTGTCGCTCGGCGCTAGTCCCGCCTCGCGCCTGCACCGCACAAACGGGTCGTCTGCGCCGACGCCAGGCCCAAAGACCTGCGGGTTAAGGTACCACAGCGTGCCGCGCTTGACGGCCGGTCGTTGTTCGGCGTGAAGACCGACCGCGCGCACTTCTTCGGCCGTGAGGGCGCCGACGAGCTCGAACGGGACGAGGAGAGGGGTGTAGGGTGGTTGGGCGGCGGATGCGCGAGAGACGTGCGAGCGAATGCAGGTCGAGACGTGCGCAAAGGGAGTCGTCCCGCTGCGTGAGCGAGGCGGTGTCAGCACGGCAAACTCGAGATGAGAGCGGCCGCACGCACGCATTCTTGAGCCAGTTGCGCTCGAGCATGACCTCTGCGACCTCCTTCGGGCACAACGCGCGGTTCTCGAACGCGTGCAGGACGGCGCAAGTCGCCATGAGCAACTTGTCCTCGCGGTCCTCCTTCCTGACCTTGTCCTCCATCTCGAGCGTCGGGAAGCCCAGCTGGTCCGGGATGAGTTGGCGAGGATGTCGGCGGTCGGACGAAGTCGTGTCGGGGACGTAGGAATCGACGAGCGGGAAGGCGGGGATGCGGGAGAGGGGCGGCCGCATCGACGCGGGACGGTAGCCGGGTGGCGCATTGTCGGGCATGGAGAAGGACGGTGCTGCTGGTGCTGGCGCAGGCTTGACCGACTCGACTGGCGCGGGTGGGAGGTCGGGAAGGACGAGCGGAGCGGGTGACTGTGAAGTCGAGGCGGCGGTGGTGGCGGCGGCGGCGCCCGCGGGTCGGCGTGACTGTGCGAAGCGAGTGTTGTGTGACTCTGCCGCAGCCTGCTTGGGCGACGACTGGGCCGACTGGGACCCTTGCGGCGGCGGAGTCGCCTTGGTCCTCGTCCGCGAGGGGAGCGACTTGACGAGGCTGCCCGCCCGCCTGCGCGTGTTGTGCACAGGCTGTGGCTGATCCTGCGTGTCCCCTTGCACCAGTGTCTGCTGCTGCCTCGTCGACCGTGCCATCACAGCAGCCCCTTCACCTCCTCCACTCGATCCAGCCGCAGTCGTCCTGCCGCTCGAGCGCGCCGGCGGCGGCAGCACCACGGCCTTGTGTTTGTCCCTGTGCGAGTTCTGCTGCTGCTGCTGGTCCACCGCTGCAGGCCCTTGCATGCGACCTTTGGAAGAGACGCGGGCTCGAGCCTTCGACGCTGGGAGCTCTCCCTCGGCGAGCACCCGCTCTCACTCCGTCGCTGGTTCGAGTGGGTTGGTGTGCGTGGGTGGGCGTGCGTAGTCCGAGATGAGCAACGATCCAGCACCCGATCCTCGTCCAGAGCGTGCACAGCGAGCAAGGTTGAGGCGAAGCAAAGTCGTGAACAAGCGAGCGGGATGTCCGTGAGCCGAGACCAGGCACACCATTCTGCTCGATTACAACATCAGGGTAATCACTCAATGTAATCCAGTTGTTGTATGGTATGACGAACTCGCTTGAACCGCTTCGAAGCTGGAATAGGCGTTGCAAGGTGACGAGAGAAACGACGAGGAAGAGAGAACCCGGCAAGCGACACAACCGGGGATGGGGACGAGACTCGCTCCTACTCAATCCAGGCGGCGAGGACGAATATCTAGTGTACACGAACGAAAAGGTAGACGGGAATACAAGACGAGTGGCACGTGGCAACGATGAAGAACGGCAGGAAGGGCAAGGCGGGACGAAAGGGGAGCAGGGTCCATGGGAGATGAGAGACGCAGAGGCGCGGAGTGCCGTTTCGACGGCGACGGCGGCGATGGAGGCGGTTTACTCGTTGCCCTGTGTGTGAAGTAGGATCGTCAGTAACGTTCAGCGACGCAGCGAGTGTGAGCGAACGCACGAAACCCATCGTCTCCTCGATGGCGATAGTCAACTTCTTCTCGAGCCTGCCCAGCTCAATACCGCGTCAGCCAGCTGTCGCGCGCAGAGTGTCAAGAGGACAACGCACGTCTCGTAGTCGGGATAGGGCGGCAAATCGAGGCGGTTGAAGCACGTGTGCGATTTGGGGAGCTGCGTGATCTCGCCCGATTTTTCGAGCGTGAAGCGGCGAGGACCTGCGTTCGTCCTCATCAGCACGAGCTAAGCGGTACGTACGAGCATAAGAACGCACCATCGGAACCCTGCAAGTCCTTGAATCCGTTCACAGGGATGCGACTCGTCCCCGTGGCGAATTGCAACAACCTCGACTTTTTCTCAGTCGGCCATGATTTGACGGCCTGAAAGCGACGTAAGAGCGGTGTGTGTCAGCAGAGAGAATGACGAGGGCGAGGCGGAGGAAGAGAAAGTGGACACTCGCCTTCCAGAACCACTGCACGACCTCGTCGCTCTGCGTGAAGCCGCGGTAGTCGGTGTGCTTGACCCAGTCGTCGACATCGATCCTGTGGGCGTGAGAAGCTGGTCAGCAGATAGCTGGAAGCGGGAGGAGGCGAGGAGGGACTTACTCGCTCATTCCGCCGATCAAGAGCTGCGGAGTCACAAAAGGCTCGTCAGCAACGGTTTCTCGCCTGCGAAGCAATGCCTACGCACCTCAAGCTCGCGCTCGTCAAACACGTTGATGAGTTCTTGCGGGATGAGCTCGTTGAAGCCGCTCAAGAACGCCGAGAACTGGTCCTTGACGCGACCCTGGATGCGCCACTCGACGATGAGCTGCACGTACTCCTTCTTGTTCTCGTTCGTCACCTCGATGTCGCGTCCGCCGGGCTTGAGGTCGATCGTGACCGTCTCGCCGAAGCGGTCGTCCTCTGCCGAGAAGGTGTTCTCGATGACGTCCGTGATGTCGTTCTCGCTGCGATTGCGGACGGTGTCAGCGAGCGATAGAGCAGTCGAGAGCACGCCTGAACGCACAGGATCCAGGCGAGCGAGCGGAACATCTCGGCGTCGACCGACTCCATGTCGGCGAGCGTGATCTTTTTCTTGAGGATCATCTTGTACAGCGCCGTGATGAAGTAGGCGTCGAGGAAGCGTCGGTGGAAGACGGCGAGTGCGAGAACGCGCCCGATGAACTTGAAGTAGTTGAGGTGCTCGGGGTTGACGGACGAGTTGGGGTTGATCTGGAGCGTGTAGTTGTCGTGCGCCGAGTACTCGAACAGGCAGTAGAACGGGTTGAACATCTCGTGCGAGAGGAGGAAGAAGAACTCGCGCGAGAGACCGCCGTAGTCGAGGCCGTCCTCGCCGTCGAACTTGATCATCAGGCGCTTCTTGAGGTCGTTCGGCGTCTGGCGCATGATCTCGGCGTACGAATCCTCAAAGATGTGCGTGCGGCGGACCTTGACGTGGCACTGGCCGGGCGAGGGCCGCAAAGCCGGTTGCGAGCGGAAGTAGATGAGCTTGCGGCGGAAGTCGCGCTTGTACTGCGGCACGTTCTGGTCGAGCGACGACGGCAGGCGCGGGTCGTCCCACGTCGTCGTCTTCGTGTTGTGGTCGACAAAGTAGACGCGCGCCGTGCTCGTCAGGCGCATCTCCCAGCCCGAAGGCAGCGGGCCGAGCTGCGACACCGACTGCGGCTGGACCGTCAGGTTGTTCCCGTTCGGGCCCATGACGCGCAAGAGCTGCTGCCGCCGCGGGTCGACCCAGGTCGTCGTCCGCGTGTTGTGGTCGACAAAGTACGGGCGTCCCTCGGGAGTGAAGCGCTGCTCCCATCCAGCGGGCAGCGGTCCCGATCCGACAGTCGTCGCCGAGCTGGCGTGTCCAGCCGCAGCTGCAGCAGTCGCCGACGTGGGCGTCGAAGGCTGAGCCGGCGTCGCGCTCTGCGAGTCGCCCGTGCCCAAGAACTCATCTGCCGTCGTACGTCCACCGGCACGAGCCGCACTGCTCGCCTGCGAACCCACCGCCGTCGACGTCGCTCCGTTCGGCCTCGCCGATGCAGGCTGGTCGCGGTTCGGACGAGTCCAGGTCGTCGTGCGGGTGGTATGGTCGACATAGTAGGTCCGGCCGAGGTGGTCGACGCGGCGCTCCCAGCCAGGCGGGAGCGGGCCGTACTGGTCCTCACGCGAGTTGAATTCGCGAGTTGTCGAGCCGGATGTGGGGGCGGCAGGAGGCGCGGCGGCGGGAGTAGCGGTAGGAGCAGGCGTGGCGGTCGAGGCGGATGAGGCGCCATCGGGACGGGGCGAGGCGGGAGCGGCAATGGCGGCCGCAGCGGGCGTACCAGACGTCGACGGCGCAGGCGAAGGAGCAGGCGAGCCGCTTCCGGAGGCAGTTTGCGCGGTGCTAGAGCTACCGAGAGGTGCGGTCGTCGCGGGGCGGGCGCCGCCGTTCAAGTTGGTCGTGACGTGCACTATCAGCTTGCCGTGGACGACGAGCTGGTCGTTAGAGCGCTTCAGGTCGCGGGTAAAGGTCTCTTCACCGCCGAGGTCAAGGTCGACGGCCTGCGCGATGGGGATGTTGATGACGCCGAGGAAGCCCTGATCCTTCTTCTTGAACTTCTTCTGGTCGAAGATCTGGACCGTGAGGACGCTCGAGTCCTTGACGTCGACGTCAAACGACTCGTTCCAGTCTGGGAGCGTGGGAAGAAGAGGTCAGCACAGCCCCTCCCTCGCGAAGACGTATCTCCGTCGGCGTCGCACAAGGGTTGAGCGTTTTCTGCGAGCGCAACGGGGTCAGCAAGCGCTTGGGAGAGTCGTATAGAACCTGCGCACCTTGATCGCAGAGGTGGTCATTGTCTGCTCGCCATCGACAGTCATCACCGCAAACGGATCCGGAAGACGGAACACATCCCGCTTGGCCAGCGAGTCCGCTGCAACGACTGTCGGTACCGGAGAGAACGAAACAGTCAGTCCCATGTAGCGCAGGCATCGCAGCGCGCGAGGACCCGTTGTGTAAGCCGCCTCGAGGAGGGGTCGGTCGGTCGGCCTCGCTCTGCGGCGACAACAAGAGCGGGAGGGACGCACTGGTGACGCGGACTTTGCGCTTCCTGTTGGGATCGGGAGCAGCAGCGCCAGACGACATCCTGGCAGGCGGGTCGACGACGAGTGGCCGGCGGGAGTCGTGCGAGGAGGCAAGGAGCGGCGGGTGCACGGCTCAGCCGGACTGGCTCGTGTGTGCTCGGAGCGGTCTCTGCGATGTAGCTGGCTGCAGCTGGTGCAGTCGCAGGTCCCTCGGCGCGAGAGTGTCAAGGTTCGAGGTGGCAGCGAGCGAAGACGGACCGAGGTTGTAATTGAAGTCCGCAAGGTGGTCCTCACAAACCGCTTCCGGAGCGGTGGGAATGCTTGCAATGGCTTCGAAAGCGCATCGAAGGATTTACTGAGGCGGAGTGAGAGCAAAAGGAGCAGTCGAGACAACCGATATCTCGACTCGAATCTCCTCGCCCCGAAAGACGTACGCAGCGACAAGGTCGAAGCGAGCAGCGGAAAAGGGTCATAGATTACGTTGTATCTAGCCGTCGTACTCGGTGAAGGAGGTGTGACCCGTCTGCTCGGCATGCTGGCGAGCCTCCTTCTCCCCCTTGAGCGCCTCGCGACAGACTCCGCATCGAAGGCTGTGAGCAGTCGACGAGTCAGCGAGGGAGTGATGATCGACGAGAGAAGGAACGCACGCGAAAGTCGCCGTATCAGTGTACGCATGCTGAGCCCGCAGCTGTGCGACGAGTTCACATGCGGCCGAGAGCAGGTTTTCCTCGGATCGAGGGAAGACGGTTGTGTCAAAGTCGATGTTGGGAGGCGGGAACGACGTCGAAGCTTCCGGCGGGGCGAACGAGAACGTCAAGGCGTCGTAGTCTGCGAGCCAATTCGAGAGGGGGTCAGTCTGGCGAGAGCTGCATGCCCAAGAGACGAACGCACGAATACCAGAGTAGACGAGCATGACAAAGGTGTCGTATCCTGCGTCTTGGCCGAACCGGTCGACCCGTCCTGTCTGGACGTCGATGCTGCAGATCTCTGTCGAGAAGTGCTGGGCGAAGATGGCGAGCTCGATAGCGCCGCCCCATGAGGTTGGCTTGAGAATCGTGGCGATGTACTCTTCAGGTGTTCGCCTATCGGAGAGAAGAGCGTTAGCAGCTGTTGAGCAAGGGCAAGGAGGGAACGCACCCGAGCATCGCCTCCGAATACGTCTCCGGGTCCGCCTGAATTGCGCCAGCCACGACTCGCCTAAACGACGCTGCAGCATCCGCCTCTCCAGGACTCAGTACCAGCCCTACCGCGCGGAAGAGGCAGGAGTTGTCGTCTGGAACGACCCGCAGACAGAGGAAGCCGCCGCCCGTCTCGATGTACTGCCCGCCTGATCCAGCAGCTTGGGGCTTGGGCGGTGCGACGAGTTGTTGAGCTCGACTTGGTGCGACTGAGGGTACGACGGCAGGAGAGACGGAGCGGGGCTGAGAGGGCGTGGCAGTCGAGGAAGACGTCGACGCTGCTGGCTCGGCTGAACCCTCCGAGACGACAAAGGCTTCGCCGCTGGTGATTCCCAGCGACTTCAAACTCGATTGTGGAGGTGCAGCAGGCTCGAGCAGCTTCGGAGGATAGCCGTGGCGCACTGTGTGGGAGGGGAGCGGGGGTTTGACGAGCCGACGGTGCTGTGTCAGCGGGCGCAGAAGCCAGTGAAAAACTGGAGGCGCACGCTCTTGCCTCGCAGGAGGTATCCCTGTCGTCTCCTCCACCTTTGACCGCAGCTGAGCGAGTGTGGCGTTGTCCTCGAGCGTCGCGACGGCCTGTCCTTGGGGTCCTCTGTGCAGCGAGGAGAGCGGCGTCAGCGGGCGGGGTGGCTAGGTGTAACGTCCCAGCTACTCGCCTGATGCGCAGTGTAAGCATCTCTAGGTCACAGTAAGCTGTTCTGGCGGAGGACGAGGGAGGTGGAGAAGGTCAACCTTGGGACTGATGAGGCGTTGACACTCGACCACACACCGCTCTACGCTTGCTGGAGTGACAAAGGCGCGCTCATGCCTCCCAAGAAGAAGGCTGGCGCGGTCACCACCATCCACGCCGACCTCCTCGCCGCGTTCGACGAGACCAAGTCCGCCGCCTCCCTCCGACCCGACCGCCTCTCGAGCGACCTTCTCGCGCGCGCGTATGGCCTGGCAGGGCCCAGGGACAGTCAGAAGCCGGTCAAGCAGCTGCACAAGGCGTGTCCGCCCCGCTGGACTGAGGAGGCCGAGCAGGAACGCGCGAAGAAAGAGGAGGTCAAGGAGAGTCCCGAGGTGATTGTGCTCGATGGGACGGACGACGAGGGCAAGAAGACGCGTGGAGGGGACAGGAAAGGGAAGGGGAAGGCCAAGGCGACCGCGGGAGAGGTCAAGGAGAAGCCTTGCTCGGCAGAGAACTGCGGTAACAACCCGCGCTGCCTCAACTGGCTCGGGCAGGACAAGTGGGAGAACTCTGGTGCGGTTCAGCGCTTCATGATGGTCGTGCAGGAGCGCTGACGGCCGGGTCCGAGCAGACAAGGCGCTCAAGGACTTTCGCAAGGCAGCAGGACTGTCGGCGGATCCTTCGAACGACCGCGACCCCGAGATTCCTGTCGGCCTGAAGGTGCGTTCCGTCCTCACCATCAAGATGTGCTCGTGACTGACTTGCAGGACGTGCAGAACCTCGGCGCAACGTGCTACGCCAACTCGTTCCTCCAGGTCCGTCCCCGCTCCCCCTTCGATCATTGCCCGTCCGCTCACTCCGCTCGCTCAGGTCTGGTTCCGCGATACCAAGTTCCGCGAAGGCGTCTACTCGGTCCTTCCGCCAACGACTGGTACTGTCGAGGTGAGTCTCCCCGTCTTCCTCTTCTTCTCGTGCCACCCGTTCACCGTAAGTCTCCCGCAGAGCTCGCCCGTCTTCCAGCTCCAGGTCCTCTTCACGTTCCTCCAGACGTCCAAGCAAGCCGTCTACGACCCCGAGCCGCTCGTCGAATCGCTCAAGATCAAGAAGACGGAACAGCAGGACGCACAAGAATTCTCCAAGCTGTTCCTGAACCTCCTCGACATGCAATTTCAGAAGCAGGCGAAGAGGGTGCAGGCTGAGGGCGGCAGCACGAAGATCGGTCAACTCGTTGATGAGCAGGTGCGTTTGCCTCCCTTTCCGCTCGTCGTACACGGTTGCTGACCTCCCGTCACGCAGTTCGGCGGCAGGATCACGTACGGTACGCAGTGTTTGAGCTGCAAGAACAAGTCGGCGCATCCCTCGACGTTCTTCGAGCTCGAGGTCAACCTCACAGTACGTGCTCGTCACCCTCGTTCAGTCTCGACGGAAGCTTACACACTTCGGCGAGCAGAAGAACTGCAAGCTCGAGGATCGCATCAGCGCCTCGCTCGCGTCAGAAAAGCTCGAAGGAGACAACCAGTGCGTCCGGCCGTCACCGCTTGAGCAGGTTGGTCGCTGACGCTCCCGCCCGCTCAGGTACTTCTGCGAGAACTGCGGCAAGAAGCGAGACGCGCTGCGCTACACCGAGTTGGCCGAGCTGCCCCCCGTACGTCCGAGATCCTCCTCGTCGCGCCGTTTCGTACTGACGCCATCGCCGCACACAGGTCCTGCACGTCTCGCTCCTCCGCTTCGTCTGGGACATGGAGACGGGCGAGCGGAGCAAGTCGCAGCACGCCATGACCTACCCACTGCAGATCGACATGGGCCAGTACCTCCCTCGCGATGCGCACGGCAATAAGCGCGAGGTGTGGTACGACCTCAAGGGCGTCTTGATGCACAAGGGCGTGAGCGCGCATCACGGGCATTACGTTGCGCAGGTCTACGACGAGAGGTGCGTTCCATTCGGCCTTCTCCGGGGAAGAAAGTCATTGACGCTCAAACTGAGCGCAGCCAGAGCAAGTGGTTCCTCTTTGACGACGAAGCCGTGTCCCCGATAGACGACCTCAACAGCCCAACCACATACGATGAGGACGAAGCGCCCGTCTCGTCGAAGAAACGGCCGTCCAAGGGCTTCACTCGCGACGAGCGCGGCAATATGTGCGTTTCGAGCTTTCTCTTGAGCGACCGAAACGAACGCTGACCTCAAGCGTTCCTTCGCAGCCTCCCAAAGTCGAAGGATGCTTGTGCGTCCCGTCTTGGGCTCCTCGCCAAACAGAGCTGATTGTCCTCGCCCGCAGACATGCTCGTCTACACGCGTCGGCGCGACGCTTCCGACCCTCCTGCTACCGCCGAACCTGCCCCACCTCCTCTCGCGCAGTTCACGGTCGAGAAGCTCGACAAGGCGTACCACGACGAGGTCGAGAAGTGGCTCGACAGGTACCTTGACCCCTCGTTCAACAAGAGTGCAGGCTCGAGCTAACTCTCTCGTCACCGCAGATCGAAGGAGGTCGAGCAGTCGTTCGAGAAGATGCGGGACGTCAAGCGCTCCATCTACCGCATCTGGGACGTTGTCGAGGACGATGTGAGCAGCCCTCCTCTTCCAAGTCGACCGTTGCTGACCTACGCGGTCCTCGCAGGAGGAGGCGTTCCTCGTCGACAAGCACGAGCTCAGGCGGTGGGTCGAAGAAGGCATTAAGAAGCCTGGCAAAGGAAAAGGGAAGGCTGTCGATGGGGAGGATAAGGGTGAGGATGTCATGGTCGTTGAGGAGGAGGAGCGGAAGGACGCGTCTCCGATGATGCTGCCGGAGGACGAGGAGGGGCTAGGGAAGCAGAAGATGGAGGACGCCGACATGCCGGATGTCGACAAGTCCGCCGTCCAGTCCTCCACGTCTGCGCCTCAAGATCCGCTTCCGACGCCTCCTGCCGCCTCTACGAACGGCAAATACGTCGAGTCGGACGAGTCGAAAACCGAGAAGGGCGACGACGATGACTTGCCGCACCCTTCCAAACTTGCGGCACGCGCCTCTCCCGCCGAGCCGATCAAGCTTCTCTGCAACGACGCTGTCGTCTGCGAGCACGGACTCGCCAAGCCGCAGAAGGCGGATCAGATGAAGCGCGTCTCTCAGGTGCGTAGGGCAGCGTCGTCGCTCCCAGCATGCCCCTGACCGATGTCGTCGCCTGAAGTATGCGATTATGGCCCTGCGCGATATCGGCGTGACGATCAGCCCCGAACTCCGGACGCCCAGCAGCTTCTGCCGCGAATGCGTTGGCGCGATTGCCGCAGGTGAGCGCTCAGCGATGGTCGCAGCCAAACACTCGTACTGACCTCGAACGGCGTGTAGATGTTGTCTATGCGAAGCAGCATCTGAAGGACGTGGACGAGATGAGGAAGAACGAGAACGCCGACCTGGAGCAGAACAAGACGGCTTGGATCTCGCGCGAATGGTACAGGGGTTGGTCGGACATCAACCTCTCGCTCGCTGATATACCCTCTGACGTTGCTCCCGAGTGCAGACTGGATGAAGAACAAGCCGAAGATGCACGTCGCCGGCACGATCGTCGACCCGTCCCCGAACGACAAGCCCTTCATCGACGACGTCCTGTGCGAACATGGCGGGCGGCAACCGGATACGTCGAAGCGCAAGGATATCGGCAAGGAGGTGCGTCATGACCAGCACCGGCGCGGCGTGCTGCATTGACAATCGCTTCTTGCAGACGATCAAATTCCTCCGCAAGCTGTTCGCAGGCTTCGAGCCGGTCGTTAACCCGAAGTCGTGCGATATCTGCGAGGGTCAGCATGAGCAGGTCGAGCAAGATGACCACGAGGCGCGGGCGCGCGCCAGTCTCGTCAAAGTTTGTTGCGTCCGTCTCGATGTGCGTGTCTGCTCCGCTGACCGTCATTCTCGCCGGGCAGAAACACATCAAGTCGTTCGGGGATCAGATTCGCCTCACCGGCACGAGGTTGGCGATTAGCTCGGACGACACGGCGCATTTCGTCGTTCCTCGAAGTACGCTGCCCTTCTCCCATGATCTGACCTGGGCGAAAGCTGACGGACGGCTGCAGCGTACATCAACAAGCTCGTAAAGTGGCAGAAGTCCAAGACGCCCACGGCAGCAAGTCAGCCAGGAAACCTCGACAACTCGCACTTCCTCTGCAAGCACGGCGATCTCTGCCTCGACCTCGACGCGGAAGTCGAGAATCCGCGCAAGATCGACATTGCTACGGAGCAGGAGTGGCGTTTCCTTGCGAAGTAGTACGTATTCTGCTGTTTCCTCTCGCAAGACTGCGTTGACGCGTCCGCCTCGTCCAGCTACGCCGCCGACCCCGCCATCACAATCTGGCAAGAGGCAGGCCTTCAGCATCCGTCCTCGAATCCTCCGGTCTGCGAAGAGTGTCTCTCCGAAGAGTGCGTCCACTGCATGGCTCGACGACTGCAGTCGAGCTGATCTGCTTTCGTTCGCAGGAAGCGGAACTTCGAGGTCGGCGAGCTCAAGGTTCGCTCCTTGTCAGCGAGCGATTTCGACGAGAACAACGATCGCAAGATTGGTGCGCTACGCTTTGCCCGCTTTTCTAACGGCGGTACTGACGAACCACCGCAGAGCCTGAAGGATCGCCCGAAGCCGAACGTCCTGCGCCAACAGGCTCCGTCAGGCAGTACGGTCAACGTGCGTCGACGCGCATCAAGAACAAGTCGAACAACCCGCACTGGAGCAAGCCGCTCAAGGTGATCAACATGGGGAAGGACGACCAGGTCAAGGACCTGAAGCACAGAGTACGTGCTGCTGCGTGAGCTTCTAGATGCTCGCGAGTGCTCATTGTGACCTGTCGCAGATCGAAATCGAGCTCAAGTACCCGATCGTCACCCAGCGCCTCTTCTTCAAGGCGCAGGAGCTCGGCGACGCTTCGGCGACTGTCGAGGAGTTGGGCATCCTCAACGGCGATACGATCGAGGTGTACGCCGTCGGCATGGACGGCGACTACGACCCAAGCGCCTTCGAGGACAAGCCGTCGAAGCGCAAGGGCAAGCGCGCTCGCGAAGAAGGCTTCACCGGCACGGGCCTTTTCGGCTTCGAGGAGGAGGACGGCGGCGACGACGATGGCTCGCGCAGCGGGGCCGACGGGTCGAGCGAGGGGGCGGAAGGAGGCGAAGTCGCGTCGAACGGGCGCGAGAAGCGGTCGAAGAAGGCGGCATCGTCAACGCCAGTTGCGACGAACGGCGATCTCGAGGACATCGACATGGATGACACCATCCCCTGTCCGTCGTGTACTTTCCTCAACAACGCGGCACTGTCGAGCTGCGAGATGTGCGACTCAGATCTCAAGGGTTGAAGGGTATGTGAGGTGGCGTCGCTTCGGTTTTCCTGTTTACGTTCTGTTGTGTACCTTCTTCGCACCGCATCTTTCGCATACACCGCATTGCAGTACTCGTCCGATCGTTTCCTTGAGGGTAGCCGCAAGGCGGCGAGATTCGCGCTACTGCTTCCCTCTCCCGGGTCTTTATCGTTCCGGCGAGTCCTCTGCTCAAGATGTAGATAGGGAGCACTGGAGGCGACACGACATTCAGGAAGAAGCTACAAGCAAGAAAGGAGACGAGCAAAGGAGGCGGGACTTTCACGTCGGAGCTTTGTCGTCGAGCTGCGAGTCGTCCAGCCCTTCCTCAAGCGGCTTCGGCAGCTTGACAATCTCGAGGTCCTTGAGGGCCTGGAGGAGCGCTTCGCTGCCGCTCTGTCGACGACGGTTGAGCAAACGGGTTTGCGCACGAAGAGAGCGCAGAGAGCGAAGAGAGGGAAGGAACGCACTGCAAGTTCAAGCGCCCCGAGCAACGCCAACAACGCTTTCGCGAGCATGTCGTCCGACATGAACGGGTTGTTCGGCGCCGTGCGGATGACCTCCTCGAGCTTGATCTTCCTTGCAATAGGCGCGAGAACCTTGGAGGAGAAGTTAATCGCTATCGCGCGGTTGTACTGGAGGCCGGTGTGCAGTCCAGGCGAGAGGAAAAGTGCCTTGGTCGCAACCGCCTTTGAGCACTGCGTCGAGCGAGTCGTCAGTCTGTTCATCTCGACATTTCGAGACTGGACGGACCGCCTCGCGAACTCTCGCAAGTTCCGTGTTGTTGCGAGTCGGCGAGAGACTGCTGTGCGTGATAGCGGTGACAGCGAGCTCCTTGGCGTCCTTCGAGTCGAAAGCGAGCGAGGGGGCCTGCGCAGGATGCCTGAAGTCAGCGAAGAGGCGGAGAAGCGACAGTTGCGACGCACCCTCTGCCTTAGCTCCTCCAGCTTCCCTTCCGCGTTGGTGAGGAGACCACGGTACCTCGGGACTGACGCCGAGAAGGCGACAGCTTGCGCCGCGAGGGTGGCGGTAGTCGACGGCGAGGAGGAGAGAGTGGACATCGTGTGAGGGCGTGGGTGGCGACGGAGGAGCGATAGGCGAGCTGCGAGGATGCGTGCGCTTGTCGCAGTGAGCAGAAAGAACGTCAAGCGAAAGACGAGGCGAAGAGGGGCAAAAGAGAGCGGGCTTGACCTTCGCAAGTGGCCTCCTCGACACAAAGGCTTCGCGCAGATATATATCTCACGGATGCAAGCAGGAACGCATGTCTACGACGTTGACGAGCCCTCCGAACTGTCCGCTACGCTCCCCAAGGCAAGGCAAATTCGACCTTGTGCCCGTTCCCGTGCGCTGGGTGCGCCTCCCTCATCTCCTGCTGCCCGACATCGCCGTCCGAGCCGGCCTCCGCACCTGCAGTCCTTGCCATGTGCTTCTCAGCGTCCTTCTGCGCCTCCTCCCTCGACGCCGCAAACTCCCCTCCTTCCGTCTTCCCAACCGTAATCGGCGCAGGCATGCCCCCGTTCGCAACGGCACCCTCCCGAATCGTGTGCTGCGAATCATCAAAGCTGGTTCGCCGACTGACCGCGCGACTGCCGGCAGCTGGAGTACCAGCAGCAGGCGTACCGACGTTCGCAGGAGTCGGGACGTCCGGCACGTTCGAGGTCGAGCCGTTGTCGCTGCCGCGGAACCAGCGGCTGAAGAGGTTGTTCCGACGACTGGCGTAGCTCATGGTCGACTTCGTGCGCTTAATGGCGAGCGGGGCGGCCTTGGTAGCAGGGATGGTGATGCCCTGCGTGAAGCGAATCATTAGCTCAGCCCGCTGCTTGGAGGTTCAGGGGGGGCGACTCACGTGCACGATAGTCGACGACATGGCCATGAAGATAACGATAGGGAAGACGCTCTCCCTCACGGCGACGCGATCCTCCGGCAAGTTCTCGCGCGCGAGGATAGCGTAGTAGATGGCAGAGACGCCGATCGGGCCGAACCTGTGCGCCAGCCCATCAGCGATGATTTGAACGGCCAAGAGAGGGGAACGCACCAGCCGGCGAAGAGTCCTTCCGAGAATCCGTCGAGGGCGGGGATGAAGCGGTAGAGGGCCAACATGGCTGGGAGCCGGCGGAAGATGAGGATGCAGATAGCGAAGACCACCAAACGCCACGGCGAGATGAACTCCGACGTGAACTCGGACCCTGCGTGAGGGAGATGGGTCAGGAGGAGTTTCAAGGGGAAAGCAGGAGCAAACGAACACGGCATGACGGCGCCGACGTAGATGAAGATGGCCGTGTCCAGCAGACTGTCGATCACTGCAGTCCTTGGACGGTCAGAATGCGCCGGGAGAAAGGAGGAAAGGGAGCGTGAACAGACCGTCTTGGAAGGTGTCCTCCTCGCTCGCCTCGATGCGGTAGAAGTCTCGCCACGTGAGACTGTTGCCGGCGATGAAGCAGGCGAGAACGTCGTCGCTGCCGAGTACGCCGACGACTGCCCGGCCGAGACGGAGTCAGCGACTGCGAGGAGAAGTTGCCCGGCTCTGCGCACCTCCAAGCGTAAACAGCGCCAGTCCGACCCCATACGCCAAGAAGGACTCGTGGTCGATGAGCTGGCGCGTGTGAGCGAACTTGAGCGTCTTTCGCGCGATGTAGCCGATCAAAGCGCCGATGACGCAGCTCATGAGGATCTGGTAGATCCAGGTCGTGACGATCCAGTGCTGCAGGGACTCGTTGATTGAGCGGCCGTGCGAGGTGCGCTGCATGAGGAAGATGGCGAGGAACAGGAAGGGGTACCTGCGCGGCGGAAGCGAAGTTAGCAAAAGCTGGAGTTGCGGATGTGCAGAAACCTCACCCTAGTCCGTCATTCGCGCCACTCTCGGCAGAGATGATGTCCTTGACCGCCTTCGGGACATGCTTCTCAGCATACCGACCCTTGACGATCGTGTTGGCGAGGATAGGGTCGGTCGGGGTGATGCAAGCCGAGATGGCGAGCGCCTCGAGGAAGGTGAGGCCCTTGAAGAGCAGGAGTATGAAGCCGGCGGAGATGAACCAGGCGATGGTCATGATCGGGAGTAGGAGCATGAAGAGCGACCACGCTTCGCGGCGGAGGTAGGCGCCTGGGAGGTCGATGCCGGCGAACATGACCTCTGCAGCAAGCCGCCATCAGCCGCATCTCCTGTGCAGGTAAAGGAACGGTACGCACGGATGCCGATGACCAGCCGGGTGAGCTGGAAAGTCAAGTTGTACCTCGCCTCCTCGTCAAAGTTGACCCACTGCCACGGCGAGACCCAATCTAGGCCAATGGGACCGACGGCTGTGTACGGATCCGAGGTCAGCAAGAGCAGCAACGGCAATCTCAAGCGGAGTGCGCACCTATTCCTACGCAGAGCGAGATGAGGGCGCTCGACATGAACAGCCTTGACTTGAGGATGTAGGAGAACTGGCCGATGGTGACGAGGTAGAACCCGAGGACGCATAGTGCCAGCGACCTGCGCAAACGAGAGAACGTTCGGCGGGTCAGCTCGTTGCCCGACCTGAAAGGGCGACAGAAGGAAGAGGTCGCTCAACGCACAGGTGAGTGATCTCTGTGCGCACAAACGGCTGGAGGAGCTCGTGGGCGTCCTCATGGATGAGCCCGCTGTTCGTACTCATTCGCGCACGCGGTCGAGCTGGTGTTATTCGTTGGCGGCGAGCGAGGCGGAGATGAGGGTGGAGCAAGGGGCGCGCATGCGTTGGATGGCGCGGTTGTGGTCAAATACGAGCGGTAGCAGCTGGGCCTTGGAAAGCAGCCAGGCGAGCGAGTTGGGCGACGTGAAGAGCTCGCACGAGGGAGACAAGACTTCCTCGCCAAGAAGAACGACGACGACGACCGATTCGAAATGATCTGCTAAGTGTACCCCCGCTGTACGTGCTCTCTCGACAACGGGGAATCAGAGGGCGGAACAGCCAGCATCGTTTCAGCCTTCTGGGACCCATCCAGGCCGCATCGTCTCGTCTACCAACCCTCGGACAGCCGCTTCTATCGTCCGCTTCGCGCCTGCGAGCTGCAGTGCTGCCGCCGCGAGAGTATGCAGGACGAGCTGGCGAACTGGAGGAACCGAGGGCAGAGGTGAGCGAGCGAAGACGGCGGGAATTCAACGGAAGCGCACCTTCTCGACCATCGCTCGTCTGCTCGAAATACCGCACCAACAGCGACGCCTCCTCGCCCTCCGCCTTCTCTGCAAACCTCTCAACTCGCAGATCATGGCACGCAACCTGCGCGACAACCCGCTTCTTGCCCTCATCCACCTCGTCCTCCGACGACAAACTGCTCGGGATGTGCCATTCGATGACTATGCGGTCGCACGGCTCGGATGCGAAGATGCGGAAGTGCAGAGAAGTGTGGGCAGAGGTGCTGTAGGCGGATCGGAGGGAGACGAGTTGCTCGCGGCGGGAGACGAAGGCATTCAAGTACGGCTTGAGGCGGGTGAGGAAGAGCTGCAGTTCGACGTGTCAGTCAGAGACAGGTAGATCGATGCGAATTCTGCCAGCGCAACGCACCTCCAGGTCCGGCTCGCCAGCAACTTCCGCTCTCCGCTCCTCCATCTCGTCCTCTTCAAGCGGCGCACCAAGGTATCGTCTCGACAAGTTGTCAAGCGGTATCCAGTGCGGTATCGTGTGATGCGCAATGTAGATGGGAAGTTCAGAGTCGACGGCTGGTTTGTCGAGGTCGGGGAGGCGGCGAGCGAAGACGATGTAGTATGGTTCGTAGTAGCGGCCTGTGCAGGGCCAGTGAGCACGGCGCGAAAAGGGCAGACGGGAGGAAGCATGCTCACCCTGGTAGAACGTCTCCAACCTCACAGCCGTTCCCCTCCTCACGAATTCGTCCTTCTCCTCCTCCTCCTCCTCCTCCTCCTCCTCCTCCTCAGCCCCCCCCTTCCCCTTCCGCTCGACCCTCCTCTTCTTCCTCTCCCTCCCAATCTCGCCCAACTCCTCCTTCGCCCTATTCCCCCTCGCAAGTTCAACCGCAAAACAGCTCCTTCCCGTCAGCCTGTACGTTCGCGCGAGTTCGGTTGCCTCTTGTGTGGCTGTAGGGGAGGAGGAGAGGGTACTGGTACGACGGAAGATGGAGTCGTGAGAGGCGGACGAGGTCGAGGGGAAGGAAGGCAGGGAGGAGGAGGCGCGGAGGAAGGTGATCCGGCGGCGGACCTCGTCGGCTGCGCGGTCGGGGTATCAGAACGAGTCTCGTATATTCTGAGAGAGGACTATGCACCTCTTGCCCTCAGCGATTCGGGCGACTCGTCGCTTTCGGCCATTGTTGACGGAAGGAGCGAGGACGGAGAGACGGTGTATGGGAAGGGTGGTGCGAGCTAGTACGTTGACAACCGAGCGTGAAGAGCAGTTCTGACAGTCCAGCAACAGCAACGAAGCAAGTCGAGCGCGGTGACAGCGACACACCTCCTCCTCCTCCTCGTCTCTGCGACTGTGCGTTCGAGCGTGGCAGTGCAGGCTGATTACAATCTGATTACACTCTAGAGTTGTAATGCTGTGAATAGCACCGCCTCCCGCTTGCCAACTCGGTCTTCGTCACGCCGTGCGGACTTTCCCTCGGCGTCCCCGTCCTGCTCTCTCTCTTCTCACACTCGCTCGTTGACTCTTTGCACTCGTTCTACCGCTCAGACACCCTCCAAGCTCGCACCATGCGCACCTCGCTCATCACCGCTGTCCTCGCCGTCGCCGCCGCTGCCACTCCCGTCCTTGGCGCACCTCAGCCCGCCCCGCAGGAGCAGCACGTCGAGGAGAAGCGCCAGATCCTTTCGTGAGTGCACTATACCTGCTGTCGACTTCGGGCAGCGGGGACGAGGTTCTTGCGAAGACGAGCTGACCCCTCCTCGACCTCCTTTTGACCGTTCGCTCTCCTCTCCGCAGGTTCCTCACTTCGCTCGGCGGCGACATCACCAGTGCCGGAGGACAAGTTGCGACCGGAGCGACCTCCGTCTTCGGAGACGTTACGAGCGGAGCGGTCGGATTGGGTCAGACTATCACGAGCGTCTTCCCGAGCGTTTACACGTCCGTCTCCACTCCTTTCGCTGCTCCTTGCCCCCAGATCTCGCTGACAAGACCCTCTTGCACTCTCTCCTTTCCTCCCGCCTGCACCCACCATTTTCGCCCCCTCGGGCGATCGCTTCATTTTTCCCGCTCTTTCCCTCTCTCAGCGTCGTCACGAGCCGCGGAGGCAGCGTGTTCTCCGAGGTGACCAGCGGCGCAGTGACGGGCTACGAGTGCGTTCCTTCCTTCGAAGCCCTGCTCTCCATGCAAGCAAGTTCCGACCTTCTTCCCGCTTGCAGGTATGTGACGTCCGGCGCCGGCGGCGCCCTCTCGACCGTCACCTCCTTCGGCGGCGGCGCCTTCCAGACGGCAACCAGTGGCGCAGCAGGCGCCTTCTCGACTGCGACGAACGGCGCGGCGGGTGCGTTCTCGACGGCGACGGGCGCGGTAGGAGGCGCTGCCTCGTCCGCGACGAGCGGTGCGGCTGGTGCTGCGTGAGTCCATCTCCTCCTCTTTGTCGTCGTCGTGCACGACCTGGGCGGACCTTCTCATTCTCGCCTCGACCGCTCCGCGCGTCTTTGTATGCGAGAGCCTCTCCCTCGTCGCCCGGGTCCGCTGAAAGATCAGCGCGGCAAGCTTAATTGCACACGAATTGACTCTTCTTCTCCTCTCCTCGCCGACGCAACAGGACGGGCAACTCGAATCCCGCGTCGAAGGTCTCGCCGTTCCACCCTGCCGCATGGGCTTTCGCCGCACTCGCCAGCGTCGCAGGTGGAGCGTACGTCTTTGCCTAAGTCACAGTCACACCCATCGACACTTCGACTCTCGACTCTAGCTTGCGCCGCGCCGCACGACTGCCGCTCGCTCGCTCCGATCCGCCTAGCTTATCATCCCCGCCCCGTTCTTCTCGTTCCATTCATACCACCAGCAGCTTCTCATCGTAATGCATCCCCCAGCCTATTATACAGCCGGAACTATTCTCCCGCAGACGGAGAGTCTGGCCGCAGCTCCTGCTCGCGCGAGCTGATCCCTCCATGCGGCTTCGAGGGGATCATTGCATTTGCCCGCGTTTGTGAAACCCTGCGCTGAACAAGGCAGGACCCGGGGGCGGGCACCCGCGACCGACGGAGCGAGATGGGTCGTTCAACATGGAGTCTTTTGGACATTTGTGATCGAGGAGGAGAACGTCGTCGCGCGGGCGCGCGGGAGAGAGGTCGGTCTCGCAAATCCTGGGCACGCACCGGCGAGCGAGCGAGGAGATGCTCTTTGCACCAACAAGCGAGAACAGCGACCTCGACTTGCGAAGGAAGGCGAGACGAGGGTTGCTCCTCCTCTCGCTGACCCAACAACGCGCCGTAAGTTGGCGCAGGCGCAGATCGACCCCTTGATTCTCCTCGAGCGCCTTTGTCCGCGCCCGCCTGGTCTCGCAGGACAATGCCAGGCGTGCTTGCTCGTCGAGGTTGAGTGAAGGAGCTGTGCGCGCCAGTCCCGCGTCAGCTTGGCTTGGGACGCACGACGTCAACGCAGCCGACCCTCGTCAGACGGCATTCCCGGACCCGCCGGTGCTCAGCGAGGAAAGCCAGCCAGCCAGAGAGAACACTTCGCTCAACAACAACTCGCCTCGAGCAGCTTCGGCAGAGAGCGCCGCGCGATTGAGCTCTTCCGGTCAAACGAGGACCATTTTCTGTCCCTGGCAGCGTGCGCGACCTCGACCCGCCCGTCTTGTCCGTGTGCCCGAAGTGAATCGCTCAACTCGCTCCCTTTCTTCGCTCGACACGGCTCGAGTGGGATCGTGCACAGCGCACAAAGGGACCCACGGATACAGCCAGCACCACGCACGAACAACCCGCCCATCTTGCCGCCGCCGCCGTCACCCACCCCGGCTCGTCCTTTTCGCTCGTTCAACGCCTCGACGGCTCGCTCGACACGGCACAGCGCAGGCCGCGAGTGCCACCAGCGATGCTCTCGTCCTCGCCACGGTCCGACACGCTCGTGCACAGGGCCGGCGCAGCGTTCCAAGGCGCTCCCCTCGTCGCGCCCTCGTCCCCGACGCTCGCGTACCACGATGGCGAAATCTCTCCCTCGTTTGATGCGTCCTTTGCGAGCTCGATGTGCGTGGAGACAGTAGATCAGGCTGGCGAGCGTACGAGCTGACCTGGGTCGTGCGAGCAGGTCCATCACCTCGGACGAGCAGGCCCACCCCTCGCCGCTCCCCGCACACCTTCGGCCGCGCTCCCATGGCCCGACCTCATCGCCAAACGACGCGATGGACATTTCACCCGCTCCTGCTCCTCGACAGCCGGTAGCGGGGCCGTCGTCGAGCGCGTCGAGGCAGAACCGCCTCCCTGCTCCTCGCCCACCCCTCTTCGCTCGTCCACACTCGCAACCCACCGTCCCTTCGTCTTCCACTGCCGCCTCGACGGAAGATCATCCCTTCTTGAAGAGCCTGTTCAAGCCCGGACGCTCCGCACCGCCGACGCAGACCTCGTTCGCGCCCATCCTCCCGCTCTCCATCCCTCGCTCAACCTCGCCTGACTACTTCCAGGTCCCCGCCGTCGTCCCCGTCACCGTCGACCCGCATGCCTCGTCGTCTGGGTCGAGCAGCCGTCCCACCCTCCCGCACTTTGCGACCGTGCCGCCATCACAGTCGGAGAAACTCCGCCCGCCGTTCTCCAAGACCGCCTTCGAGTTCCGCGCGAGCGACGACGGCGTCGAGTCGGCTCCTGTCGATGCCTTCAGTGATGCCAAAGGCTCGATGCCGGCGCCGCGGCGACTGTCAGGCGGCTCGCGGTCACGCAACGCCCTCCCCAGCGGGTGGAGCAAGTCGCAGCGCCAGACTGCGCCCGCCAACAGTCTCGCACCTCCACCGCCTCCAGCACCAGCGAAGCGCAAGTCTGATCCGGGCTTGCCGACGCTGCGGAAAGAGCTTGAGTCGTCGCCGTTCCGGATGGAGGTCGACGGCGAGTCGCCTGAACGCAAGCTCTCGTCGCCTATCGCGCTCCGTCCCGCCAGCCAGCCTCGCTCAGTTTCCGAGTCGCGTGCAGCGCAGCCCGTCTTTGGCGGCGTCGAACCTGGCTCGTCGCCGCCCAGCTCGGATGCAGACCGCTCGGGCGCAGACGACCGCCTCGCCGACATGTTCGGCTTCTCTCCAGGCGACAACCTCTCGCCTATACCGCAGTCTCGCAAGCGGTTCCTCGAGCAGGAGAACTCGCCGACGCCGGCTTCGCCCACTCCGACGGGAGGCGCGTCGCTCGGCGCTGTTGGCGGCCGCCGCGCGTTCGAGAAGGCGGCGAGTACGGCGTCGCTGCCCATGCGTGTCGCACGGAGACAGCGCTCCGCCATCGGCTTGAACGCGCGACCGTCCCTCGCGAGCTTCGCCTCGCTCGGCCCGCCGCCTTCAACCACGAACGAGAACTCGGCCTCGTTCAACAACAACAAGCGGCATGCGACGCAGGCGCAGGACGGCAAGCCAGCGCCTGCGCCGCTCTTGCGCGCCTCGCGCCGGTCCAACTCGGTTGCCGAGGCGTCGTTCCTCTGCGTTCCGCAGGCTGTCCAGACTGCCAACCCGAGCAGCTCGAGCAGCACTAACGGCCCGCTCTCGGCGCGCGACCCGAACGTCCCGGACGACTCGCCTCGCATGCTCGGTGCGCGCGCATCGCTCGCGACGATGGACGGCAGCGACTACTTTGGAACGGTTGGGCGCCGGGCGGGCGCGAGTGTCGACCTTGGCAAGTCGGTTGCGCTGAGTCCGGAGATGGGCAGCCCGATCGCTGGGTTCCGCAAGCAAGAGGCCAAGGGGAAGGTGTTGCCTTGCTTCGGCGTCAAGGAGGACGGCCTCATGCGCATCTTGCCCGAGACGGTGCGTCTGCCGCTTCTTCCTCATCGAGGACATCGACTGACTTCGGGTCCTCGCAGCTCAACGACCTGCAGAGCGGCAAGTACAGCGACGAAATCAAAGAGTTCCTCATCATCGACTGCCGATTCGACTACGAGTACGACGGAGGCCACATCGAAGGCGCGATCAATCTTTCGGAACTTGCGGACGTCGAAGCGCGACTGCTCAACTTGCCGAACCCGCCCAAGCCCAGCACGAGCGAGTGCGTTGCGAAGGAGGGCAAGACGGTGCTTGTCTTCCACTGCGAGTTTAGCGCCAAGCGTGCGCCGACGAGGTGCGTTCGCGGCTGCTGTTCCGAGCCTCTGAGTCCTGTCGCTGACTGGCCATCCCATCGACAGCGCCAAGCACCTTCGCAACCAGGATCGCCTCAAGAACATCGCCGCCTACCCGAACATCCACTACCCCGAGCTGTACATCCTGCAAGGCGGCTACGAGGCGTACTACAAGGCGTTCCCTGTGAGTCTCGGCCTTCAGTCTACTTCGACAACAACTTGACCCATGCTCGCGCCCACAGCAACGCTGCGTCGGCGGCTACGTCGTCATGGACCACCCGGAGCACGACGCCAAGCGCTCGCTCAACCTCAACAAGTTCCGCGACCAAAAGCGCCAGTTCAACCGCGCATCCTCCTTCACTTTCGGCCAGGCGCAGCACGCGTCGACCCTCCTTCGCGCCGCCGATGCCGCCGGCGCCATGTCGTCCACGAGCGGCTTTGCCCGGTCCCGCCGGCCCCTCTCTTCCTCGGCCTTCACTTCGTCGCGCTCGTCGCTCGAGCCCAGCGGCTTCCAGTTCCCTCACGGCTCGAAGAAGGCGGCCTCGTCGAGCACGGCGTGCGCTTCAGCCGCTTCAGTCGCCGCCTCGACCGCGACCCTCTCGATCACGGAGGAAGACCACGAGGGCGACTCGTCGTTCGGCACGAACGGCTCGAGTCCCGGTGGTCCAGCTGGTGGCTCGCCTTGCCCGCCTTCGAGTAAGATGGGCGCGAGGCCGTCGCTCAAGCTCGGCACGGGCGGAGCCATGCTCTACTCGCGCAGGATGGGCCTCGAGCGCGCTGCGACGGCATCCATCCTCACCTTTGGCCAATGACAGCGGGGTAGCTTCCGCCATCGCCTCTCGACAGAGACTTTCGCCGAATTGTCTGCTCTCGCTCATCGCCTCGCCTCGCCTTCCCCGTTCCCGTGACCGTATTCCGCATCTTACACGCATGTGCATATTTCCCTCTCTTCCTCTTCCAGCATACAGTGTCCTCCGTTCAGGCTGTTCCCTCTCTTGCCGTTCCTTTCGTTCCGCCTTCGTCTCCCGTCGTTGTTTGTCAGTCTTCCTTTCGTCTCGCATCGTCGTTCTCCCTCCTTCTCGCTTCCCTATACTCCATTGCATTCACACGTTCACTTGCCACGCTCCCAAGCTGCCCAGCGAGTTGTCGAGATGTCCGATTCTTGCGAGGTCGCGAGGTGTTCGCCGAAGACAAGTCGCTCGACCTGCTCCCACTCGCTCTTACTCAGACTTCGCTGCTTACAGAGCGCCAGAATCCTCCTTGATCCATCGTCGAAAACCTCCGTAACCTCCGAAGCGCCAGCACACCCGCACCGACCGCCCATCTCCTCCTCGCCACTTTCACCGATCAACAGCCTCTTTCGCCCCCTTCAGCGCGGCGGGCGAGCGACAGATACCGCAAACCGACTCACAACATCGCAAGGCGCGACCTGCCCGCATGTTCAACTCGTCGGCACCGTTTGCGGCCTTCGCGCCGCACTTCCCATCGCCTCTGCCCTCGAGCTACCTCCCCGTCTACTTCGCCGCACGAGACGAGGTCGTGCCTGGCCTGTCCGACAAGACGCTCTCGATCATCGCGCCAGTCGTCACCTACTGGGCCTTCTCCCTCTTCTTCACCCTCCTCGACAATCTCAACTGGGACTGCTTCGAGCGGCATAGGATCCACGAGCCGGAGGAGATCAAGCGGAAGAACCGAGTCAGCGTGCGGGAGGTCCTCGTGGCCGTCGTCGTCCAGCATGTCATCCAGATGGCCACGGCGTACGTTTGGTTCAGCGAATCGGATGTCGAGGTCGACCATTCGGCGGATCTCAATCGCTGGGGAGTAAAGGTTGCGACCGGTGTCATGGCAGTGCTGGGACCGAAGACGGGCGCGCAGGTCCTGGCGCGGTACGGCGAGCAGTTGACGTCGCTCGTCTACTGGTGGGCGATTCCTGCGCTTCGCTTCGCCTGGGCTGCGTGGGTACCGTCGCCTCTTTCCAGCTGAAATTACACTAATTCTGGTCTCACAGCATCATCCTCGACGGCTGGCAGTACATGATGCACCGCACAGCGCACCAGATCACCTTTCTCTACCGCACCATCCACTCCTGGCACCACCGCCTCTATGTCCCCTACTCCTTCGGCGCGCTGTACAACCACCCCATCGAAGGCTTCGTCCTCGACACCTGCGGCTCGGGCATTGCACACATGATGTCTGGCCTGACGCTCCGACAAGCCACTCTCTTCTTCGTTGTCTCGACACTCAAGACGGTCGACGATCACTGCGGCTTCGCCTTCCCCTGGGACCCGCTCCAGCACCTCTTCGGCAACAACGCTGACTACCACGACATCCACCGTGCGTTTCGCTCCTTCCCCCAAGTTACTGAGTCCTCGCTAACTTGGGTCCTCGCTCTCGCAGACCAGGTCGCAGGTCTCAAGAAAAACTACTCGCAGCCCTGGTTCATCTCCTGGGAGTGCGTCGCGTCGCTTCGCTTGCACCGCTCGTTCAGCCCGCTCACCTCGTTTCGCTTCGCAGCATCTTCTTCGGCACCCGCATGTCGCGCGAAGAATACGGCCAGAAGGTCGCCAAGCGCATCCAGCGAGGCGACGTCCCTCAAAGCAAGGTCAACGGCCCGAACGAGCTCGCTTCGACACCGACAAGCCAGCTCAACGGCAAGGCGATCAAGGAAAAGGTCAACAAGACCGAGTAGCCCGCCCGTCGTTCCTGTACCACTACTTTCGGTCTTCGTCTCTCGCTCGGCATACCCTTATCGTTTTACCCATAGCCTTTAGCATCCTCCGCAGCTTTTTGCATAGCGCCGTAATGTGCCGTTCGCAGCCGTCCATTCGGGTCGAGGCGGTGACTCGGGAGAAGTTCCTCGTTGCTCGATAGCGCCTGCTGCGTCAGCGCATCCAGGTCGTCGAAAGCGCCCTCGAACTCGCGCCAAGCCCTGTCCGCATCCTCCCCGTCACTCGACCCGCTCCAGTCAATCTGCAGCTCCTCCTCTCCCTTGTGCTCCGACGACTCCTCCGCCTCCCAGCCCACCGTCTGCACTTCTTCGAAGACGATCTGCTCCTCGCGAGGCGACGGCGGGAGGTACGACGGCGAAGAAGGCGGATGAGCGGCGGCGAAGTCGGCGGGTCCGACGGTGCGGTAGCCCCAGTCTGGCGGGATCCAGTCGCCGTCCTCGTCTGAGCTGCTTATGGAAGACGACGAGCCGTAGTCGTAGTCAGAGAGACCGCAGTCCTCGAAGAGTTCCCATGGGAACTCGATAGGCGGATCGCGGCGAGCAAAGTCGTCGACTGGTCCGAAGTCGTAGTCGTCGGTCCACACGCTACTCGGCGAAGCAGTCGTGTCGTCCTGCGCGCGGTCCGTCGACCCAACTTCTGGCAAATCCGAGGTGTAGGCGTAGTCGAGGTGGATGTTCTTCTCGCGGCAGTAGCGTCGCGTCCGCGGGATCCCCCGCCATGCGTCGTCCGAGAGCTCGGTGGAGTCGGGAATGTAGCCGAGGTTGACTTGCCGAAGGGAAGAGAACCGGGGGAGAAACGCTGAAAGTCGCGCATCCGACATCCATCCATTCCTCCATTCGTCAGGATGCCAAGTCGCGTTAGTAAGACGGAGAACCTCGAGTACAGGACAGTTTGATGCGAGTGCGCGAAGGTCGTCGTGCTTGATCCACGAATACGAAAACTCAGCGTATCGCAACGACGGAAGGAAAGGCAGAGCATGCAGCGGCAAAGCCCACCGCCCGCGGTCTGTGCGCGAGCCAATGACGGTAGCGAGGCCGATCTTGACTGGTGGTCCGATGACGAGAGTCTCGAGAGTTGCCGGTAGGAGAGCGAGAGGCAGACCATGCGGGGGAACCCATGGTCTGAACTCGAAACGGCGAAGTTGTGGGCATGAGAGTGGAAGCAGTTCCCAGCGACTGCCACCAACATGGCAGTCGAATATGGTAAGATCTGCGATGTGCAGGGTAAGCTGACGATGTTGAAGCAGGTCTTGATCGTCCCAGGAGATGTCTTCCAGTCGAAGGTTGGGGATCGCTAGCCCGACGACGCGGTGGAGAACCTCAGCCACCTCAAAGAAGTGCTCTTCTTCGTCAGAGATCGATTGCGAAATCGTGACTTGCTGAAGTCGCGGAAGGCGGTTGAGCTCCTTGGCCCACCTTGACGACGGCAGATCTGCGGGGATTCCAATGCTTCGCACCGTAGGACAGTGTCGCAAGAAGATTGCCACAACGAACTCTTGCTCGGGTAGCATCCAGTGGTCGTACCACGCGGACACGCTTGCGAGTAGTCCTGCAAGGTTGTCGAGACGCTTGACGTGGGTACCGAGGTGCGGTTGGTCGGAGAGCTTGAATGCGAGGTCCACAAAGCTGTGCCAACCATGGCGCAGTCGTCGGGTCGGGTCGTAAAGGAGCGCACGAATCGCTGAAGAGACGAATTGGCGCGAGGTCAGCATAAGGACGCGAAGAGTGCGGGTCGAGTCTGTGGAGCGAGACCGATGAGCTCCCGTTCGGACCCAACTGGGGATTCTGCCTGTGCACCGCGAGCTCACCTGGCCAGTACATATCGCGCGCGAACGAGCAAATCAGGTCGACCGCCTCCTCTGACATGCGCGACGCCGCCGAGGCATTCGCGAAAGGTGCCGCGGACATGGTCGTTGCTCAAAGGCGACACTGAAGCTCGTGCAACGGCTGGCGGGGCTCGAAAGTCTGCGTGACGGATGCGAGGGCTGTGAGCTGATGAGGACGGGAGAGGAGCGTGTGAGGTGGAGACGGACCTGCAGAGGCAGCACGGCGAGCAGAAGAAGGTTCGAATCGTCCTAGGCACGAGTAGCGAGCAGCAAAGCGATCTGAGCAGGTGAGAGCGGAAGCGAGTGAGCGGGAGGAGGACAAGAGGGAGGGTGCGAACGGCATATCATGGCAAGGCGATCTACTCCGACTCCGACTCCCAGTCCGTGCCGTCGGCAGCTCCTATAATTCCTCGAGATCGTCCCGTTCGTACGCCAACTCGATGCGGTTGAGCATGCAGTACTCTTTGGTCAGAGCAAGCTCGTCTCGATCGTCCCTGCGGAACAGCACCATGCCGAGATCGATACGAGCGAGGCGGGGGAAGGACGAGACGAGGTCAAGGAAGACCTCGTCGGCCTCGTCGCACATGAGTTCGTCGTCTTGGTACACGGTCCCGGGTAGGAGGAGTTCCTCCATTCTCGGCGCAATGTTGGGGAGGGCAAAGACGGCATCCGTCGTGAGACATGCACAGGCGAGATGCAGTCTCACGAGGTTAGGCAGGGAGGGGAGGGAAAGGAGCAAGGGCGAGGAGTGTTCGAGCCAGGATGTCATCGCCCTCGTGTCGCCGGCTTTTCTCTTGACAACATAACTGACGTCGAAGTCGAGGGTGCGCAGCGTGGGAGGAAGGAGGCCAGGCGGGAGAGAGTCGGGCAATGTGCCGAGATGGAGGCGGAGGTGTTCGAGGTTGGGCGCGGCGAGACGGAGGGTAGACCAGCCCTTGGTACCGGTGATGTTGCAATGTTCGAACGTGAGGTGCTTCGTGGAGAGGTTGGCCATCGTGCGCCAGCTGGAGACCTCGGCAAAGGGTATGTCGAAATGCAGCAGCGTGAGGCGCGCGGTCGGCGGCAATTTCACCGTGCACAGGAAGGCCATGAGCCATATCTCGGTACCTTCCTGCACCTGCCGCAGCTTGATGTCCTCCAAACGCCGGCAGTCGTGCAGGCGGTCGAGCCATCCGAATCTGTCGCCGACCTGGGCACGCCCGAAAAAAGCTGCGATCTGAATTTCGGTGATGTTGGGGCATGCTTCGAGGAGCGCGATGACGGGTTTGTCCCATTCACGCAGCCACTTCATCTGGGACATCGTCTTGAAGTAGGTGACGTGGCCTAGGTGGTGGAAGGTGCGGGCGTGAGCTCCAAGCGACGGCTCCTCCTTGAGACGCCGAACGAGAGCCTCGAATCGCTCCCAGTTCCGCTCGTCGGCCTCCTCCTCGAGTTTGCCACGGTACAAGGGCAGAGTCGGATCCCAGAAGAGGATGCGCACCGCCGCTGCGGACAGTCGACGACAGACTCGCGTCAAGGAGATAAGGTCCTCGGCGTAGGCTGCGCAGACAGTAATCGTCAGGCCCGCCCTGGCTCGACGGTGGGCAGAGGACTCACAGGGAGTCGCGAGGAGGGGAAAAGCGATCTTGTCCAGAAGCTCGTCCGGTAGGCGCAGAATCGGCGGGACAGGTTGGTCGTCCTCATGAGTGGACGCCAAGAACTCGTCCGGGAGGCGCAGAATCGGCGGGACAGGTTGGTCGTCCTTATAAGTGGACGCCAAGAGCCCGTCTGAGGAGTGGCGCATCTGTCCGCGCGAGGTGGGAAGCCTGTTTCGCAAGTTGTTCTCCGTGAGCTGATGAAAGCTTGAAGATCGAGTGGAAAGCTTGGGCGCACCCGTGCGACCGCTTTATGGGCGCTCAGAGTCCCTACTCGTCTGGGAAGCGGTTTGACGAGCCAAGCGAGAGGTGAAGCGAGGGTCAAGCGAGCGGACAGAGAAGAAGGGAGGTCGACCCCAGACCTCAGACCTCCTGACAGCATTCTTCGTGCTCAGAAGGGGTCCCAGTGAACGTAACTTGCTCTACAAATGTCAAGAGCCACACTGCAGCCGCCTCGTTCCACCAGACCTCGAAGTCGAGGTCAATCCGGTTCAAATGACAGTATTCCTCCGTCAGCGAAAGGCTTCGTTCCTTCTGGCGCAAGGGAACGTCCCCGAGATTGACGCGCTGGAGGAGGGGGAAAGCGGAGACGAGCTCAAGGAAGGCTTCGTCACCGTCGCCGGCCCAAACGTCGTCGTCGTACCATTCTGCGTGCGGCAGACTGAGTTCCTCGAGCTTTGGAGCGCCCGGGGCGAAAGCGGTGAAGGCTTTGATCGACAGCCAGGCTTGCTCGATGTGCAGGTTGACAAGCTTCGGGAGATTAGGTAAGGAGAGGACCAGGTTCGTCGAGTTGCGCGCCCACTCTTCAAACGCCTCCCTCTTCACCTTGGCACTCGTGGCGTCGAGGCTGCTGGGCTGGAGAACGAGGCATCGGAGAGATGCAGGGAGGAGGCCGGTTGGGAGGGCGGAGGGTAGACGGGCGATGTGGAGAGACAGGTGCTGGAGATTTGGGCAGTCGAAGCCGACGTCGCGCCAACTTTCTAGATTCGGGATGTCGCACGACTCCAACGAGACTCGTACTGTCGTCAGGCTCGGCAGATGAATCTGCAGGAGCCTTGCAGCCGGCCAGACGAAGTCGTGCAAAGCGACGGCTGTGAGGGGCGGGAAGGCGAGTGGGAATGTCGAGATGCAGAAGGTCGCTCCGGGATGGATGCGCTTGATGACAAGCTGGTGGATGTCCTCCCGTTTGCGCAGGTGGTGAAGCCACACGAAGGGGTTGCGTCCGCCTTGTCGGGTGGACCAAGGCGAGACGGCAACAGTGTCGATTGCCGGGCAGGCGTCCAGGAGAGACACGATGGTTGCGTCGTGCGCCGGCAGCCAGAACTGGAGTGAATGCGCCTTCCAGAATGTGATCTCGCCGAGGAAGTAGAGTTCGCGGACGTGCTGCCCGAGCGACGGGTACCTTGCTAACCGCTCGACGACCGTCTCAAAGCGATTCCAGTTGCGCTTGTTGCTTGCCTTGTCGTGCTTGCCACGGTAGATGTGCCGAGTCGGGTCGAACCAGAGGGCCGAAACTGCAGCGACTCCCATTTGCGAGCAGGACAACGTCAACGAGAGCAGGTCCTGAGTGTACGCTGCAGAAAGACTCGGATCAGCTGACGCCTGAGTGTGCTCGCGGCAGAATGAGGCCACTCACTTGGACTCGACTCGAGCGAAAGTGCGATCTCCTTGAGCAGGCCGCCGGACAATCGCAGGATGGGCGGCAGGTCCTCCTCCACCTCGCTTTGCGATGCAGACGACTCTGTCGGACTGTCCATCGTGTCCGTCAAGCCCACGATGACGTTCTGCGGGAAGAGGCGTGTGCGTTCTCGTGAGATGAGGATGCGCGAAGACGAGAGGGAAGGGCGTACCTGGTGGGCACCTGCCAAGTAGTGCACGCCGAAGTCGAGTGTAGCAAGCGCAGCGAGCCAGAAGAGCGACGGAGGAGGACCGGTGAGCGTAAGTGATGAGAGCAACCTCCTCCTCGTCCTGCAATCCTCCCTCTCGCCAACTCACCACAGTCGAACGAAGCCCAGAGCAAGACCCAACCAAACCTACCGACGTCCTTCGCAAAAAGGAATTACAGCCTGCTCAGGAGCTCGAGCAGTTTTACGACCCCATCCCACGTCGCCCATCCTACGCCCTAATCTCCCTCCTCTGCCCCTCGACACCTGCAAACCCAACCTTCTTCCCCTCGTCCTTCGCTCCCGACTGCGGCGCCGCGCGAGGCTTGGGCACAGGCAGGGGCTTGTGTCGGAGCTGCTCGTACACGTCCGAGAACTTGAGTGCGTGGCGTGAGAAGAAGTCGCCGTAGCGGCGGGAGGTGGTCGATTGGGCGACGGTGAGGTGACCCTCGTCGATCCCAAAGTTGATGTCGCTCACGCCCGTCTCTTCGCCCTCGAGCAACGAGCCCTTGACCCAGGTCGTCTTCCTCGCCGCGCCCTTGGCCGTCATGAGCATCTCGAGGACGCTCTCCTCGTCTTCGAGCTCGAGGAACTTGGCAAGCTTGTCGGTGCCGAGGGTCGTGTACAGGCGGAGGAACGACCGCAAGGTCGAGGTGGTGAGTTGGGGCTCGACGGCGGCGACGAAGATCGAGAGCTGGTGCGCCGAGGGGTCGGGGAGCGAGGCGAACTGCGACAGGACCTCGTCCGACTCGGCTTCGTACGGCGGCGGGTTGGGCGAGATGAACCGGGGTGCGCCGTGGGTGAAGAGTTCCTGGAACGCGGGGAGCGCGTCGGCTCCGCCACGAACCATCTTGCCGTACTGCTCGCCAAACTTGTCCTTCATCGCGGTCGAGATCCCCTCGTCGACCTTGGTCGGGCACAGAGCCTGGCAGATGGCGAGGAGCGCGTACATCCGGTCGGCCGTCTTGTTGATCTGGTCAAACTGCGAGCCGCGCTGGAAGTGCTTCAACCGGAGGACGAAGAAGAGGATGTGCGAGAAGGCGCGGATCGCGTCCGGGTACCGCCCGAGCATGAGATACGCGAACCCGACGTAGTAGTACACGGCGACGTGGGCCGAGGTGACGCGCGTGAACAGCGCCTTCTTGTTCAGGTCGATGTGGTCGAGCATCGAGAGCGCGAGCGTGTAGTCGCCGAGGAGGACGTGCACGCGCACGAGGCCGAGGATCGCAAAGTACCCGAGGTTGTGGTACAACGGGATCGAGCCGTATTCGCCCGCAGCCGCCCTGTGCGCCATCGTCCGTCAGCATGACGTGTCGGAGAGCGCACAGACTCGCAGAACGCACTCGACATCCTCGCCCTTCTGGGCCGCCGCCAGCTGGTCCTGGATCTTGCTCTTCTGGATGAGCGAGTACAGGACGTTCAAGACCGAGTAGCACGACCAGACCTGCACGTCACGTTTCGTCAGCGTCCGTTGCTTCCGAGCCTAGAGCAGCGAAGACGCACCTGGCCCGACTCGGCGAGGATAGCCTTCTCCTCGTCTGTCTTACCCTGAGTCTTGCTGCGCCACAGCGCAAACGCCGTGTACTGGTACACAAACTCGTCGATGCTGCGCGACACTCCTCATCAGCTTCAGCCACCCGTCGTAACGGACGCGCGCACTCACATGTTGTAAAGCCAGTCAATGGGAAGCGTGACAGGCAAGGGACCGGGCGCGTTGAGGATGAGGTTGAAGAGCTGGCAGTACTGGTCGTACGACTGGATGCGGTCGTCGAGGTTCGGGTTCAGGTTGGCGAAGATGTGTCGGAAGGACTTTTCGCGGTACAGGGCGAGGAAGACTTCGTCTGGGTGCGCGAGTGTAATCGTCAGTACGAGAAGTTATTGTGGAAGACACTCCGCGAGCGAGGTTGCACGGAGGAGTGCCATGGGAGAGCTGCCCCGAACTGACCATGGTTGACGAGGGGAGCGATGATCTCTGCGTCGGGCCACTCGGTCTTGGCGTAGAACTTGTCGGTGAGCCTGTTCCAACCGGCCTCGTACGCGGACTGGATCTCGGCAAGGTTGGGCTGCGGTGCGTTGAGGAGCGTCCAGAGCGAGATCAAGTAGCGCTTGACGGGTTCGGGGACGGCGCCGAGCGCTTCGAGTGCCGATGCTTGCGCGGCGGCTGCTTCGGCGATGCGCTGCTGCTGGGCGATTTGCTCTGCGTGCGTGCAAGGTGAGTTGTGAGTGAGCGAGTCGACAAAGGCCTGGGGCGGTGAGAGTGCGTCCAGCCGCCGTCCCTCCGCGAGTCCCGCTGCACCGCCCAGCCCAGTGCGTGTCTAGTAGTCCCAATGAGCCCTCGGAGCACTTCCACCTCACCGCGTGCCCGTGCGGGTGTGTTTGAGGGTGCGCTTGGATGAGGAGGGAGAAGGCGAGGCGTACCGTTCCCTGCGTCCGAGTAGAGGGGTTCCTGCTGGGCGTGGATGCCAAAGTCCTCAAAGTCTCCCTCGTCGACTGCGATCTCGTACGGCTGCATCGTGTTCGGGTGAGCTGGCTGAGCGTGCGAGACCCCCAAGTCCTCCTCGTCCTCCTCGACACTCGCTCACTTTGGCTGAGGGATTACCAGGCTCACTAGGACTGGCTACGATGGGAGACTACGAGGTCACCCAGTACCCCTCGCTCCTCCGTCCGTCCCATCTCTCCCCTCTCTCGCTCACTCGCCTCCCCACTGACGGACCCGCACCCACCTCGTCATCCCACCCACACTCGCACACGCTGACAATGACACGCAGGGAGCGAGCACATGACCCTCGTACAGGTGCGCACTCACTCACCCTTCTCCCATCGACCGAGCTGACGAGGACGACCGGACAGCTCTTCTGCCCGATCGACGTCGCGCACGCCACGGTCGAGGCACTCGGCGAGCTCGAGCGCATCCAGTTCAAGGATGTGAGTGTGACTCGCTGACTTGCGACGCGGGATTGCGCGCTGACCTCGGGCACACGCAGCTCAACCCCGACGTCAACCCGTTCCAGCGCACCTACGTCTCGCAGATCCGACGATGCGACGAGGCGCGTACACCCACCACTCTCTTCGCAAGCTGCTACTAACACACTCCAGCGCGCAGGCCGAACGCCGCCTCCGTTTCCTGACGCAGCAAATCGCCTCTCAAGGGATCCACATCCGCCCCGCCTCCGAGACCCTCGCGCTCCTCTCCGGCCGTTCAGGCCCCCAAGCACTCGACGACCTCGACACGCGCCTTTCCGAGTCCGAGTCGCGCGTCCAGGCGATGAACACCTCGTTCGAGAACCTCGAGAAGCGGGCTTTGGAGCTGGAAGAGGCGAGGCAGGTCCTCCGCGACACCGAGAGGTTCTTCCTTGAAGCTCAGGGAGGACGTGGAGCGCCGGGAGATTACAGGGCCAGCTTTGAACAGGGAGAGATGGAGGCGCCGTTGTTGGGCGATGTCGAGCATGCTGGACCGGCTGGAGGTGCGGGCGACGCCGCTGCGGGTGGCTTCGAGCTTGAGTGCGTGTCGTAGCCCTTTCTCGTTGAGTTTGAGAACTGACGAGCGGAGGGCGCAGGTTTGTCGCCGGCACGATCGACCGCTCGCGCATGGCTACCTTCGAGCGAGTCCTCTGGCGCGTCCTGCGCGGCAACCTCTACATGAACGTGCGTCCTGCCCTCCCCTTCCTTCCCTCTCACACTCTCATGCTGACCCGGCTGGCTCTAGTCGGCCGAAATCGCCGACGACGTCCTCCCCGTCCCCTCGACTATGCAGGGCACGTCCGACTCGGCTGGAGGCGAGGAGAAGCGTCTTCGCAAGAACGCGTTTGTCATCTTTGCCCACGGTCAGGACTTGTTGGACAAGATTCGCAAGATTGCCGAGTGTGAGTTCGCGGTCCTTCTTTTGGGGGGAGAGAGAGGGTACTGACGGGTTGGTTGGACTGCGCAGCGATGGGCGCGACACTCTTCGCCATCGACTCGTCCTCGGACAAGCGTTCCGACAAGCTTCGCGAAGTGACCTCTCGCATCGAAGACCTCCACTCGGTCCTGTACAACACGAACCAGACCCGCCGCGCCGAGCTGCTCAAAATCGCCGACTCGATCTCGGCTTGGTGGGCGCTCGTCAGGAAGGAGAAGGTCGTCTTTGCGACACTCAATATGTGGCAGTGGGATCAGGGGAGGAAGACGCTTGTGGCCGAGGGGTGGGTCCCGACGAGGGATATCCCGCAGGTTCAGGCGGCGCTCAGGAGGGCTTCGGTGCGTCCGACGTGCTGATCGCGCTCTGGACCGTCTTGCTGGCGTGGAGAGTGCTAATGTTTGATGCCGCATCGCACAGGAGAACGCCGGCACGTCCGTCTCTGCGCTCTTACACGAGCTGCGCACGACCAAGACGCCCCCGACCTTCCACCGCACGAACAAGTTCACCGAAGGGTTCCAGAACATCATCGACGCGTACGGGATCGGCTCGTACCAGGAAGTCAACCCGGGCTTGTTCACCGTCATCACCTTCCCCTTCTTGTTCGCCGTCATGTTTGGAGATATCGGTCATGGAGCGTTGATGATGCTCAGCGCGTTGGTGCTCATCATGCTCGAGAAGAAGTTTGGCAAGAAGGGCATGGGCAGCGAGGTGCGTCCGGCGTCCGCTTCTCCTCGGTCGACTCGCTCCACCTTTCCGTGCGACGCTGACCTCGAGGGTTCCGTCTTGCTACGCAGATCCTCGACACGTTTTACTTCGGCCGGTACATCATCTTCCTCATGGGCGCCTTCGCCATCTACACCGGAATCATGTACAACGACATCTTCTCCCTCTCGCTCCGCCTCGGTCCGTCGCAGTGGCATTGGCCCGACGAGGGGTCCGCAGGGAAGGCAGTCGAGGCGATCCAGACGTCGAGCAGGTACTGGATCGGACTGGATCCTGGGTGGCACGGGGCGGAGAACGCCCTCATCTTTACCAACTCGCTCAAGATGAAGATGTCGATCGTGCTTGGCGTACTGCACGTGAGTCGCCCGTTCCCATCGTCCGCCCTCGATCTCGCGAGAAGCGGAGGCTGATGTTGACTGTGAGGGGCCTTCTCGCAGATGTCGTTCGCCATCTGCCTCCAAGTCCTCAACCACCTTCACTTCAACCGCCCCGAGCTGATCTGGGCCGAGTTCCTCCCCCAAATCCTCTTCATGGAGTCCATCTTCGGCTACCTCGTCGTCTGCATCGTCTACAAGTGGTCGGTCGACTGGGAGGCCGCCGGTCGCAACCCGCCCAATCTGCTGAACATGCTCATCCAGATGTTCCTCAGCCCTGGGAACGTGCGTAGCGAACGGCTCTCCAGTCGTTGAGCGGGAAGGCGGCTGATCTTTCGAGCTTCGTGTGATGACCGGGATTCCCACGCACAGGTCAACCCGGACGACCAGCTCTACCGCGGCCAAGCCTTCGTCCAAGTGTTCCTCCTCCTCCTCGCGCTCGTCTGCGTCCCCTGGATGCTCTGCACGCGCCCCTACCTCGAGTACCGCGAGATGCACAAGATCAAGGAGCAAGGCTACCACGGGATCCAGAATGGCGAGAACGGCGCGCATGCGACAGACGACGAGACGGATACCGATGGAGAGGGCGCGCATCAGGGACATGCGGTCGCGATGACGGAGGAGGCGGAGGAGGAGGGACACGATTTGGGAGAGGTCATCATCCACCAGGTCATCCGTGCGTCCTCGCTCGCTTCTTTGCCATCAGCAGTCGTTGCAGTCGCTGATGCTGGCTGGACGCACGTGATCTCAAACAGACACCATCGAGTTCTGCCTCGGCTGCATCTCCAACACCGCCTCGTACCTCCGACTCTGGGCTCTCTCGCTCGCGCACGCCCAGCTCTCGGAAGTCCTGTGGAACATGACGATCGAGAACGCGTTCGGCTTCGAGGGCGTCCTCGCCGTCGTCATGCTCGTCTTCCTCTTTGCCATGTGGTTCGTCCTGACTATCGCGATGTGCGTCCGGCCTATCCCTCGCTGTCTCCTTCTCGTATACCCCTGCTGACGAGCCGCTTGGCGCAGCCTCTGTGTCATGGAGGGCTTGTCCGCCTTCCTGCACGCCCTCCGTCTGCATTGGGTCGAGTTCAACTCGAAGTTCTTCGTGCGTCCGCTTCCGCGTCTTCCTTCGCCTCTCTCGCTGACGCTCTTCTTCACTAGATCGGTGCCGGCACCGCCTTCGACCCGCTCACGTTCGAAGGAACAGACGAGGTGCGTCGAGGTCGCCTCCCTCTTCCTCGCAAGCTGACATCTCTCGCGCTCGCAGATACCCGAAGGCGTCATCTAAGCGCCTCTTCCGCTCCTGTAGACTTCTCCCTCGTTTGCTACGAATCGCTGTTTTCACTCTCACCTTGCCTTTCCCCCTTAGCCCTTTGTTCCCCTCGCGGGTTCCGAGGAGGCAGCCTTTGTCCTCCTCGTCACCGGTGCGCGCCCCTCCTTCCCCTGCTCGTTCCATCCAGTCTCGTCAGCTCGCTCGCCTGCCGATTGCTTCTATCGACGACGCCAGCCTTCCGGCCTCGACTTTGCGAAGGCCGCCTTGCGAACAGGATCTCGCGACTCGCCGATCAGCTCGCGGAACTCGTGCGCTCTTCTACGGCGTTTGAGTGACGCTGCTTGACCGTCGACATAGATGCGGGCTGCTACGATGGCGGATAGGGCAGAGGAGACAGAGCAGGCGAGGGATGTCAACGGTTCGGCCGATACGAGGACGAAGGCGTCGGCTTGGTGGTGCGTGTCGTCCTTTGCATTCTCTGCGGCGGTCACTGATCAGCTTTGTTCGCAGGATCATCCCGCGTGCGCTTCGAACTCCTTCGCCGCCGGTTCAGGCGAGCTGACTTTCAATTCTCGCCCAGCGTATTTCGTCTTTGCGCTCCTCGCTGGCATGACCGCGTCAACCGAGGTTGACCTGTACGGTCAGGTGCGTGAAAGAGCGCTCCGAGTGAACAGCAAGTCCTGACCCGTCAGTCTTCGCAGATCGCTTGTCGAGCAGTCGCCGCTTCCGACGGCACCTTTCCCCAGCCTACATTCCCTTTCCTCGACTCGAGATTCAGTAAGGTGCAGGACGAGTGGATGGCGCTGTGCAGGTCTTCGCCGATCGTGCAGAAGCGCACTACGAGCGTCGGTGAGTCCGCTTCACCTTTTCGCGCTTCATACGAGTCTAATGACGTTCTCTTCTTGCAGTGACGACGGTTCTGCTCGTCGCCGGCATCTTGAGCGCCTTGACGGCTGCTTGGTGGGGCTCGCTCAGTGACCGCAAGGGTCGCAAGATTGTCCTCGCATTCATCTCGGCAAGCGAGACCATTCAGGCGGTCATGATGCTACTGTCCGTCCCCCGCGAGTTACTTCGCATCTGTTCAAGCCGTACTGACGCTCTCGCCAAGCGCAGCGTCTTGACTTTCCCGCAAACCTTCGGATTCGGCTTTCTTCTCTTCATGGCGGCGATTGCAGGCTTGTCAGGCGGTCAGCTGTGCGTTCCCCTCTCATAAACAGGTCGAACGAATCCCTAGCTGACCATCGCAACCTGCAGTGCTGCCGCGACAATCGCAGCAGCGTACCTCGGCGACACTTCTCAGACAGCCTCGAAAACACAACTCCTTTCGTTCTACGAGGCTTCCGAGTTCGCAGGACAAGCAGTGGGACCGCTGATCGGTGCGTCGCCTGTCTCGCAAGTTGCTCCTTTGTAGCAGCGAAGCTGACCAGATTGGCTGCGTAGGCCCTCTCCTGATGCGCTCGTGGAAGCTCGGCCCGGCTACACCGTACAGCCTCAGCATCTTCGCTCGCCTCGCCTACCTCGCTCTGATCTTCTTCATGCCCGAGTCGCTCACGCCGGAGAAGCGGAAGCTTTCGGCCGTCAATACGGACGCCGACGACCTCGCTTCGACGAAGCCTGCCGCCCCGCTCATCGCGCGGCTTTTGGCTGCGCCGAAGGAGCTCGTCGAACCTTTCCGAATCCTCTTGCCTGAGAAGGTGAACGGCCGGCGGGACTACAGGCTCCTCCTCGTCGCGAGCTCGTACTTCTTCCTAATGGTCATTCCGGTGCGTACCGCGCGCAAGTGTCTCACATGCAGTGCTGATATCCCTTGCATCGAACAGGGTCTCGTAAGCCTCGACGTCGCTTCAGACTTCGCTCGACAAGTCTAACTCGTCTCTCCGCACGCAGGGCCCGGTCAAGGTTCTGTACGCACGCGCCAAGTTCGGCTGGGTGCCGGAGCAGATCGGTCGATGGATCACCTACACGTCGCTCTGCAAGCTCGTCGTACTCACCGCCGTCGTCCCCCTCCTGATTCGACTCCTTCGCAAGTCGAAGACCGCCGGCGGAATGCCAGACGACGATGGGCAGCGGACCGAGACGCAGCCGTTGCTGGGCGACCCGTCTGCGGATGCGGAACAGCTAAAGGAGCGAAGGGCGAACTTGAGTGAGTTGCCTGGCTTGTACTTCGCAGTGCTCGCTCGCTCACGGAATCTTCGCAGACTGGGACGCATCGCTCGCCTTGTTTGGCGGTGTCACAACCGTCTTCGGCTACCTCGTCGCAACGATCCCGACGAAACGACCCACAGCTTTCCTCTCGAGCACCGCACTCACAGCTTTTGCCGCGACTTCACCGCCCGCCCTCCAGTCCATCGCCCTCACGCTCGCAGCACCAGGCGACGCCGGCAAGGTCCTTGCCTGTCTCTCCGCCATTGCGACAGTCTCGCTCTCTGCACTCGGACCTACCATCTTCGGCGCAGTCAACATGATCGCCATCGACCGCTGGCCAGAGGCCATCTTCGTCGTTGCGGCGGCCTGGGTCCTCGCCTCTCTGATACCACTCCTCGCTTCCCGTCTGAGCCGAAAGTAGCCCGGCAACCTTCGTAGCTATCCCCTTTTGTTGTTCATCTTGTATTAGCATTGCGGATGCTGTTGGACTCTACTTGACCGTCCTCCGATGCATGGCGGAGCCGAGCGCTTCGGCTGCGCTGCGTCGGGACTCGACGAGAGCGTGCGCGACGTTCGTGATGCGGTCCTCGTCGAACTGCGCAACCGGACAAGGTCAGCTAGCTCTCCCAATCTCGCGAAGGACGTCGATGCGCACAGCAGGGAAAGCTTGGAGGTCGGCAACGGCTGCGACAATCTTTGGTCGGTCCTTGCCGACTTTCTTGCCGTACGCCGTCATCTTGGCGCCGACAGGCTTGACGAGGTCCCGAGCAGAGTTGCGGAACGCCCGAAGACGCTTCGAGTGCTTCGCCTACTCGCAAAAAGATCAGCATCTGCGTCGTTAGTCTGCATGTGAATTGCGGCGCACTTGGTCTGCCGCTTTTGTCGCTGCCAGCTCGCCTAATCGCTGGTTGATGCCGAGCTCGAGCAGCGTGAAGGCCTGCTTCCATGCGTCAGTGAATATCAATTGCTAATGAAGGGCGTTCGCGCACCTCGAGCGTGACCTCCGCAATCTGCAACACCTCCCACGACAGCGACTTCGGGTCATCGACGGTCGCAGCAAACAGCTCGGCTTGGTCTGCGATGTAGCTCGTCAGTGTGCGCGTCGGAATGGTCCTTAAGCCTCGACGCACCCTTGAAGAAGACGAGCGCAGCCTGCTCGGCCTCGGCCGCTTGCGCGAGTTCTGCGACGAGGACAACTTGCGCGAGGCGAGAGAAGGAAAGCAAGGCGGCTTCGGCCCGTGTCATCTGGGATAGTCGCACTGTCAGCACAAGGCTGAATGCACTGAGGAAGGAGCGAGACGTACGGATGAGGGCGCTTCGCAGGCGGGTACCTCCGATGCTGGGGCGAAGAAGCGCGAGTACGTGCTCGCCATTGCGCGCAGCCAGACCGCCTGCACAAGCTAGTCAGCGGTGGATACTTTCGCTGGAAATTGCAGGCACGCACGTCGAGCCGGTCTCCCATCTCCGTCTGCTGCCAGATCTGCCGCGATCGCTTGCTCTGGTAGTTCGGCAGCGTCTTGAAGTCGCGGTTGTCCGAGTACGAGACTGGGCCACGCGCTATGAGCATAGTTCGGAGACACACTGAGTAGGGGAGACCCACCTGCGGAAGCCTCGCTCAGCCGCTTGAGCGCCTGCGCCGCTTCGTCCGTTGCTACAGCGTCGAGTACGCCTCGCAAGACGCGCATGCGGAGCGTCTCGAGTGTCCTGAGACCATCTTGGAGCGACTTCATGAGTCGGTGACGGAACTCAGAGAAGTCTTCGATCTGGGCGGACAACCTGGTCAGACATGCGGGAAGGCGGACTCGGACGACTCCGAAATACCTTCGACAGCGCGTTGTTGTTGAACGCCTTGACGACCATCTCGCGCGCTTCTCGCTGCCCGCTCGCGTACCAAGCTGACGTCGCGAGCGCCTCCTCAAACACGCCAACATCCTTGCCCGACTCGATCGCGAAAGTCGCGCCGCGCGCCATGACGATGTGCGAGAGCGTGTCGTACTGGACGTTCTTGACGCTGAAGATGCGGTAGTGGGCGAGAGCGGCAGACGAGGCGCCGAGCAGGCGGAGGATGTTGATCGTGAGGACGCGGACCTGGTACTTGTACTTGCTTCGCAGCAGGACGTGTTCGAGAACGATGAGGGCGCGCTCGAGGTACGATCGGTCGTCTGCGACAGCGAGAGTGAGACGTGAAAGTTGGCGGAGAAAGGGGCCCACGTACGAGAAAGATGGTAGGCGGAAACGTAGGCTTGGCCAGCAAGGAGCGCAAAGTCGTCTGCCGGTTGCAGCTCTGTCGGCGGAAGCTCCTTGCCTGTCGCGATCGTCAGTGGTGAGAACGACAAACCGCCTCAGAGGTGACGAACCGAGCGGCAAGGCGTCGAAGTATCGCTTGATGTGCTTCTCCGCCTCGAGCTTTTCCTGCGCCGCATCCGTTGACTCCTTCGCGAGAAAGCGCAAAACCCTGCGGGCGTTGATAACCTTCGTAGCGGCCGCGACAGTCTGCGGATACAAGCTGGTCAGCTTCGCTCAAGTTTACGGGTTCGGGCTAGTGAGCGTACCTTCAGCTCCGCCTCTGACGCCTCTGACAGCAGCTCATGCAGGTCTGTCGTCTCTGCATCGCTCAGGATCTCAAGGTAGGGATGCAGGTCGTCGAAGCAGCAAGCCTTCGACCCGAAGCGCTCGAGGTACTCCTTGACGAGCGCGAGCAAGTCGTCGACTGTGAATGGAGGCAGCGTTAGCAGCGCCGAGGAACCGCAAGGGCGAGGTAAGGATGGCGTACCAGCTTCCCATCCTCTCAGCCGCAATTCACGCGCAATCTCGAGCTGTCCGAGCAAGTAACCTCGCTCGACCTTGGCTCTTGGCGATTCGGTAGCGAGAGAGCGGAAGAGCTGTCGTGTTTGCGAGAGGAGATCGAGTCCTTCGGGTGAAGGGGAGGAATCGGTTGACGTCGAGGAGGAGCCGGCTGCGATGGCGAGTGCCGCGCGGGTGAGGTACAGCATTGTATGCCAGTTGATGTCGCTGTGGAGACCGAGTTAGTTGTCGGTCCTGGTTCAACTGGCAGGGGAACGCACCCCTTCTCCAGCGCTACCTTTAGCCGCTTCCACAGCTTCTTCCACTCGCCCCCCTCGGCCGATCCATACGCAAGTTCCGCTTCTCGTCGCCACAAGTCGAGACCGAGGTTTTGCTCGCACCATTTGTCGGCTTCGGGGGAGGAGAAGTGCGCGAGGAGGGCTTTTGCGGGCGAGAGCGGGGTATCGGAGGATGGGAGGGACGGGAGGACGAGGGCGGTTGAGGAGATAGAGGCAGAGGTGTTAGGCGAGTCGGCTTGGAGCGCAGCGTACTGTGCCCGCAGCTCGAGGAAGCGGGTGACAACGTGGAATTCGTCTGCGGAGGCGTAGGAAGCGGAGGTCGGCTTCTCTCCCGCCGAGTCGGCTGTCGGAGCGTTCAGCATGGCCGAGAAGCGTGTCGAGAGTTGCCGCTCGACCAGCGAGAGCAGAAGCTCGCCTTGCGGGTGCGAAAGATCCCGGACCTGGAGAATGGTCGACATGATCGACCACCAGAAGTACCGATCGTCCTTGAACCGCTTCGACATCTTTGTGCTGACCTGTTCGTGCGAGACATGATGGATAAGCGCGCCTATGAGCGGCTCAGGGTGCCGAACGTACGAGTTGCGCGCTCTTGCAGTCGTTTGACCTCATGTATTGCGTGAAAGCCTCGAGCGCGAGCTCCTCGTTGTCCGGATGCAGTTGTGTCGCCTTTGTGAGCAGCTCGAGCGCCATCTCGCCTGCGAAAACAACGGTAAGGGAGCCCGCATCTCGCCAGAATTCGCTGAAAGTCGACGTACCGCGGTCAATCCCTCGCAGGACGTAGCTCAGGATCATGAGGACATCCGCATCTCCCAAGCCTGCACCGCCCTTCACCGCCTCGATGACCTCGAGGATATCCTGCTGGGTCGAGGAAGGGAGGGGTTTCGAGCTGACAGAGAGAGCCAGCGCTTTGAGGGCCTGCGTGCAGGTTCACCGTCAGCACTCATATCACCTCGAGCCGTCGACGGACTCACCAGAGCCGATGCATCGCCCGGTGACCGCTTCAGGACTTGATCAGAGAGGAGAAGCGCTCGCTTGTAGTTGAGCGATTCGAGCGCGGCTGCGGGTACGACGGGTCAGCTGGGACGACTCGAATGCGTAGATGGCACACGCACAGCAGATGGGCCCGATGCTCCTCAGCTCTGTCGGCGACAGCAACGCCCTCCTCGACGAGTAGAAGTTCCGCACGAGGCCAATCACTTCCGCCATGGTTTGTGCCGGTAGCAGAGCAACCCAGTCAGTCTATCAGCGACACAGCCAGCCCGTCGCAGCTCGAAAGGTGTCGAGGCGTCGTCGTCGAGGTCAAAGAGTAAAGAGTCGCTCCTCTCTCTCTTTCCCTCCTCCCACTCGCTCGCTCTCGCTTTGGACGAGCTGCTGTGAGCCATGCAGGTCGACAATGCTACTCTTGCACTCGCCAGCGCTGTCGCTGTCGCCCTCGCCGTCAACTACAAGCTCCGTCCACCTCCCCCACAAGTGAACCCGTTCCTCCTGGGCCGACAGAGCGTCGCCTCGCCCACACGCCACGAGGGAGAGTCGCCAGTGTACACCAATTACAGCAACGGCGGCGTGCGCGCGCCGTACCGCCCCGACCGCAACATCCGCACGCTCCGCGACATCCTCGACCACAGCGGGACAGTCTTGGAGGGAGGCCAGCGCGGTCTCTGGATCCACGGAGGCGAGAAGCTTGTCGAAGTCGTGACTGCTCTCAGGGCTGGACTCGCTCAGAGACTCGGCAGCAAGGCAGGCAGCGTCCTGGTTGCTCTCGAGGATCCGACAGGTTCGTCCCCCTCGGCGTCGCTTCTTCTCTCGCTTGCTCAGTCCATCCTCGCGCAGACGCCCTTCTTGCCACTCTCGCCCTTGCTACGAGCGCCTACAAGCCTGTCGTCGTTCGCGCTGGCTCTGGCGTCCCGAGCGGCCTCGAAGTTCTCGCCGTCGTCGGGACATCCGCGGCCTTGGCAGCGAGCTCCTCTTCGCCACGCCGGCAGCTTCTGCTCGACAATGAGGACGAGGCGAAGGAGCTGCTCGCGGATGGACGCCGGCTTGTGAGCGAAGGCAAGGACAGTGCCGCGGAGAAGGGCGATGCGAACGATGTCGTCCTCACGATGGTATCGGATGGCGTCTCGCTCGACTTGACGAACCAGGTGAGCTTCAAGCTAGCGCTGTCATTCACGCTCGCTGACATTGTGTCCACAGAACTTGACGGCCTCGCTCGTCTCGTGGCTCTCCCTCTTCCCCGTCTCGCCAAAACCTACGAAGCCGACCCTCAAGGACTACGTCGTCTCCCTCCACCACCCCTCTACCCCCTATGGTCTCGGTCTTGCCCTCCTCGCCATCTTCCAGTCCGCCTCTCTATCGCTCCCGACTCTTCCTGCCGAACCCACTCCCGAAGACATCCTCGCCCTCCTCACGCTCAAGTCTGCACCACCCGCGACACTCATCTTCGCGCCTGTCAAGACTTTCCTCGACCCGCTGTACAAGCTCGTCTTGCAGCAGCTTGACGGCGACGCTTCGTTCATCGTGCGGCATGCGAGGGACGGCAAGCTCCGCCTTTTGCGCGAGGGGACCGTCTCGAAACAGACCTTTTGGGACTCGATCCTTTGTGCGTTACAGCTCGATCGCGGTGCAGAATGATCGCAATAAGCGGACTTGCTGATGCTTGACGATCGCAGGGAAGGGCCTTCGCAAGGACATCAACCTAACGAGCCTACGCGCGATCTACCTCTCCTCCCCTCCCGCCATCGTGCAATCCCGCCTCGACACCCTCCGCTGCGCGCTCGGCTGCCCAACAGTCGTATCCTACGAGCATCCGCTCCTCCTCGCGCCGCTCAGCGTCGGCCACATGTTCGACGTGCAGCGCTTGCCGCCGCCTGGTGTGCAACGGCTAGTAGGCGACGAGAAGAGTCATGTCGGTGCGCCGTCGGTCGGGATGGAGGTCAAGCTCAGGGGCGACGAGGCGGACATGGCGGACGGGCGGATCAAGGGCGAGGTGCGTGGCATTGTTCCCTTTGCCGCGAATCCCGCACTGACTCTTCCTCTTGCGCAGATCCTCGTCCGCACTCCCGTCCTTCCAGCACCCACCTCTCTCCCCTCCTCCCTCCTCCTCACCGACGAGTCGCTCCCGCAACTCCCGCCATACCCGGGTCAAGCGGCTTCGACGACTTCGGCGGGGCAGAAGTGGTTACGGACGGGCGTGATGGCGGAGATGAGCACTGAGGGGACGCTATGGTTGCAGTAGCGCGTAGAAGAGCGTGCAAGACCGGGTTGTACAGAGCGACTCTCGCGAGAAGGCGAGACAAAGACTGATCTGTACATTGAGGTCCTCCTTCGCGTTACTGAGAGTGACAGGAATCGCTTTTCACTGCTGCTGGGCGGGCGTCGAGTCCATCGCGTACTGGCTCGAAGCGGGAATGCCCATGCCCATGAACTGAGCGCCGGCGTTCTTGAGCTGGAACTACGGGTTCTTGCCGACGAGGTGAGCCGTCTTGCTCGCTTCGGCGACCTCGTCCATCGCGAACGTCTTGGGCTTCTCGGGAAGACCTTCGTAAACGCCGTTGGCGTAGTTGGGCGAGATGGCGTAGAGTTGGATGAGCTGTCCCCGCAGAGATCAGCTCGAGCGCGGAGAAGCGGATCCGGTTGAACGCACGTAGTTCTTCTTGACGATCTCGTCTGCGAACTTGAGCAGGCGACCCGTGTTCGAGTGCAAGTTCGCCCTGCCTTGGGCGTCGAGCTGGTTCAGGTAGAAGTCCTTAGCCGCCCAGTACTCGCTCGGCTGGCCCTCGTGGCGGTAGTGACTCTTGCGAGAGAGCACGTTCGAGGCGACCTGCATCGGCGTCTCGACGGCGGTAACGTCGAACGATGGAGTCGTGTCGGTCGTCGGCGCCTTCGAGTGGTACGAATTCGGGAACTGCGCCCGCGAGCGTCACACGCAATCAAGAAGAACGAGAAGACGGGAAGGTGAGAAGCGGCGGCGGCAAAACGAGAGCGACGCCTGGACGGAGGAGCAGGTAACTCACGTAGACGGGCTTGCTAAGAGTGTTGCCGTCGACGCGCATGTTGCCAGCGTCTGCAAGAGTGCGCGAAGAGTGACACGGCATCAGCAAGAGACGGAAGCGGCGGAGGAAAGGAACGGGCTGGGTGGTCAGAAGCGAACGCCGAGAGTAAGGCACATCTCGACGTACAGTTGTCGGGCGAGTGCTGCTTTGCCATGAACGGGCAGTTGACGGGGATCTGGTGGATGTTGGCGCTGCCAAGGCGGTCGTATTGTGTGTCTGGGACGGGGGAGAAGGTCAGCCTCGATCCAACGGTCTCTCCCCAAGAGTTCGTCGATTCTCCCAGCAGCGATCTCACAAGGACTTCGAGAGCACGCACCGCGGTAGAACCACGCCCTCCAGCAGAGAAGCGAGTCAGGCGAAAGCTCGATACCGGGAACGAGCGAGCCGGGGGAGAAGGCGGCCTGCTCGACATCGCGGTGGTAGTCCTCCGGGTTCCTGTCGAGCTGTCCAAAGAAGAAGAAAGCGTCAGTACAAGCTATTTCACAAGCAGCGCATCTGATCAGAGGTGACGCCTGAGCCCTGAGGGACTCGAGGTTCGCTCGGACACGGAGAGGTCCCTTCCCTTCCTCGCCGTCGCCGCAGGCTTCGTCCTCAACTCACCTTAAGTTCTCCCACCTCGACAAGCGGGAACTGCGACTCAGGCCAGAACTTGGTGACGTCGAACGGGTCGAAGTCGACGGTCGTCGCCTCCTCAGGCGTCATGAGCTGGACCTTCATCGTCCAGCGAGCCGCATTGCCGTTCTCGATGTACTCCCAGAGATCGCGCTTGGCGTAGTCCGGGTCCTCGCCGCACATCCTGACAGCTTCGTCGTAGGTGAACTGCAAAGGGGAGATCAGCGGCTCGCAAGGACTGGAGCGCACGCGCAACGCACGTTCTTCTTTTCCTGCTGGCAGATCCAGTGATGCTTGACAAAGACGCTGCCGCCCTCCTTGTTGGTCCAGCGGAATGTGTGGCAGCCGAAGCCATTCATGTGCTTCCAGCCAACGGGTGTGCCTTCGTCCGAGAGAAGCACGGCGCCTGCGTAGTGCGACTCCGGTACGTTGGCGAGGAAGTCAAACCAGGCGTTATAGTCGATGAGGAAGTTGCGAGGGTTGCGCTGCTGAGAGCGGATGACATCGGGGCCCATGAAGGGTTCGCGGACGAAGAAACTGAGTGGGGGAGAAAGCGACAGGCGAAGTCAGCGTCCAGCGTTCACGTGAAGTTACTGCGAAAGTGGAAAGGCGTCGTACCTCGGCCAATTCAAACCCACCAGATCGTAGTTGCCGCTGGCCGTGTAGAACTTCACAGCGAACCCGCGCGGGTTCCTTGCTTGGTCGGGATGTTCTCGTCCATACGTAACTGTGCTGAAACGCGTGAAAACAGGCGTCACGGTGCCTGGCTGGAGAAGTCGGCCTTCGTGTACTTGCTGACATCGTGCGTGACGGTGAAGGAACCGAACGCGGCGGATCCGCAGGGGTGTACAATGCGCTCGCGCGTCTTGGAGCGATTGAACGTCTGCTGCTTCTCGAAGAGAGCGGTGTCGATGGCTGAGAAGCGGGCGGAGGTCAGCGAAGATTGCGGGAGAGTCGGGCGTCTCGACAAGGACTGACTGGTCGGGATGCCTCCGACGTTGAGCGAGTGACTATTGGCGTCAGAAAAGCATCAGAGAGCCGATGAGAGAGACGAAGGCGAACGAGGCGATGGATGAGGGGGGACGGAACGGTCAGCAATGGCCGTCTCGAGTCAGTAAAGGGCTGCCACGCACGCCGAGTCTGGCAGGATCTGGCCAAAATTGGCTACCAGCGACGCGATATCAGCGGACAGTTCCACAACAAGGAACCGCCAAACGCACTGGTATAGAGGGAAGCATCGTCGCGGGCGACGTCCTTCTGTGTGAGGCCCGTTAGGCGACTGGCGGTGACGGCAGGGCCGTCATTCATGCCGCTGAAAGCCTGAGCCTTCTGAGCGGGGCGAGGATCGGCGCCAGGGATCTTGGAGAGGACGGCGGTTTCGGCAGTCTGGAGGAGCGAGGCCATCTTGGAGGAGTCGCTGAGCAAGCGAAGAGTGCGACGCATTCAGAAGAGAGGCAAGGAGCGAAAGCAGGTGTAGCGGGACGAGCCGAGCGAAGGAGCGCGAGAAGCGAGCTGACGAGCAGGACTCGCACAAGGGCGTATCTGATGTCCTCTGGTCCAATCAGCGGAACCGCATCGTTTTGTCGGCCGTTTCCCCGCTCGCCTCCCACGCTACGAAGCAGACCGAGTCGAAGGGAGCCTCGCGAGGCGAGTTCGTCCGGCGTCAGAAGACTCGCAAGCTCGCCTCGTGGCAGCGCCAAGCCCGCATTGATTCCCGCACCGCCAGTCCTGCCCTTGCCGCGGTCTATCTTTGTCCCGCCTCACCGGTGAGCGCGTTGTGGGCGAGGTGAATGTGTCTGGCGGAGTCTGGCGGTTCTCATCAGTCGTAGGTGAGGATGGCGAGGGAAGCGAGCGAGACCGCGTCTGGCGGGTTGCAGCAGCACATGGAATGTCTGGATCCCGTATATCCAGCAGCAGGCGCTCGAAGCGGGGACGTGTGAGCTGCTCAACCCAGACCAACTCGCTGCGAGAAGTCGGCGCAAGACACCTCACCTGACCACGCCTGCTGTGGATGAGCGCACGCCAGCCTGAAGCTGTAGGGCTCACGAGGTTCAGCGGGTCCGATCTCGAGGCGAACGAGCTTGAGGGCGTCGAGGAGGAGCTTGCGGCGGTCGAGGAGGAATTGGCCTGGCAGCGCAAGCCAAAGCGGCGACGGTGGGACTGGCGAACGGGCGTGCTGGGCGTGACTGCAGGCTGCTTGCTTGGCTACCTCGCGACGCGGTCAACTGGGTCGTTCGGGACGACTGCCAGCTCGAAGGAGGCGGTACTCGTCGAGGACGACCCCCTCGCAGGCAACATTACGGGACCAGCTGTCCGCCTGTACTACCGACACGACGACAAGATCAACCAGGGCGACCCGATCCTGCAGCCAACTTGCCCGGTCGCCGTGATCTACACGGAGGACGAATCCGCCGCCGACGTCCTGGTCCTGAATGTCGATTCCCACGCGGGTATGGAGGACGAAGAGTTTGAGCGACTGCGGAAGGAGCGGCCGTGGCAGAAGTTTGCGGCGTGGGCAGTCGAGAGTGCGCCAAATCGACCGTTTCTCGAACGGCACTTTAACAAGTTGCGCGAGGGCAAGCGCAACGAGACGTACGACTTTGAGGTGACGTGTGGGTGCACACAGTTCGACCTTCGCCGAGCGGACCTGCTCAACACTCCGCTCCGCCCGCAGACCGCCTGAACAGCACCGTCCCTGCGACATATTCCTATTCCTACTTCAACTATAGCAACTCGCCTCTCCCTGTCGATCAGAAACGCCATGACAAGATCGCTGCCGCCTTCATCACGAATTGTCAACCGAAGAACGCACGCTCGCTAGTCCTCGACGAACTTGTCTCGCTCATGCCCGGCAAGATCGACTCGTTCGGCAGCTGTCACAACAACGCCGACATCGACTCGACTCTGCAAGAGCTGGGCATCTATGACGATGTCGGCACGCACACCAAGTGGAACGAGAAAATCACCTTAATCTCGCGCTACCGATTCACCCTTGCTTTCGAGGTGAGTTCGGGCTCCTTTTCGCTGGCTTCCCTCTCAGCACCTTCGCTTAACCCTTCCTTGACGTTGTGGTCTATCTCTCGACCCGCAGAACTCGAATGACCTCGGTGCGCTTCCTTCCTCCTGCGCAAACTTCTACTCCCGCTGACCGCCGCCCACGCAGACTACGCCACGGAAAAGTACTTCCAGGCTCTCGAGCGTGGCAGTGTCCCGCTCGTCTACGGCCCTCCCCATGCCGCGGCTCGCTTCTTCCCATCGCCTACCGCCGCCATCGACCTCGCCGACTACCTTCCTTCCAATTACACCTCGCAGTCGACCACTGACAGTGAAGAGCCGAAGGAACTTTCGCCCGAGGCCAAGGCGGGCATCAAGCGACTTGCGGACCGGCTGGAGTACTTGTCCAGCGAGGAGGGGCGGGAGGAGTACGAGGAGATGCTCGCATGGAAGAAGGACACGGCGTGGCTCGAGGACGAGCGGAATCCGCTCGGCAAGGTGGTGCGGCAGGCGAACAGTCCGTATCCTCAGGACTGTCGGCTGGCGGGTGCCTACCTCGGCGAGGCGTGGGCGCGGAATACCTGGGTGCCGCCTTGAGCTGGTATCTCCGTAACAGACACTCTTTCCCCGTAACGCACGTCGAGATACGCTAGAATACAGACAGACAGCATTGCGCCGCTCATCGACGGCTTTTCCTACCACGCCGACGCCCGCACGTTGTCCAACTTCTTGATGACCTCGCTTACCGTCCGCTCGAGCTCGCCCGCAATCTGTCCCTGCTTGGCCATCGGCAAGTTCCGATACACCTCGCACAAGTCGCCGTCGACCGTTGCCTTGACGGGTGTGTAGGCGCTTCGGTAAGCGAGGTGCTCGCGGCCTGCGGAAGAGAGTCAGCTCGATCGCCTCGAGACTCGTGAGCAGCTAGACTCACCGCAGAGCGACGGCGCCTCGGACCGCAGGTGCATTTCGAGGGTCGTGAAGAAGTCGACGTCCTCGTTTGAGACGAAGGGCACGAGCACGCCGACCGTACCCATGAGGCCGGTGTACACCAACAGGTCGCGTCCGCCTGCAACGAGCGCGACCTTGTGCAGCGACGTGATGATGTCGCCGATGTGGTAGTGCGCGAGGAGGTGCGTCCGGTGCGGGGCGCCCATCAGGTACGGCTTCTCGTGCATGATGCCGGCGCCGGTCGGGTCGTCGTCTACGTCGGTGCTGACGCCCTTCGGCAGGCGGTTGACGAAGAAGTTGCCGAACTTGTCACCCGCTGCGACCGTCTCGTAGTCGACCATGATGGACGCCGTGGTCCACCGAGGCGAGATGTCGTCGGCGAAAATGAGGAGGCGGTTCTCGGGCGCCTTGTAGACGGCGTAGTAGACCGACTCTTGCGCGTCGCCCACAATGATACGCGTGCCTTGCGTGTTGAGCGTCATAATCATCGTCGCAAAGCTCTGCGAGGGAAGAAAGGTGAGCGGAGGGGTAAGCGCGAGACTACGCGCGACGCACCTTGTTCTCCGCCTTTCGCAACAACTTCTTCTTGCCGAGGTCGTACAATCGCAGCGCCTTGCCGACACCCGCAACGAGCCTTCCCTGGAACGCGATGAGCGCCTTCGGGATGTCGTCGACCTCCGTCTTGTGCAGCAGCTCAAGTTGCCGGCCCTCCTCGAGCAGCTTGTACGTGTGCAGGTACGCTTGCTTGCACGCCCTGGGAGCGAGCGACGTGTCCTGACCAGTACCGACGACGAGGAAGACCTCATTCGGGTGCGAGTGGAAGGTGACGACGGCTGCAGAGAACGCCGCCTCGTTGTGCTCGAGGTCGACCTTGAAGACGGTCTCGGCCTGTAGGTGGGAAGAGGTCAGCATCTGACCTCGCAAGTGAGTAGCGCCGCGACGCACCGTCACTGGGTCGATCACTCGCACGCAGGAAGCCCACTGCCCCGCCGGTCCTCGCGGCAGGCCAAACTCCTTCGGGTCAAGGTTCAAGACCTCCTCGTCGACCTCCATCTCCGCCATCCGCATGTCGCTGACCGTCTTCTGAATTGCTGACGGCGAGAATGTCCGGTGGTCGGCCTCGACAGTGTAGAGCAGGCGGGAGTGGGCCGAGGTAAGGAGCTGGCGGGGAGTGTAGGAGAGGTCGATGGAGGTTTGCTGGACCTTCTGACCGAGACGGGGGAAGGTGAAGATGCGAAGGCTGTTGCCGACGATGCCAATGAGGCCCTCGGGACACAGTTCCGCAGAGAAGCTCCACGCGTAGTCGAGCGCGTCGAAGATGAGGGGCGTGAATTGGAGGATGCCGCGGTAGGCGTAGTTGAGCCAAGGACGGGAGGAGAGGGCGAGGATGGCGGGAGAGCCTTGGACGGGTACGCGAGCGAGCTTGACGGGACGAGACCCGAGGAAGCTGGTGATGCGGCGGTGTCAGCGGGTATTGCGGCTCGCGAAAGGAACAGCGCGACTCACCGTGTTCGCGTGTCGCCGAGACTGCCCGTGAGCGGGTCGAGGACAGTTCGAAGCAAGACACCGTTGTTCAGGCCGATGTTGACGAACATCGTCGCGTGGTACTTGTCGATGCTCGCGTCGGTGATCTCGGCCATAACAATCGAGGACGGCGGCGCGGTGAGAGCCTGCGGAGATGCGAGGTGAGCTCGATGCGGCAAGCTTTAATCCGTCTGTACGCACCTGCAGCGAGAGCGAGTCGAGCGTGTTCTCCGGGTCGAGCGAGATGATGCGGACGGTCGAATCGGCGCACCCGACGGCCTGGCGGTAACGAACGATCAGCGAGTGACAAGCAGGATCAGGAAGCGGCGCGACTCACGAGGTACGGTGTCCGTTGCCGTCCCTCCGGCACCTCCGCGATGCTGAGCGCCAGGATCTCGGCTCCCATCGGCTTCCGCTCCTGAAATTCGTTCAGCTGACCATCCATGTCGAGTTCGAAGTAGACGAGCTCGCCCGTCGACAGGCCGATGACGACCTGGCGGCTGTTGGTGGTCGCGCAGACGATCGTCTCCCGCGCACCGACCTTCCACTCGTTGACGCGCTTGTCGGCGAGAATGTGACGGATACCGCGAGGGTAGATCTGCAGGAGGGCATCGTCGCCGAGCTGCTGGACGCCGAGAGTCGGTGCGGACGAGATGAAGCCGGTGTCGGAGACCTCCTCAATCGTGTCGCCGATAGCGAGGACGAGAGTGCCGTTGACAAAAGAGAGGATGATGTAGGCGTCGTATTGGTCTGCGAGCAGGCTAGCTGTCAGCGCGGAGCGGAAAAGGTCTAGTTAAGCAAACCCGACGCACCTTCTGCTCGCAACTTGGTCGTCCACACCGCGATAGGCGCTCCGGGAAGCTCCGAGCTGACAGCCTCCATCACCTCGAGACCCTGCCGCAAGATCCTGAGTGAACTCCGCGCTCCTCGTCCGCAGGCCGCGTAGATCTGCGGCGTGTCCTCGCCAAGGTAGTTGGCGACCTTGGCGTCGAGGATCGGCGCGAGTGACTCGACCTCGTCGGCGATGGCGAGATTCTGCAGCTCGCGAAGGCGGAAGAGGGCGGGAGGAAGCGGGTCGGTGCCGGCGCCGAGGTTGTCGTAGTCGGTCGAGGAGAACTCGGTCTCGTCGTCGTCGTCGCCGAGCTTCTCGAACTGATACAGGCGAGGGTTGCCAAACTCGGTCGCGACGAAGAGGAAACCGGATTTGAGGATGCAGAGAGACGAGGCGGAGGGGACGGTGTCGAAGTACTTGATCTTGAGCGCCGTAACCTCCTCCTCCTCGTGCTCGATCGTGACCTTGAAGAGGTCACCCTCCTCGCTTTGCAGCAAGAAGAAGAAGGCGCCCTGGAGAGGAAGCAGAGTTAGCGTTCGTGTCCACGAGTCCTGCTCGCCTCAGCCCACCTTCATCTTGTGCATGACCGCCGCCGTGATGATGACGCCTCGCTCCGGATCCGCCAAGGGGTGCGCCCGCTTCGGAATCGGGACACGGTGCTCCTTCGCGCCCTGATGCTTGTAGATGATGTAGTCCTCGCAGCAGACGAGCACGCCGGACGGGCCATCGAACCGGTCCATCGTCGCGTTCTGACCACCGGGCACTGCGAGAGATGTTCGTCAGTACCAGGTAACAGGAGCAGAGCATTCCTACTTACCCTGGACAAGGAGATTCGCTCGCGGGTCCGTAGCCTCGCTCCATTTCCGCACAACGTGGTTCAAGCCGAGGTCGAGCTCATAGTACGTGAGCATCTGTAAAAGCCAGGGGTCAGTATCGACAGAGAGCCGTCCGAGGGACTCTCGACGCACCTTCTCCGCCGCATCGAATGCTGCGCCTGTCGAATCCTGATCTGCCTCCGTGTAGTCCACCTCGAGCGCCGCAAACATCGGATTCTCGAAGCCGACGTCGACACCAACAATCGAGTGGATGATTGCTCGGGGCTTGTGAGCTTCGAGCGGAGACGAGATGGTGAGGTTGGCGGCGGCATCCTGTAGAGAGAGCTCGTCAGCTCAAGCGGATAGCGGGTCTCGATTGCGCTACGCACCCTGTTCAGGATGTAAACGAGCTTGCTCTTCTCCATCGCTCCAATCATGACTGCACGTCCTTTCGGATCCGTTGCGAGGTACTGTCCGGGGACGATTCGCCGCGAACCTGATCGGCCGTACGTCTCCTGGTGCAGCTTGTTGAAGACATTGTTGTTCGGGTCGTACTCGAGGACGACTATCCGGCCAGAGTCGGAGCCGATGATGATGTAGTCTGCGGCGGAGATGAGGAGGAGCAGGTCGGCGCGAAAGAGGCGGGACAGCGCCGGTCAGCTCCGGTGCCCTCAAGTACAATGCATAGACCTCGTCGGACGCCCTGCAGACCCGCCTGAGCCCGCGGACGCAACGTAACGGTCTGCGAACTCACCCTTGGAACCGCCGGTCAACTTGAACGCAGTCAAGCTCCTGATCTGCCCAAACACGTCCGCCTCGACGATACTCTCGAGCTTGCCCGTCTGCGCATCCGTCCTGAGCAGCTCGATGCGCTGGCCGCCGCGTGCGACGCAGATCTCCTGCTGCTTGGTGCCGCTGAAGTTGCCCACGCACGCGCAGGTGATGGACGAGCTGGGGATGAGCGAGTGGTGGTACAAGTGGACCATCTTGGCTCGTCAGTCCAGCCAGGCGTGCAGCGAGAAACCAAGCTGATGAGATAGCGGAGTGAGAGGTGTGGGTTGGTGTCGGTCCGTATCGTCGTGCCCGCTAAGATGTCGCTGCAGGAAGCTTCCGACGCTCGCAAGGCAAAGCTCGCCGCATTGAAGAAGCGCAAACTTCAGCACGACGCTGGCGCACCCACAGATGCCGCCGACGGGTGAGTCCCATCGCTTCCTCGCTCGACGACGGCTCTGACGGGTCTTGCATTGCAGAGAGGAGACCTTCAAGTTCCGAAACTACGACCCAGAGACTGGAACGGCGCGCAAACACGCGCGGCTAGACGAGGAGGACACGGTCGAGAAGCAGGTCGAGGGGTTGACGGACGCGGCGATTGCGCAGGACGAGGCACAGCGGGCGCAGGAGCTGGTGCGTACTTCTACCCGTGCAGCTGGAGGCACGCCAGGACCTGTGAGGGCGGACGCTGACCCTTCTCCTCCTCCTCCTGCCCCTGCCTTCACCTTTCAACACCCCGGCCCTCCTTTGCTTTTCCACCTACAGGATCTGACAAATATCCAACCGAAGAAGCCGAACTGGGATTTGAAGCGGGATCTGGAGCGAAAGGTGCGATTGTCTCCCTCTTCCCCTCGACCTGCACCTCAACAGCCGTCCCGCTTCGCTGTCGCCGTCATCATGTACCGTTTTGCATCAGTACTGACGACTATCTCTTCCCCAGCTCGCCAAGTTGAAGCCAAAGACGGAGCTCGCCATCTCGCAACTGATTCGTTCGTCGCTACCCTCCTTTCGCTTGCTTCAGCCAGATCTGACGGCTTTCCCCATCGCAGGAAAACGGTTACAAGCACAAAAGGGTGGCGCTGAACCAGCAACAGACGAGCTTCTGGCCGGCATGGACAAGGCGGGAGCAGGCGATGCGGACGAGGCGGGATCAGACGAGGAGTGATACGCTGTTCTCGCCGATTCTGTATCCCGACCGGCGATGTCATTGATACCCTTCGCTTCAACGACACCCAAGGGGCCAGTTCGCCCGCCTCGTGCGTCAGCCGGCGGCTCGACCGACGATGTCAAGGTCATACTCGATACAGAGTGAGATGTCTACAGCCTGCCGCAACTCGCTCCACAGCTACCGATACCTCGCAGCATGCGATGTCGCTGATGCGGCGGCGCTGACCGTTTCCGTCTTGACCTCTTCCTTCCCTCCTCCTCCGCCTCCGCTGCCTTGCTTCACCTCGATAACGACCACTATGATCAAGACCAACAGCAGCAAGAAGCCGAACGCCGCACACATCTTCCTCTTGTGCCTCGCAGCGGCAGCGGAAACTTTTGCCAGTCCGATCTGTTTGACGCCTTGTTCGACGTCCGCTTCGACGCCGGCCGTCGTCGACTCGATGTGCGTGATCTGGACATCCTGTTGAACGACGAGATCGGCGACCTGGAGGAGCGAACGTCAAAGTCTGAGGCAGTATCGGAAGAAGCGAAGTCTGCCAACCTGCTGCATGAGGGCGGCGAGCTGGACGAGCGTCTCCTCGATTTGGACAAGCTCACTCCTCCGGCTTTCGGCTTCGGTCAAGGCTGACTTTGCCGCTGCCGAGCGAGCACCCATGATGGCCTGCTGGAAGACCTGCGTCTGCGCCCCAGCCGAAGTGTCGACGGCCTGCTTGACTTCCTCGTCCGTCACGTCGGGGTTGACTACGTTCTCGAGGGATCAGTGTACGTCGAATGAAGCGAGTGAAACGGGACTCGCCGATGCGCATCTGCCGCCCGATCTTGTCCCTCACCTTCTCTCGGTGCGCCTGCTCCGCCCTCTGCCACTTCTCGACCATTCGCTGCAATGCCGCCTTCAGGTTCTCCCAGTGTCCACGACGAGCCTCGTCCTTCCCGACTTGCTGGCCGAGCACAGCGATGCGAGACCGGTGGTAGGAGATGTCCTGCGAGAGTTTCGAGGAGAGCGTGGTGATCTCGACGGCGAGCGATTCGCTTGGCGCTTGGAGCGAGTAGGCTTGCTTCGTCTGCAACGTCGAGATCGTGTCGTCTAGCGCGCGAATGGCGTCACGAATGCGGGCGACCTGGAGGAAAGGCCCAGTCAGAGAAGCGGATCCCTCACGCGAAAAAGCGACGCACCTCGTCGAAATACACGTCGTTTGCGAGGTCGCCTAGCTCGATAGGAACATCCTTGATGCCTCCTGCGGAAACCGTGTGCTGCTTGATGGGCTGGTCGAGCGAAGCGTAACCGTCCTTCGAGGCGGCGGTCGTGCCCTGTGCAGCGTGAGGCGTCAGCTTCGAGCTCACAGCGCCGAAAATCCGACGCACAGGTAGTTTGAGCAGTCCAGCCATGTCGCAACACGAAGCAAGGGAGAACGACGAGGCGAAAGCAGCAGGAGAGTCGAGGAGGAGCCAGCGTCCGGGATGTCCGCGGACGCCTGGATGCGCCGGGGTCAAGCGTGGAGCAACTTCAGTGCTTCAGCTTGTGGGTTTGCAGCAATGCAGCACAGGCAGTAGCGACTTGCGAGTGAGACGAAGAGGCAGAGAAGCAGCGATCCTGTCAGGAGGATTCGACGGTCAGGCGATGCGAGTTGCAGGGTGTTCTACTGCAGAATGTGAGATTGTGGCAGGCGAGCAGAGTCAATACGTGGTGCGGGATATAGAAGAGGAGACGAACAAGAGACTGCGCGGAAAGCCCCAGGAAGGAACACAGGAACCGAAACATGGAGGGAGGGGGAAGTGCAGGTAGGCGTAGGAACGCGCGTGCTGAGAGGCTATCGCTGGTTGTCGAGGCCAACGACGATACTGGGCGACTCCTTCGCCTCACCTGCATTCTCGTTCGAAAGGCCGACGACCTGGCTGATGTCGCCACCGCCAGCGACCTCGCCGCCACCGGTCACGTCGCCCAGCGGTTGGCTTGCGAGAACGACGTTCGAGGCGTTGGCGCCGTTGATGTTGACGAGCGCGGGCCCGGCACCCTGCTGACCGGCCTTCCTCTTCGCGTTGTCGTTGCGAAGGCCCTCGATGTGCGAGAGATACGCCTCGTCGACGCCGCCGGTGACGTACTCGCCGTTGAAGACGGAGCACTCGAAGCGCTCGATGGAGGGGTTGAGGCGCTGGCAGCTGGAGACGAGGTCGTCGAGTGTCTGGAAGATGATGTGGTCGGCGCCGATGTACTCGGCGATTTCGTCCTCCGTGCGGTCGTGTGCGACGAGCTCATGGCGACTCGGCATATCAATGCCGTACACGCAAGGGTAGCGGATGGGAGGAGCGCAAGAAGCCATGATGACCTTCTTGGCGCCCGCCTCGCGCGCCATGACGATAATCTCCTTCGAGGTTGTCCCGCGCACAATCGAGTCGTCGACGATCATGACGTTCTTGCCGGCGAACTCGAGGGCCATCGCGTTGAGCTTGCGGCGGACGTTCTTTCGCCTCAGCTCCTGGCCGGGCATGATGAAGGTGCGTCCAACGTAGCGGTTCTTGACGAAGCCTTCGCGGTAGGGGATGTTGAGGTTCTGCGCAAGCTGGAGGGCGGCAACGCGGGAAGTATCGGGAACGGGGATGACAACGTCGACCTTGATGCCGGCCTTGTCGAGCTGAGCCTTCGCCGTCGCCGCCAGCGCGTCGCCCATCGCCATCCGTGCGCGGTAGACCGAGATGCCATCGACGACCGAGTCGGGGCGGGCGAAGTAGACGTATTCGAACACATCCGGCGCGAACGTGCGAGCCGGTGTGCATTGCATCGTCTTGACTCCGTCCTGCGTGACAATGATGGCTTCGCCTGCGAGAGAAGATGAAGACTCAGCATCGAGCTATCGATACGGCTGTTTGGGAAAGAAAGGATGCAGCGGAACTGACCAGGCTTGATGTCCGTCCAGTCCGAATAGCCAAGCGCATCGCAAACAACGCTCTCCGACGCCATCATGTAGTCGAATCCGCCCGGCACCGTCTCGCTCTTGCGCTTCGCCCATCCCATTGGCCTGATCCCGTTCGGGTCGCGGAAACCAAAGATCCCGTAGCCTGCGATCATGGCCGTGCAAGCGTACCCACCCGAGGTCATCTGCATGACTTCGCGGATGGCGCGGAAGATGTCGTCCTCATCGATGCGGAACTTGCCCGTCTTTTGCAGTGCGTCGGCGAGGAGGTTGAGGAGGAGCTCAGAGTCGGACGAGGTGTTGATATGCCGGTGAGCATAGTGGTCGAGGTAGTAGCGGAGGTGCTCTGTGTTGATCAGGTTGCCGTTCTGTAAGCATGAACTTGATCAGCAGGAGAAAGGAGGCGAATAGCGAGGGGCAGCGGAACGGACGTGGGCAAAGACGAGACCGTAAGGCGAGTTGACGTAGAACGGCTGCGCCTCAGATTGCGCAGAGGAACCAGCGGTCGGGTACCGAGCTGTACGAGCGGGCCTGTCAGTACACACCTGAGCGAAACGGCACTCCGAAGGAGGACGAACCGTGCCCGACGCCCATACCGCCGATGAGCTGGCTCAGGTTCTTCGCGTCGAGGAGGTCGCGAACCATGCCGTTGCCCTTGCACTGGTAGAAGCGGCCCTTGGGACCGCAAGTGACCACGCCGCACGCATCTTGCCTGTCGAAGTGGGGAACAGTCAGCAGGGTCCAGGGGCGTGCCGGCGCCTCGGAGATGCTGGCAGCCGTCGCCAAAAGTCCTCAGCAGCCCGAGCGAGAAAAACAGGACTGACCCGCGGTGCTGGAGAAGCTGGAGACCCTCTGCAATCTCGGACGCGACATTGTTCTGGCTCGCGAGGAGGACGGCGAGAATGCCACCTGCGCGAAGGCGAACGGGTAGGCGAGGTCAGTAACGAGTCCGCGCTACTGAACAACGTCCGCTCGAGTCCGTCCGCTCTGCTCCCGTGCTCGGGACCCCACAGGAGAAGGAATTTGGCGGCCGTTCAAGATGAGGAAGCGAGGGGAGCGTACACATGGCTGACGGCGTCTGCGCGGGTCGTGCAAAGGTTCGAGCAAGTCACAGACGAGTTATGTAGCGGTAGCGAGCACCAGCAGGCCGCTTGGAGCGGTGGGAGAGCGACTTGATGAACGGGACCAAGCAGAGAGCGACTTCGCTCCAACGCGACTGGCTCACTCTCGCAAGAGGGCTCGCTTGCAGGCTTGATCGGTTCAACCATGCTTCCGACACCACGAGCAGTCACCCGCGCAGCCGCGTTCGCCGTCAACGGCGCGCGCTCGTTCGCATCCACCGCACTCCGACCAGCACCTCCCGCGACCGCCTCAGTGCCGGCCGAGACGTCCGAAGCGAGCTCACGGGTGCCAGCAGACGTCGCACTCGCAGTGTGGGACACGCGGGTTCTTCCGAGCGCAGAGCGACGGCGGGAGCTCCTCAAGGCGCGGTGTGACATCTTCGGGAGCGAGTACAACCCCGACCGCGTGCGGAACGGCGCCAAGGTCCTCCAGCAGCGTCTCACGGGAGAGGTCAAGGCCGGCTACTATGGTCCGCGCCTCATCGGCGTCGCCAAGCTCAACCGCCTGTACACGGTCGAGGGCCAGCCGCCGGCGTTCAGGGATCTCGTCGACGAGCAGAGGTGCGTCATGTGCCGTTCAGCTATGTGCCGTGAGACGTCGCGCTAACTTGGACTGTTTTCGCAGGCGGGAAGACATCAAGGCGAAGAACAAGCGCGGCAAGTTCAAGCCAAAGAAGGGTGCGTCTCGCTCCGTCCTGCGCCTCGTAGGTCTCATTAGCTCACGCATCACGCTATCACAGGTCAGGGACGTCGCGCGACGATGAAGAAGAAGTAGAGGACTCGCGACATCGCCGCCTTTCCCCTCGACATCCTTCCCTTCCCCTCCAGTCAGCCCGACTATCCTCCTCTATGCATACTCTCCTCCTGTACACTACGCAGTCTACCCGTCAGTGCGACTCGCCATCGTCGTGCAACCCGTCCGAATCACGCCGAGTCGATACCATTTTGGGGCAGTCCAGCGAAGTGCGCATCGCTTCGATATCGCTATGCTCCTGTTCTACAGCTTGTAAAGGCCGTGTGAACGCCCCAGTCAGAGCTGCGCGCGGGCTTACCGCCTCCTCGCCGCAGAACTGGCGACTTCGTCGCCCGGCGTGTCTGAAGGATTCGCTTGAACTCCTTCGTCGAGAGACGGCGTGCTTTGCACCGTTCTGCTGCTTTGTCAGGAACGCTTGAAAGCAGTCGAGCCGCCTCGCAGACGAAAGCAGCCTCTGCCACTGCCAGAGACGCTTCCTTCGCCTCCTCCGCCCCTTGCTTTCCCAACACAACCCGCTATCCGCGCTGCGATGGACTTCGAAAGCTCGCAATACTCTGCGCCAGTGCCCTCTTACGCTCTCGAGTCGAGCAGCGGCGAATCCGAGCTGGATGACGACGAACTCGCCGCGCACACGCGTCTCTCGTCGAACGGGAAGAAGGCACTCGCACCAGAACCTGCGGTCGAGTTGAGCGGTCCTATCGAGCGGTTGCGCAACGGCGGAGAGGCGGTCTTCCTGGTTGACGAGGCGGGCGAGAGGATCGCTCAGGGTGTCGAGGTCGGTGGGGATGCGATCAGGGTGACAGTCGACGGGGAACGGGTGCGGCGCATCTTGGAGCTCTTCGATGACCTCTGGAAGCTCACTCGCGCGCGCGCAGGCCGGCTTGATCGTCGTGGACGCGAGCGGCGCCATCCTCGTCTTTCTCTCGACAGCTCTCCCCCTCGCCTCGCTGCATCCGCTCGCAAGCAAGATCTACGACGTGCTGCAACCCGCCAGCTCGACGATTGTCGCAGCCTACCACTTGCCGTCGTACATCCCGCCTGCAGACGCGCCCTCCTCCTCTTCCGCACCTCTCCTCTTCCTCGCCTCGCCTTCTCCCGCCGCGCCTATCTCGCAGCTCAAGTCAGAAGGCTCCTTGTATCCCTTCAACCCGCCAAACCTCCTTCACGGCCTTCCCTCCGCCCTCTTGACTGTCTCTGTTCTTTCCTCCGCCTCAAAGTCGTCGACTCTCCTCCTTCTCCCGACGACGGCCCCGCCTCAACCGCTCAACGGTCCCTTCTCGCCCGTCTCGCCTATAACAGCGAGCGCCGGCGCATCGCTGTACGACGCAGGAGGACCTACCGGACTCGGCGACCCGTCTGCCTTGTTCCGCGAGTTGGCAGGGACTGGACGGCGGCGCGGGAGCGCAGCAGCGGGCGCAGGCGCGAGGAGGGCGCCGCTGCAGGCTGTCAAGGAGGCGCTTGGATGGAGTTGGTGGGATCTGACGAAGCAGGGCGGTCAAGGATTCGCATGGCTGGAGAAGCGGCGCAAGGAGCGGCGGCGGGAGGAGCTGTCGAGCATGTACATGTGAACGGGCGAGTCGCTTGCTGGAAGGTTTTCGGGTAACCAATCACCAGCACGGGATCGTCGTGGGTCCGGAATGCTAATGTCGACTCTTGCCTTCGGTGGGCTTCCCGAGGCGCGCTTCCCGTGTCGCTCGTCCTTCTGCGGACCGCTTTCGCTCTTTCTCTCTCTCCGTATACTTGTCTCGCCATGCTTCGCCCAGTGCGTAGTCCTCCTTGTCCTCTCTGACAACGCCACGCAAGGACTGACCCTGACTTGTTCTCGCCCAGCCCACACCACGACGCGCAGACTCGTCCGACAGTAAGGCTACCACTACGACGCAGAGCAGCCAGCAAATCAGCTTTCATCCTTCGACCAAGCACGCCCGCAGTCCGTCATCCGCGCCAACGACACCGCTTTCCTTCGACGAGATGGACGAGCTGGCGAGGTTTGCGTCGCGCTATTCGCTCGGCTCGCCTCTCACTCGAGTACGGACACGAACGGATTCGTCGTGTTTGTGGGAGAACCTCTCGAATCCTTCGGAACAAGGCGGCGGAATGGACGAAGACAACTCGCTCTATCACGACCGCTTCGTCATCCTCACTCGCACCCATCTCATCGTCTCTAATCTGCTCTTCCTCAACGTCAGCATACCTCTATCGTCCGTTCGCTCCGCCCGCCCGCTTGTCACCGACGCCGAAGTCGTCAAGCTTTCGACACGACCAAAAGGGCGCCGCCGACCGCCGCACGGCGTCACGACGGGTGGGTTTGGGTGGACGGGCATTTTGTGGGCGCGGGATCTGCGACGCATGCGTGACGAGGCGTGGCTTAAGCGGTCGTGCGTGCTGGACGTCTCCGGATGGATAGGGAGGGTTTCCTTCAGCGTCGAGCGACCGAAGGAATGGTGGGCGGCTTGGGCAGGAGTGCGAGGGTCGTTGTCGGTATGAGTTTAATGACATGCGCGTGCTGTTCAAACTGACTCTCGCTGCTAGAGAATGGCTTCATTCGCCTCTCGGCCGCCTGGCCTTCCCAAGCGGGGTCGTCGACTGGGGTTGCGGGGTCACGGTGAGGGTTGCGGAGTGCGTTGCTGGCCAAACGAAACCGGCTGTTGCTCGAGGGCTTGGGTGATGAGACGATCAGGCGGGTTTTGCTGGTGCGCCTCCTTTCCCTCCTCTCCTTCGCCTCCCTCTCCTGCTCACCTCACCTCGCTTACGCAGCCTCGGTATTCCTCGACGGAGTTTGACGACATCGACAACAGGGCTGCCGGCTCGCCTGTCGATATCGGAATCGCACCGGACGACTCTCCTCCACCCGCTCTCATCATCGCTCCTTGCTCCCGCTGCCTCCTTGCCGCTTGACTCTCTTCCGTTCAACGTCGCTGAAGTCTTCTCTATCCGCACCTGTCACTGCTGACGACGTTATCCGCCTGAAGACTCCCCCTTCGTGCTCCTCCCCGGCATCTTTTCCCCAGCCCGTCGCCCCAACTTAGCGCACCGGGGGCTCGCATACTCTCGTCGACGTCTACGCGCTTACGTCTACTCTCTCCCTCGCGCGATCAAGGTCAGCCCCCGCCCTCGACCAAATGGCGCCGACTGCATTCAAAGAACATGCCCCGGCGACGAAGCACGAGTTCGCCTCGACGCAGGGCGAGCCCGTCATCGTACGGTTCGCGAAGGGTGATCCGGAGGATCCAGCGGAAGGATGGAGTCGGTGGAAGCGTTACCGCGGTGCGTTAAGACTGGCCTTGTCGACTTCTCGTCTTGCGCTCCAACGTTGCAAACGCTGACATTTCCAAATCCCGCCATTGTCTCCCGAATCATACGACGTACAGCCCTCGGTCTCGCAATGCTCGTCACCTACCTCTCCGCTTACAACGCCTCAGCAAATGGCGCAGCAAGCGCCGGCTTCCGCAAAGAGCATCCCTCGGTTTCGGCATCCGTCTTCCAGGCATCATCCTTCACCTACCTCGCCATGCTCGGTATCGGTCCACTCGTTCTCGCACCCGTCAGCGAAGCGACCGGCCGTCGGCCGCAGATCGTAATCTGCACCTTCGTGATTGCGGTCCTTTTCCTCGGCCAAGCTCTCTCTCCGAACGTCTACTCGCTCATTTTCTGTCGATGGGTTCAAGGAACGGCTGCTTGCATCGAAGGAGCGACCGCGGCAGGCGTCGTCGCCGACTTGTGGCCGAAGCGAACTCGCGGACCGGCCATGGGCCTGTTCGTTCTCACCGTCTTCACCGCCAACGCGACAGGCCCACTGTGCTCCAACTGGATTGCGCAAACTGTCGGATGGCGCTGGGTGTACTGGGTCCAGCTCATCTCAAACAGCATCTGTTTTGTCTTGTGCCTCTTTCTCTTCCCCGAGCCGTTCGTCCCCAGTTCCTCTCTTCTGTCTCGCCACGAAAGCTCTAACCTCGTACATTTCGCAGACGCGCCGATGTCATCCTCGGAAAGCGATGCAAGAAGCTGCAGGCGGAGTCGGGCCGCCCGCACTTCGTCGAAGGACTCGAAGGAACGGAGAGCATGCTCGATGCCGTCAAGCTTTCACTCACCCGACCATTGCTCTACCTCTTCACTGAGCGCGCGTTGCCCCTTCTCTCTCTGACTCAAGTTGGCAGTCATGGTTCTGAAGGGCATGAACGCGCGCACTCTTCTCGAAGGACGGACGAGTTCGCTGACGAGATCACTTCTTTCCGGAATTTGCAACAGCCATCGTTGCATCTCTCGCGCTCTGGGTCGGCTTCGCATGGGGTGTCGTCTTCCTGCTGGTCGGCAGCATCGCTCACGTCTTCGAAAGAACCTACGGGTTCTCGCAAGGCCAAGGCGGCACAGTCCTCATCTGCGGCTTCAACGGCGCCTTCATCTCGTACATCCTCCACCTCACCGTCCAAGAACCGCTCTACCGCAAGGCGCTGGCGAAGGGAAACGGAAAGGCCAAGCCAGAAGTTCGGCTTTACTCCGCTGCCATCGGCGGGATCCTCTTCTCCGCCGGCTCGTTCGCTTTCGCATGACCCGCTCGCCCGTGGATTCACTGGATCGTGCCGTGCATCTTCATCTGCGTCTTCAACATCGGCATGTGCGTTTGCTTTCTTTCTCCCTCGTTACAAGCCCTCTCTTTCGCCCTGCTCATCGAAGAGGGCGTTGACCTGTTCGTTCGCAGCTACACGATCTACCTCGGCACCTACCTCGTCCTCGGCGACATCTACGACCGGTACTCGTCTTCTGCGCAGGCTGCCCAGTCGCTCCTTCGCAACATCCTCGGCGCCACCTTCCCCTTCTTCGGCGTCGCCATGGTGCGCACGAGCCCTACATCCGTTTGCGCATCTCACTGACCAGGCTTGCGCCTGCAGTACGACCGCTTGACCTTTCCTTGGGCGTCGACCCTCGTCGGCTTCATCGCTGGCGCTTTCGCCATCGTGCCCTGGGTCCTCATCTTCTGTGCGTGCACAAGCGAAAGAGTGTGTCCAGTCCTTGCAGCTGACCGGCCTCTCCCTTGCAGACGGCGAACGCCTGCGGGCGCGCTCAAAGGTGGCGATTTCGATGGAGCAGCAGGAAGGGGACGTTCTCGGCGAGGACCCAGCTCCAGCGCACCTCATCGAAGTCGAGATGCCGTGAATGCCGGCGGGTGCAAAGGGAAAAGGAGGGTGCACTCGTTATAGCAGGTCGGGTTTCGCTGTTATTCATAGACTGCCGTCGTTCTCGTGCGCGCAAGACATTGTCCATTACTCTGAGCCAGAGAACCCATGCGAGACTTGCCGTGGGATGTCTCGACGTCGAGGCGAGCAAGCGAGGAAGCGGACGACGGGCAACGACGAGGCGGTCCGAGCGGACCTTCGCAAGCGCGGACCGCTCCACTCGAGGTTGCTCGGAAGTGGCTGCTGCCTCGCTCTTGCTTGCACCCTTGAAAGCCATTTGCTTGGCGGCGGTGAAAGGGAGACGCACGGCGAGCTCAGACTTTTCTTCTCTTCGCGCGGGTCGGCCGTGCAGTCCGCGACGGGAACACCCTCGATTTCGCTTCATGGCCGGGTACCGACGCTGCTCCTGCCTCGCTTCCCTGCTGCACTTGGCAGGCCTCAAGGACCGGGCTGCTCGCCGGCGAAGGATTTGGGGTCCTCGCGACCCGACGTGTGTGTTCGATCGCTAATTGAAGGATTTCCTCTCCGCGCGCATGGCAGCTGGCGTTCTCTGGTCGAGGGTTCTTCCCCAGTGTCGGTCTGTGGTGATCCAGGGTCGGCAAGAGAAGCTGCTCCGCACAGCGTGGTGTCCGGAGGAGGGGATACACCCTCGTCTCGAGGCATTGAAAAGGCCGTTCTCGCGAGCGTCCGCTTCTTCGCTTCTCTCTTCTCTCTAGTGCGCTTCCTCTGCCCTCCGTCTGTCCTTACTCGACGCCATGTTCGCCGCCGCCGCCCTCGCCGCCTCACTCGTCGCTTCTGCCTTCGCGGCTCCCCTTCCCGTGACCCTTCGCACCGTCGAGGCCGCCCTCTCGCTTCCCAACACCACGCAGACCAACACTGCTTACTACTACTACCGTGAGTTGACGTTTCGGATACTTTCGCGACGCTCTTTCGTCGTGCTGACTTCTCCGTCCCCCTCCCGCAGAGAACGGCCGTGCTGGCGCCTGCGGCTGGTACTCGAAGGACTCTGACCTCGTTGTCGGTCTCCCCCGCGAGTTCTACTCGGATCTCGCCTCGGTCTCGCCTTATTGCGGCCAGTTCGTCGTCGTCGAGGGCAAGGACAACAAGACCATCACCGCTCTCGTCGCCGATGCCTCGACTCTCAACGAGACGATGACCCTCTCGATCGGCTCGTGGGACGCTCTCAACGGTAACGACGGCCTCACGACCGTCCAGTGGCGCTTCGCGAACGCGACCGAGTCGTCTGCCGCCAAGAAGGCCCTCGAGTCTAGCTCGCCCGCTCCCGCCCCCGCTCCTTCGTCGACCTCGACCTACGTCGCTCCTTCGTCCTCGTCGCCGGCCGCCGAGGCTGAGGTCCAGACCACGTCCGCCGCCCCCGAGAAGCCTTCGAGCACTTCGACCTGGGAGGCGCCCAAGTCTTCCTCGACCTCGTACGCCCCCAAGCCCTCGTCGACGTCGACCTGGGAGGAGAAGAAGACCTCGACCACGACTTGGGCACCTGCACCTACCACCACGACCACCACGTCCGAGTGGAAGCGTGAGTTTCTCGCTCTCCTGGCCTTCGCAACTTGCTGACCCGCTTCGCCTCGCAGCTACCACCACCACGACGACCTGGACTCCTCCCCAGACTACCACCACCACCTGGGAGGCCCCGCAGACCACTCAGGCCAAGACCTACTCGTCCGCCAGCTCCGGCCAGTACTCCGGCCAGGCGACGTTCTTCTACCAGGGAGGCAACCCCGGCTCGTGCGGCACCGTTCACAGTGACTCGGTACGTTCCATCGCCGCCGTGCGCGATCGAACTTCGGGATCTCAGCTAACGCGAACCGCTCTTTCCGCCCTGCAGGACTACATCGTCGCGGTCAACGCCGCTCAGATGAACAGCGGCTGGTGCGGCAAGACCGTCTCTATCCGCAACACGGCCACCGGCGCTTCCATCACCGCTACCGTTGCCGACACCGTGAGTAGCCATACGCCCCTGATTTTGAGCCCCTTGAGCCCATCTTACGTTGTTCCGTTGCCTTGGCAGTGCCCTGGTTGTGGTTACGGAAGTTTGGACCTTAGTACTGGTGCCTTTAACGCCCGTACGTCGACTGGTCTTCCAGAAGCCTTCCCCAAGCTGACGACTTCTTTCACAGTCGGCTCGGAGAGTCAGGGTGTACTGCCGATCTCTTGGGGATTTTAAATGGCGCGTAGAGCGTCCTAGACTTGATACACAAGGGCACATAGACGAATGTAACATTCAGGGATCATGGGTTTCTCCGAACGCGAGCAGGAGAGGTTCGGCTGCTCGGCTCTTTCCGGTTCTGCCGCTTTCGCCATAACATCTCACGCTGTACACGGTAAGGCATCACGAGCCAGCAGGAAGCGCAAGAAACCCTCAGGCAGAGCGAGGAGGAGAAGCAGGAGGAGCTGAGAACCGAGGTCGACGCCGCAGCCTCACGGTTGCGCTCTCTGACGGGACGAAGCAGTCCTCAGCTGCGAGTGATGGCTCCACGGACAGTGAGCGTCCAGGGGCGGCGCCTCGGCATTCTCCTTCTCCTCCAACAGCTCGTCCTCCTCCCTCTTCGTCCTTCACCACACACCCGCCCACGCTGGACAGTGCTTGACAGGCTTCTTGATTCTCTGCTAAGGTGAACAGCATACTGCACTTGCCCGCCTGCCCTGCGACGCCGTCCCCGCGCCGAAACCGCCCCGCCCACCTTCATCAATCAACATCCCCTCCCGTCAGCGATGGCGCCGACCACACTCGCTAAGCTGCGCAGTCTGAAGCGCACAGAGCTTCAGGCCTTGTGCAAGGTGCGTCAGAGCCGCACCCTTTCCTTGCCCAAGCAAAGCTGACCCGGCCGCTCCTCCTCGAGCAGGAACACAACATCAAGGCGAACGGCAAGACGGACGCGCTCGTTGCTGCTCTTACCGACAAGCTCAGTATGTGCGTGTAAGAAGCTGTGCGTCAATTCGAGCGATCTGCTAACCGGACCTTCGACTTTTCGCAGGACGGAGGCGGCGGAAAATGGGGAGGCTGAAGCCAGCACCTCGAAGGGCAAACCTGGTGACAAGGAGCGTGGAGCGGTGCAGGAGGAGAGGAGCGTCGCCGCAACACCCGCCAAGAAGACGCCACAGATCGGTGCGTACCTTGCTTTTCCGTCTCCCTCTCCTCCGCTAACCCTGGCTATTGCATCGCAGTCTATGCCACCTCACCCGGAACGAAGGCGACCATCGCTACTCTCGCCGCCACCGTCAAAGAGCTGCAGTCGCAACTCACGCTCGCCCAGGCGGCCCGGGCCTTGCCCAAGATTAGCCGCAGCCAGGTCATCGAGCTCATCGACTCGAGTATCGCGGCGCACCGGGAAGAGGTGCAAAAGGAGCTGGAGCAGCAGTTGCAGGAGCTCAAAGAGCAGCAGGCGGCTGTCACAGGCGACGTCGAGGCGATCGGGACCCGTGTGGGCGGCTTGGAAGCGACCGCGAATGGGATGGCTTCCACCTTGGACGATCAGAAGCAGACTCTTGAAGGCTCCATCGACGCGCTGCGCCGCGACGTGATGTCGCGCTTCGACAGCTTCGCGCAGACCCAGCCGACGCTGGCATCTTCCGCTGAGAAGATGCCCGTCAACGAGTCGCGACCACGCCAGATTGCTTTCGCCAGCCCAACTTTGAGCGATGCCCCTCCCACCGAGACGCTCATCTCATTCTCCTCGCCCGTCGCCTCGTTCGCCAATGCCGACATCACGCCTCGCCGCCGCCCGAGCGTCACGTCCCGCAAAGCGACTCCCTTCCGTATTGCGATTCCAGCTGCCGACGCAGCCGACAGTCCCGCCTTGGCCCTCCCCTCGCACATGATCGCCGCTGCCGCCTCTGCCGCTCGCCGCAACCCCCGCCAGCCAGCGTCGACGCCCGGACCCGAGCCGCGGAGCCCCGTCGGTCCCGCTCCTCCGCCCTCGCTCGGCAAGCGCTCCCGCAACAGCGACATCAGCGACTTGTCAATCGAAGTCGAGGCGGTCGTCGCTGCTGCCGAGTCGAAGGACACGAACACTTCCCCCGACTACTTGTCCGGCTTCTTCACCGCGCCGACGTCGGCAAAGAAGGAGGACGGACACTCGCGGAAGCGCTTGCGTATCGTTGAGCCGGAGGAGGACGAAGACGACGAGGTCCTCGACTCGTTTGGCCAGCAGACCAAGGAGATCCAGGCGTTGGCTACGGAGAAAGGAGAAGACGACGAGTCAGACGAGGAAGAAGTCCGCGAGTATCTCGTCAAGACCAAGACGGGCGACTCTCCTTCTCCCGTCAAGCAACGCCGCTCGTCGATCCACGACCCCGACTTTTTCGCCGGCCTTGCTCCGTCGCCTGCCGCTCGTCGCTCCCTCCCGACCGACGTAAGCGAGAACGTCGCGCCTCTCGCTTCGCCTGAACTTGCCAATGCCACAGCACGCAAGTCGCTCCCGACTCCCTCCCTCGCCTTCCCACTCGTCTCGCCCGGCGCCAAGTCGCACTCCTTCAAGACTTTCGGCACGCCCAGCACGACCAAGACTGCCTCACTCTTCACCACTTCAGACAAAGCGAACTGTTCTCCCGCTCCATCGACCGCGCTCTTCGGCAGCGCGACCAAGTCCCGCCCGCGCGCACGCTCATCAACCCTCTCTTTCTCCGCGCGCAAAGGCCGTCCTGCGTCCCTCGCCGCCCCGCCAACTCCGCCTGCCCCGCGCACGTTGTTCGGTACCGAGCGGTTCGATTTTGGGGAGGAGGCGGTGGGCGAGGCTGAGGAGGGTGCGAGTAGGTTCGGGGAGGGAGTGTTGGAGGGTGAGGCCGTCAGCGTGAGCGGGAGCCCGGTCAAGGGCTGGGGGGCGTTTGCGGCGTGAGCGTTGGTGGAGCGGCGAGACTTAGCATCTCCCTCCTTTTCGGTTCTTCGGTCCCTGCTTAGCGGTGGTGCTCTCTTGTCTATATTCGTTCTTTCCATGCACATATTCTTCCCTCGTTTGTCGACATCCATACTCTCCTCGCTCACGTAGTCCCCTAACTCGCCGAGTCACCTGTATTGATGCACTCCATTTCTCAACCCGCGCAAAACCACCAGATTCCCTCGCGAGCCTACCGCTTCCCACCCTGCATCCCACTCACAACCCTCTCCAATCCCTGCGCCATCTGCACAACCTTCTCAGCGTCCCTCCTAACCCTCCTCAACGACCCCCCAAACGCCTTCTCCTCCTCACTCTCCCCGCCCAACGCACTTCTCGCAGTCTCGAGCCGCGCTTCAAGTGCCGCAGAAGCGTCGACCACCATCTGTGCGTCGGTCGTTGCGGTGCGGATCGCAGCGAGGGAGGAGGAGAGCGTGGTGGTTGAAGGGCGTGGGGAGAGAGCGAGCGTGCATTCGGCGTGGTGGGTCGAGAGTGCTGCGAGGCGGGTCGTGTAGAAGAGTGTTGAGAGCGCGCGGGAGAGCGAAGACGGGGAGGGGAGCGAGGGGGAGGAGGAGGCCAGGTGCACGACTGAGGGGAAGGGGTCGCACCGCTCTAGCAGCGTGCGGGCGTACGAGAGAGCGGCGGATTGGATCGCTTGTGCGGCGGGCAGAGTGGGTGGCAAGCGAGAGGAGGGAGAGGAAGGGTCGTCTCGTCGACGGGCGAGGAAGGTCTCGAGCGAGATGAGGGAAAAGAGGATCGAGCGGTGCGTGGCGGGAGAGAGAGGGGCGGATGGGGCAGACGGGACGAGGGCGACGAGGTGGGCGAGCTCGGGCGAGAGGCCGGAGGAGGAGGTCGAGGTTGAAGCGGAGGACGCGGTCGGCTGACGACGCGACCAGAATGCGAACCAAGACGACTTGGGCGACGCCGACTTGCCCTCACCCTCGGGCACGAGCTTGTCGAGCGCCTCGCCCTTCAAGCTCTGTCCCTCGCTCGCCGCCAACGCCGGAATCAACCCACCCGCGAACCATCCCTCGGCGCGCCTGTTCTCCGCCCTGCGCTCATCGCTCCCCTCGCGCCACAACTCGGCAATGCGCGCCGAGACCTCGGCCATCTTGCGCGAGGCCTTGACCTTTTCGCGCAGCTCCCACTCTCGCTCCTCCCTCCGCGCCGGATCGCTCGTCGGACTCGCCGAGAGGGCGTAGTAGATCCTCTCCCACCCGTCGCGCGCAGCTTCGAGCCTCGGTCGCCCACCAATCAACTCGCGGATCCCGGCGAGGCGTTCCTCCAACTCGACAGCCGCGCGGTCGACCCCGCCCTCCTCGACATGCTTCTCCCACTCGAGTGACTCGATCAGCGAGATTCCCTTGTCCTGCGCGAGCGCGAGCGCAGTGACGAGGTACTGCTCTGCCTCGAGCCAGCTCGAGTCGTTCACTTGCGCGCCCAGGGCCGCCAGCTCGTCTTCGCTCGAGATGAACCGTCCGCCGGGGCGTGTCACCGCGAATGCCGAGTCGGGTTTCGAGACGGCGTTCTCGGCGGGCAAGGCGGCGGTCCCAGTCCCGGACGTTTGGGCAAAGTACGCCGCGCGAACGGCCATCCGCGCCTTGAGACCGAGTCGGGGATCCGTCCCCCCTCGGTTCGGGGTATGCAACCCGCTCCACCCCTCGCGCTCATCGAGCCACTCGTCCGGGTCGTCCTGGGCCTTCACCTTGGGCGCCTGCAGCTGCACATGCTCGATCCACCAATGCGTTCCCGCGTACCCTCCGGCGACGGTGAGTACGATCCCCACCGACGCAAAGACTGCATAGCGGAACACGCGGCGGAAAGTGAGGCCGATCGAGAGGACGGGCGAGGCGTAGTCGTCTTGGGAGAGGGCGGTCGGGGGGAGGTGAGGATTGGCTGAGGACTGTGCGGGAGTGGAGTAGAGTGGCTCGTCGGGTGTTGTGAACTGTGGCGTGCGTGCGTAAGCCCTCGTGAGCGTGAGCGAGAGTGAGGACTTGGGTGCGGGTGTGTGGGGCAGGACGAGGAGCGGGATGCGGCGAGCGGGTGCGCGGGTGAGTGGGCGTGCGAGCATGGCGTGCACTGTGAGCAGGAATCACGCAGTCCACCGCGTGTGCTCGTTGCCCAATGTCAACCCTTCGCGAGTTGGTAAAGAGAGCGAGCGAGTTGGCTGAGCTCGAGCGAGTCGTCCTCATCAGCTCACCCTCGACTCTTCGCTGGTCGCGCATCGTAAGCTAGGCGAGTGTGTGCGATGAAGGGCTCAACGCCACGGGCACACGCTGCCACTGCCCACTCGACCCTCCCGCTCTTCCCGCTCCTCGCTTCCCACAACCCCCAGACCCGCACAGACGCCGCTCTCCAGCTCATCACCGCTCTCCCGCTCTCCCTCTCAGACCCAAAACAGGACCCAGACACGCCCTACACCCTCAAGCGACTCGTCACCGGTCTCGCGTCGTCGAACGAGGCAGCGAGGCAAGGGTTCGCCGTCGCTCTCGCTCAACTCGTACAGTCCCTCCCCGAAGACAGCGATGCGGCGACTGTCCTCCCCGCCCTCATCGAGGCGACGACGAGCAAGGCAGGCATGGACGCGCGCGAGGAACGAGACCTCCTCTTTGCCCGCCTGATGGGACTGCACGCACTCGTCCGCTCGGGCGTGCTCGTTCGCGCAGAGGGCAAGGCGAGCAACGCAGGCGAGAACTGGAAGGAGGTCGTCCTCGCCCTCGTATCCCTCGCCAACAAGAAGACTTGGATCCGCGAACCCGCTTACTGGGTCGTCTGCGATGCCCTCCGTGCCCTCCTCGAGGTCAGCGACGCCGTCGCATGGAAAGACGAGACGGTGCAGTGGGCGGTCCAGCGGCTACTCGGAGACGCGAGGGAAAAGGCGCGCGGGTGGAGTCCCGAAAAGGTCGCCATCGTCCTCGTCCTCCAGTCGCACGGCGTGGTGCGTCGCAACCTCTCGCTCCTTCATCTCGATTTTTGCTGACGCGTTCGTTCACAGGACGCCGACTACGCCGCCCTCCTCGCCCCGACCTTCCCCTCAGGCTGGCTCCTCGCCCGCTCGTCCCTCTCGACCCTCGCCAACGCCCTCAAAGGCTCGCTCTCCTCCTCTTCCTCCCTTGACTCGTCTTCCGCCGGTCCCTCGCAAGGCTCGAACGCAGTCAAGACCTCCAAGGGCGCCTCGGCTCCCGCACCAGGCCAAGCACCGCACTTTGTCTGGCAACTCCTCTGCGACGCATACTTTCCCCCTCCCTCCTCTCCCTCGTCCGCTCCGATTACGGACCGTGCACCCTTCAACGCTTTCTGGACCGCCTGCGTCGACACGCCCCTCTTCGGATCCTCCTCGCACCCTCTCAAAGCACTCGGGTTCAACCTCATCCAGCTGTTCCTCCCGCGCCTCTCTTCGCCCTCGAACGACATCCAGACGCTCTTCGGCCCGAACGCGTTGAGGGTGTTGCACAACCACCTCAAGCGGGACTCGGTCGCCGCCGGATCTGGGGGCAAGACGCTCGCGAAAGTCGCAGAGAAACTCGTCGGCTCCACCTTGCCCTCTTACCTCTCCCAACACCCCGAGGCTGCACTCCCGGTCTTGAAGGCGCTCGTGAGCGAGCCCAACTCGCAGTACAACGCGTTCGAGACTAAGGTGCTCGAGAAGATTGTGGTCAAGCTTCCTCTCTCCGCGGGAGGCGTAAGGGGATGGGTCGCCTACCTTCGCAGCGTCGTCCTTTCGCCCTCGCTTCTCGGCTCCGACGACGATGAGCAGGCGAAGGAAGACGAAGACAAGGTTGTCGCCGCGCAACGGAACTGGGCTTTCGATCAGATGTTGTTTGTCGTCCGCAATGCCAGCGTCGAGAAAGACGACGAGTTGGTCAAGGGCTTGTTGGAGTTTCTTGCGGTTGTTGGGTGGTTCGAGGTCCGCAAGGAGGGTGGCAAGGGTGCTGTGCGTTACCATCTCTCTCCCTCCCTTTTCTCACGGCTCACGAATCGATATGCCACACAGCGCTCCTACACCCCCACCCGCCCGCTCACCTCCACGCACCGCCTCTCCGCCCGTTCACGCTTCTTCTCGATCCTCTCGGCACTCATTTCCGCCCCTGTACCACTCGGCGGTCCGGCGTGGCTTGCGCGCGCATTGGGAGCGCTGGACGCCCTCGAGGGGGATGCGAAGCACTTCGCCCGTGCGGAGGTCATGGAGGATGATGAGGAAGAGGCGGAGGAGGGATTGGACCGCCTCAAGGCTCTTCATGCGGCGCTCAGTCAGTCGCCGAAGGACGGAGAGGAGAAGGAGCTGTTGAGGCGTGCGACGGCTCGTGCGTTGCTTGAGGGCGTCAGGTTGGTCGTTTGGGATGAGGGGGCGGACGAGGCGGGTGATGTGATTGAGGGAGCGGTCGACGCGGTCGAGGCTTTGTTCCCCTCCCTCTCTTCTCCCTCCTCTTCTTCCTCAGACGAAGAGGAAGACACCGAAGAAGGGGACAAGCCCGAACCTGCAACAATCCTCCTCGACACCCTCCTGACCCTCCTCCGTCGCCCAAGCGCATTCGTCAAATCCTTCGTTGGGCCGATCGTCCTTCGTGGGTTTGCGGATGAGGTTGGAGAACAGGGGGTCGAGTTGGTTTTGGGGGTTGTGGCGCCTGAGGAGGAGGAAGAAGGGGACGAGGAGGAGGAGACGGGCGAAGGAGAGGGGAAGGAGGAGGAGGACGAGGAGAGCAGCGATGAGGACGAAGACGAGGACGACGAGGACGACGGACTCGAGGTCGACGAGGCGTTCAAGCAGGAACTCCTTGCCGCGCTCGAGGCGGGCGGGATGGCTGTCCCCAATGCGGCGTCGGACGACGAGGATGAGGAGATGCAGGATGGAGAGGGCGAGAGCGAGGAGGAGGAGCTTCTGGACGACGATGCGATGCTGGAGCTGGATGAGCGGCTGGCGGATATTTTCCGTGCGAACGGAGGAGGGAGGAGGAGCAAGAAGCGTGCGTGCCGCCTTCTCTCACTCTCAGCGGCCCTCTCACTGCGGTCCGTTGCTGACGATCGAGAGTACCGGTGCATACAGGTGATCGGCAAGACGATCTGCACTACCGCCTGCGCTGCCTCGATCTTCTCGACGTCCTCACGCACGCCAAGCCCGCCTCGCCCCTCCTCACCCCGCTCTTCGTCCCGCTCTTCAACCTCATCCGCACGGCGTCATCGGCAGTCGAGTCCGAGCTGCAAACCAAGGCAGGCAAGCTCCTCCGCTTCCTCGTCCAGCCTCGCAAGGCCGCCTCGCCCGCCGACGGCGTCGACGCCTCGGCCTCGGCTGAGAGCGCCCTCGACGCGCTCAAGGCGCTGCACAAGGCCGCCGCCAACGTTGACGACGTCTCGCTCGCGCCGCTCTGCGCCCAGGTTGGCGTGGCGCTCGTCAAGACCGTGGCTGCCCTCTCGCCCTCGACCGCCCAGGTAGACGTCTCGCGCATCTACCTCGCCAGCTTCGAGAAGTACCTCACGACCAAGAACGCCAAGACGCGCGTCCAGCCTGCTCTCACGCTCGAGGCGGCTAAGCGCGCGCCCGCGGCCCTTTGGGGCATGGTCGGACGGGTGGTCGAGCTTGCGGCGGGAGAGGGGGAGAAGGTCAATGCGTTCAGGAGGATGCAGGCGTTCGAGGTCGCGCAGGCGGTCGTCACTGCCTACGCCAGCTTGGTCCGTCCTCCATCTCGCTCGATGCGATCGAAACCAGCTCGCTGACGTTGCATCTCCTGAGCAGAAGACGCCCGAATCCAAGGCTGAAGTCCTCGCAGTCCTCCCGCCCTACCGTGACGCCCTCTACTCGGCCCTCTCGTCCTCCCTCTCCGCCTCGACCGCCTCTCCCGACTTTGACATCGCTCGCCTCAAGCTTCTCGCCAAGCAAGCTCTTGCCGTCGCACGCCTCACCGTCCAAATCTCGTCGCAGTCGACCGCAGCACAACTGTGGAAGGCCGACGAGTGGGCCAAGCTGATCGACGTCGCGAAGAAGAACGAGCGGTTCAAGGGCGCCGTCGGCGTCCAGACGCTCGTCAAGCAGCTCGTTGGCGTGCTTGGCGCTTCAGTGTCGGAGAATGCGGCGGCCGGCAAAGCTGGCAAGAAGGAGAAGAAGCGCAAGGCGAATGCGGCGGACAAGGTGAACGAGGGGACGCCGGCGAAGAAGTCCAAGCAGGACAAGGCGGCGGTCCCTGCTCCTCTCGCGGCGGCGCCGGAGAACGAGGTCCAGGACGAGTCGGTCGAGGCGGCGGAGGGAGCGGAGGCAGAGACGGCGACGCCCTCGAAGAAGGACAAGAAGAAGAAGCGGCGGCAGTCGGCGGCGGGCAAGGCATAGAGCTCGTCTGTCTGTGTACTAGGATCGCTGGCGTTGTTCCTTCTACGGCATCTCGCATTGTATCATCGTATTCCTCGCTCGTCTTGCGCTTACCGCTCTGCGAAGAGTCCGCTCCGCTTCGCATACGCTCCCTCTGCTTCTGAGTTTGCTGTTCACACACTCAGTCCCGCTACAGCATCCTCGCCAATCGCCTCAACACGCACGCAGCCTCTGCGAGGCCACCCGTCCAGCCTGCCGCAACCTCGCCCGCCTCCTCCTTTGCGAACCTTCGCTTCCCGTGCCTCACCACCACGCTCTGCCTGCCTGCTAGACACACACGGTCACCGGCACCGCCAAGCCGTGACTCTCGCCCAACACGTCTCACCGTCGTCGCCCTTCCATCGAATCCCCTCCGATCGACATCATTCCCCTCTCCTCGACCAGCGCGACTGCTCCCAATACTCCCAACTCGAAGCACCGCGCCCAGTTCTCCGTGACAGGCTTACGACCGCCCAATGCGATGATCCCGAGCCATACGGGCGGGGCGTCGGCGGTGCCGTACAGGTCGAAGTCGGATGGGTTGGGTCTGTGGAAGGAGCAGCTCGAGACGCAGTGGAAGGGGCGGAGAGACGCTCGCGTGAGGCTCTTGGGCGTCGTATCGGCGGGACTTTTCGTTCTCTGGCTCTTCGCGTCCCGAATGTAAGTTCTCCTCTCCTCCTTGACCCTGCGAAGGAGACGTCAAATTGCCTGGAGCCTGGCTCCTTCGCTTCTGGCGCGGAGTGACGAGATTGACGCGCTGTTTGTGCAGAGTCAATGTGCGGAATCGCTTGCCTTCCTGCGACGCACTGCACCAGCCCGGCCGCCTCCTCGTCAACCTTACCTCTCCTCTCCACACCCACTGGCGCCCGTTCGCCGAGTCGCAGTGCCCACCACTACCGAAGTACCTGCCCGCACTGTGGCAGCTCACGCACGGCGTCGAACGCTCGTTCCCCATGTACCAGTCGTCGACTTTCTCGAAAGAGTACCGCCAAGTCGCCGCCGAACCTCTCCCTCCTCACCTCCTTGCCTCTTCCCCCTCGACAATAGATCCCATACCCTTCCTGCGCAAGCGGCGACGACACCCTCCGACTGTCCTCGTCATCGGCGACTCGGTCGACCGTAACGGGCTCGTCCATTTCTGCCAGCTCTTCCGCCGCGATGTCACCATCTCGCACTACAGCGACATTACCAAGCTTCCACCCGGTCCGTATCCTGCCGACTTGACGAAGGGACACGGCCCGAAGCACGAAGGTTGGGACCAGCGAGGTCTGATGCACCGCTGCGAGATCCCGTTCGTCGACGGGTCGGGCACCGCGATGCGCGTCATCAATGGCTTCCACTACGGCATGGACGCGCTTGACGAGTTCAACACGCCCGACCATACGGATTGGCATGCGCCGGGGAGGATCGAGAACCGGATAGACGAGTTGATCGTGCCGGCTATCGAGCAGCTTGGAGGGACGGACAAGGTGGATGTTGTGCAGCTGCACAGCGGAATGTGGGACCTGGTGCGTCCGGCGACGCTGCTGTCTTGTCAGGATGGCGCCTTTGCGTTCGCTTTGCTGACTTCGCCCCGACGTCGTTTCGCCAGGCCCTCTTCGGCATGCAAGACGACAAGACGCGCTGGTCGCTCACGGTCCCTCTAACGCCCGAACAACTCGCCTGGTGGCAAGAACGCATGTTGCACGCCATCTACCACGTCCGGCAGCGCTTCCCGCGCGCCAGGCTCGTCTTCCGCAAGCTCCATAGGACGGACGACGCGGTTGCGGGGACGCAGTACATCACGAATTGTGCGTTGGCTCGGTTACTGGGCTGTTCGGGTTTTAGGAGCTGACTTGACTTTCGCTCTCGCAGTGTGAGTCTCTCGCCTTGCCTCGCATGCTACGGCTTTCCTCCTTCCCGATGTCGCTGACCACTACCGCATCACAGGCGCGTCCACCAGCTTAGGCACCTGCAGGAGGAAGTCGCTCGCTCGGAAGGATTGCCCATCTTCGGTACGTGGCTTCGTCTGCAGCGGCTCCCTGTGCTTCATGCCCCCGCCTCGGTTGCGCTTCTCCCAGATGAAGGCCGCTAACTCGCGCGCAATGCTCCCTCAGACTTTGGGCACGTCCTCGAGGGCTACCAGTTCTTCCAGGAGAAGGTGCACCCACTCCTCGTCCCTGGCGGCGTCACCTATGCGCACAACCTGGTCCACCAGCTGCGTCTCGCGCTCGAGAGCCGGACGAGCTGGCGTCGAGGCTGGCTGTGGGACGCGTGAATTGGGCGAACGAGGCGAAGAGGTGGGCAGGCGGGTTGTATTCGAGCGATGCATTTCATTATCCTTGCACTCAATTAAGCCTCGCGGTCCAATCGAGCGAATCAGAGAATGGCTTGCTCTTGCTTTCCAGTCGAGGGACGAACGACTCAAGGTCGCCCGACCCGCTCTTTCCTCATCGTCCCCTCGCTCGCTGCTGCTTTCTCGCTGGTCTGTGCCCTTCTGAGTGACGCTGTTGACTCGGGCTATCTTACAGGTGCGCACGACTCTTCACCGCTTGGTCTCGCGACTCCACACAGAGCGGGGTCCCCGTAGAGGCCGGCGACATCCTCGCTCGTCGCACACGGCTCAGACTGGGCTGGAGACGACGACTGACCCTCGTGTTCACTCGACAGTACCGTTCGAACCAGCGCAGCAACCCGCCAGAGCGAGCGATCACCCGCTGACGCCCCTCACCTCTTCCCCCCACTCGCCATCTTTGTCCGGCCAGCCTCTCTTCTCGACGTCCTCCGTACTCGGTTCCACACAATCTGAGCTACCCACGAAGTCTCTGCGATGAGCGTGAACGGCGTGGCGAGGCCTGCAGGGCCCAGGAGGAGTGCGAGCGGCGAGCCTGACACTTCGCCGGACCTCGAGTTCGTGCGTACCGTCCTCTTCTTCGTGCGACGTACCGAGACCGCTGACTGGTGAGGGAATTTCCACAGACCTTCCTCCGACCTGCACATCAAGCCCGCACGCTCGCACGCCCCGCTTCCGCCTATGTCCCCCGACCCACCTCGCCCGAACCCTCTCGCCCTACTTCTCCAACGCCAGTCCCACTCGTCGCACCCATCCTCCCAACAACCTCGCAACAGAGCCATGGCAGCGCCCGCCCCTTCGCACCGAAGCCCATGCGGCAAGGTGCTCCTCGACTCGGTGGCCTAGGACTCGGAGGAATTGTCGGGCCTGAACCGTCGCCTCCTGCTCGCTCTCTTCCTCGAACCGACTCCCCTGCGCGGCCTGCAGCGAAACGACCCGTCCCAGCCGTCCCTTTCGTCCCGCCTCACACGCAGACTCCCTCTCCTCCTTCGACAGCCAGCTCCGACCGCAACTCTGCCTCCTCGTCGCCCTTCGCTCCAAAAGCGTCCAACATGCCCGAACGCCCGTTCCTCTCGCCCGAGTATGGCAAGCCAACCGTCCGCTCGGGCACGTTTGCGCTTGACTCGCACGCTGCACCGGATGCGGGTCTTGAGCGGGTGCGAGGCGAGTCGGGGAGCAGGAACGGACGGCGAAGCGGGACGCCGAACGAGCTTGAGCGGTCCGCTGGTCAAGGCGCAGTCCTGGCGCCGCCCATTGCGGCTGCAGGAGTCGTCGCTTCAGACGCAGCTCACGAAGAAGACGCGGCGCGCGAGGAGGACGAAGCGGACGAGGAGGAGTTCTCGCCCGACATGCAGGAGCCAGACTGGCTGCAGACTTCGCCTGAAGCGGAGAAAGGCGTCAGCGGATTCCGTCTTGCCGATGGCGAGGCTGAAGAGGACGAGGCTCCCGCGCCGCCGTTGGATTCGAGCCTGAATCGGCGGCATACGATGGTTGGCCTGTTCGGCATGGTGCACGAGGTGCCTGTCGACCACGAGGCGGACGCAACGAGCACCCACACCTCGGAAGACGGCCAGCTCGACTCGTTTGACGACGCCCATTCCGTCCTCGCCAGCTCGACGTCTCGCCAGCCGCAGGAGCCGCCCGCCGGCGCCGTCGACTTGGTGGACGAAGACGAGATCTCGGAGATCTTGAGCAGTCCCGAGGGCGTCAAGGTGGACGACTTGCCGGAGGAAGTCATCCTCGATGGACCTGGCTCGTCTGCTGGATCCGAGGCATCGAGCGTCGCCGCGACGCCTGTTCACGAGACGGCGCCAACCCGCGACTGGGCCGCTCCTGTTGCGACGGCCGTGGCAGCACCGACGTTCGGCCAAACCGCCGGCTTCCCTTCGCACGAGCCCGTCGCTGCGACACTCATGGCACGCGCCGTCAACACGAACTCGTCTTACGACGCTCACTCGGACCACGAGGACCACGATGCGGTTGAGGAGGAGGACATCCGGAGTCGCAGTCCATCGATCGCCAGTAGCGGTCGCCTCTCGCCTGACCCCGCTCACGACGAGTTTGCGCGCTCGCGCTCGCCGTCACCTGTCCCGGGCGATGGCGTTCACGCCGAGCACAACTTTGCAGCCCAGCACTCGCCGGCGAGTATCTACGACGAGGACGAGGACCGCCTCCCGAACGGCTACGTCGACGAGCCGGACCGCTCGCACGACAAAGCGGCGAGCATTCGCGAGGCGGCTTCCGTCTACCCTTCTCCGCCCTCCTCGCCTCAGCCTCCGCTCGTGCAGGAGGAGCTCCCGACTGAAGAGCCTCCCGCCGCAGAGCCGCTGCCGCCTGTCGAATCGCCCGAGCCTCCCGCATCAGTTCGAGCGGCTACTCCTCCTCCATCGCCTCCTCCAGTCGTTCCCACACTCTCCACTTCCTCCCCGCAACGCCGCTCATCCCTCTCCCCTCCCGCTTCTCCAACGACCGCCTCAGCGCCCGCCTTCTCACCCAACCTCGCCTACCAAGCTCTCGGTCTTCGTCTCCCCTCTTCGCTTTCCGGCAACAAGCGGTCGTCGGCTATCTCGCCCGTTTCGCCGCCTATGTCGCCGGAAGTCGCGAAGGCTTCGATGCCTTTCGTCTTTGAGCCTTTGGCGGCGATTCTGCCGCCGGCGAATGAGGCGAAATCGGCTGAGCCTCCGGCAGCCGTCGTCGACGAAGAGCGGGAGGAGGAGGCGCCGAAGACGCGAGAGGCCGAGGAGCCTGCGGCAGTGGCCGACTCTCCTGAGCACGTCGAGCCTGCTGCGGAGCCGTTCATTTCTCGCGACTACGCCCTTCCCACCGACCGTTCGCCTCCCTTCCTGCCAACCAACGTTACTCACGCCGAACCGGCTCCTGCACCGACCCTCGAAGAGAAGCGGACCGCCGCACCCGTACTTGAGCAGGATGACCACCACACCGACTCGTCCGTCACCGACTCGCCCGCTCTCTCCGCTCACACCGCCGAATCCGACTTCGAATCGGCGTACGGAGACGACGATGTGCCGCCTGTACAGCTGCCGCAGTCAGCCGCTACCGAGCAGCCTGTAGCTTCAAATGCAGTGACGCCGGCAACCGACGCGCAGGAGCAGGGCGAGGGAGGTGTTGGCGTTGTTGACGTCGGTGTTGCGGTAGCTGGCGCACTTGTGATGGGCGGTCTGTCGGTTGGGCAGTCTGCGTGGCGCAGCTTGTCAGGGTGGGCTTGGCGCGGGAACGCCCAGCCGGAGCAGCAGCAGCAGCCGCCTGAACCCGCAGCGCAGCCAGACTTCGTGCCGAAGGTGCCGCAGATCGTCGTTGTCGAGGAGGAGATGGTCTCGGCTTCGCCTCTCATCGGGTCCGACACCCGCAGCGACGTCGACACGAAGGACGGGTCGAAGATTGGCGAACGCGCCGAATCGTCCGTCGTCTCGACCGAATGGGGAGATGCAGAATTCGACATGCCCGAGGGTGAGTGTCCCTGCCTTTCCTCTAACGTGCAAACGCCAACGCTTCAACCTACAGGCTTCCTCGACGAGTTCAAGAAGGCGATGGAGGAGATCGGAGTCCAGCAGGTCGCGGACGAAGACCGCGCCGAGCAGCAAGCACAGCAGGCGGCTTACCTCGCGGCGTCTAGACAACACGAGGAGGCTGTTGAGGGTGAGGAGGAAGAGGTCCGCTCCGCCGTCGGTTCGCCCGCGCCCTCGATCCGCACCGCCGTCTTCCCGACCACCGGCATGCACCGCAGCCGCCCTCCGTCCATCACTGGCTCGATTCGCTCGGACCGCGGCGGCGGCGGGCAGTACGGTCGACCGCTGACTCCGGCAGACGAGCGGATGGAGGGCGACAGCGACGAGGAATACGACGAGCTCGACCGCATGATGGCGCCTGTCTGGGCGTCTCACCGCGGACCTTCAGCACGTCAGCAGTTCTCCGGACCCGTCGAATCGACCAAGCACGGATACGCCGCTCCGCCTGGCCTGGCTGGTGCCGCCGCTGGACCGCTTCCCTCCTCCCGCATGCTTTCACCATCACTGTCGACCTCGTCAACCTTCTCAGCGGCACCTCCATCCCTCACCTCGTCGACTCGCTCGCCTCAGCCCGGCATCACGACGTCTCGCTCGAGCAAGGGTCTCTTCGGCTTTGGCTCGTCCAAGTCGAAGGCGCCCAAACCTGCCTCGCCTCAGAAGACTCGGCCCGACTCCGGCTCAGTCCTCTCAGGCGGCACGCAAGCAGCCAGTACGGCAAAGTCTTTCACCTCGCTCTCGTCGATCGAGGAGGACGTCCTGTCGAACAGCAGCAAGAAGCAGAAGAAGAATCGCAAGTCGTTCCTCTTCGGCGGTTCCAAGTCTCCGACTATGCCGTCCATTGAGTCTCAGATCGCCGACACGACGTACGTGCACTACGGCAGCGGCAAGGCGAAGAACAAGCGGCGCGACTCGGACATGTCCCTTGACGCCAGCCTGTACGCCTCGCGCGACCCCGTCCTCCTCCCCGGCCAGCCCGTTCCCGTCTCGCTCGCCGGCGTCGTTGCAGGCTTGTCGGTCGACTCGCCTGCCAAGTCGTCGGTCCAGTCGGGAGGGCGACGCTCCAGCCTGCGCCTCAAGTCTCGCTACGAGCAGGCGGAGCCCAACGCTCCCGCCGACCCGATGGAGAAGGAGCGCATCTACCGCGTCCGCTTCGCCAACGCGACTCGCGGTCTCGGCTTGCGCTCAGTTGCCGAGGAAGAGGCTGTTCGCGGCGGAGACGACGTCGCACTCAAATGGATCGGTGTCGGACGCGGACGGTATGGCAACCTCACGATCAAGGTGCGTTCACTTCCCTTCTCTCTCATCTGCTTCGAGCGCTGCTGACGGACGGCTCCCAACTGCTTCGTAGGAGGGCGAGGAGATGGACATCCTCTTCGACGAGCAGGTCAAGAAAATCAAGGGCAAGTGGCGCGCGTTTGGCTCGGAGCGGTCTGTCGAGTGGGCTGCGGTCAGGATCGACTGAGTGGACCGACCGCTTGGGGGGGCGGAGCTTGTATCCTTATCTATGTCGGCTGAATTCTCGGAATTCTTGTTGTGCTGTATTTCTGCGACCGAATGCAAAGGCGCAATTGTGACAACCAGCGGCTAATCGCTCAGCGAGTGCGAGCGGAACAACAACACGCTCACGAGGGGGAAAGCAAGACGCTCAGCGAGGCGATGCAAGCCGGGCAGGCGTGTTGTAAGGGGTGCATGCGATTGTTGGCGAGGAGGAGGAGGGCGAGGAGTTCGGTGGCTCGGCAGTGATGGTCGAGTAGCGGCTGCAGGTCTGGAACGAGAAGATAATCTTGAACAGCATTCAGCGCCTCAGCTTGGCACTTCTCCCTCTCTGTTCCAAGCTGTGAACTACCGCCTCGCCGTCGCTGTGTGGCCCGCTATGTGGGCTCACGTGCACTGGAACCATCAGCGGGATGTTGTTCATTCGCAGCGGTGCGAGCAAGAGGAGGGGGAAGAGGAGGACGAAGCGGAGGCAACGGTTCTGCGGGCAGCGTCCAGCAAGTTCAACAGACGCGGCGCTACAATCAGTTATAATGCATCAGACGTGAGCTGCAGGGCCCGTACAGGCCAGCACGGAGCCCTCGTCTGGCGACAGATCCTCATCAGTTCAAGAAAGTGAGCGAGGGGAGACAAGCGGGTGACGGTCACTGGGCGGTGCGCGAGGGGCTTCAACAGCGCAAGAAGCTGTCTGGGGATTGGACGCAGCAGTGGCAGACCTACCAGTATGGTGTGGCGGGAGCAGCAGCGTGATGTCGGCGGCGAGGAGGCGAAGTGGCTGGTTCCCTCTCGCCATTCACGCTCACCGCTCAGTCTGGCTCGTGCTGCGCTCCTTTGCATTGCTGAGCATGCCCTCTACCGCATCCACCTCGTCTCACGGTCCCGCTCCCGCTCCCGCTCCTCCGCCTCCCAACGAGCGGATGCCTCTCTCCTCCGTCCCCGACTTGACCAAGTTCTTCCCGCCGTTGATCCAGGACGCCATCTGCGCCGAGATGAATCGAGGAGCCGAGGGCGCTTACTACGACGAGTTCGAGCAGCTGTATTGGATGTACTCGGGATGGGACGAAGTGCGGGAGGATTTCGAGCGTGTTTGGCGTCCCATGATTGACGAAGTCGAGGATTACCTAGACCTGCGCTTTGCCGCCAGGGGTGGGGGCAATATGGAGTTGCGGGCGGAGCTCGCCCGCGTAGAGGCCAATTTGTTACCTCGCGCGACGCAAGTTCACTTGCGTAGGCAGGGACCGGCTGGTGCGTTCGCTAGATCGTCTCAGAACTTCCTCTATATGCTGATCAAGTCCAGCATACAGGGCTAGCCATCCTCCGACAACGACACTTCGCTCGGCACCCTGTGCTCGAACCATCGAGGCGACTCACTGCGTTGCCAAGCTTGCGAAGTCGGCGCGATTCTTGAGCACGGTTTGCAGGAGCATTCCGGAGCTCGATACAGAAGCTCACGGGACAGCCCATACTCGGGATCTAGTGGAGTGCGGGGGAGGAGCGTGGGTGCGAAGGGGTGAAGGCAGTTCTGGTGCATCCCAGTGAGCGAATGGCCGGCACATAAGCCATTTGCGGCTCGCTCTCAACGCCGTCGCTCATCACCGCAAGAAGGCGTCCTCTCGCTACGGTGTCGACTTCTCCTCGATCCCCTCAAAACCCTGATGCTCCCGTCCGCTTCTCCTCGACAGCCTGCAGTGACACATCGAAGCAATGGACACTCTCCTACCCCCGCATGTGCGGATACTCGGCGCGCAAAGTGACAAGGAGCAGGCGCGACATCGTCAACACCCAGCAGAACCTGTCGACGTTCTTCAGCTCGCTGCTGTCCGGCACCGAGATGCGCATGCCGTCGACGGAACAAGGCGAAGTTGTCGCTGCCCGTATCGCTCCCGCCCTCACCGACCGACCAGGACTCGCCCAACAGCTAGCGAATCTCTGCACGCGGGCTTTTGCGAACGAGTCGATCTCTCCTGAAGACCTGATCGACATCCTCTCGCTTAAGGAAAACAACAACAAGCACGCGAGCGACGTTGCCGCTGCTCTCGACGTCTTGTTGCGAGCGAAGGACCTGCCGGATGCTCGTTCAAGGGTCGCGCTCGAGAGCCTTTGGCGGCGAGTGTACATCCAGAATGAGTGCGTGCGAGTCTCCGAGTGCGACATGGACTTTCCACTGACGCTTTGCTTCGCAGCTGGGCGGCACTGCGATCTTCAGCGGGCGTGAAGGACGAGGAGATGGCCGCGGCTCTACGCAACACGGCTTTCTACGCTAAGCTTGCGGCAGCTCGCAAGTCTCGTGAGTTGCTAGCTTCCCTTAACTCCACGGTGCCCACAGCGCTGACGTCCGACAATGCAGGTCAACCGCAAGACATGCTCCTCGAACCGTCCCGCAGCTTCTCTTCCGCGACACCCGACGAGCTCGCCGCTCGCTTCGCCAACCTGCCATCCTCGAAAGTCGACGCGGTGCTCAGCGAATACGGGCAGGAAGGCCGGTTGCTGAACGAGGCGATGCAAGCCGGGTTGGAGGCGTGTTGCAAGGAGTGTGTGCGGCTGTCGGACGAGGAGTAGGAGGGCGCTTCTCCTGAGGAGGCGCTCAGTGGGTCGGCAGTGATGGTTGAGTAGCGGCTGCAGCTCTGGAACGAGAAGATAATCTTGAAAAGCATTCAGCGCGTCAGCTTTGCTCTTCTCCCTCTCTGTCCCAACCTGTGCATTACCGCCTCGCGTCGCTGTGTGGCCCGCTACTCGGGCTCACATGCACCGGGACCATCAGCGGGATATTGTACATTCGCAGCGGTGCGAGCAAGAGGAGGGGGAAGAGGAGGACGAAGCGGAGGCAACGGTTCTGCGGGCAGCGTCCAGCAAGTTCAACAGACGCGGCGCTACAATCAGTTATAATGCATCAGACGTGAGCTGCAGGGCCCGTACAGGCCAGCACGGAGCCCTCGTCTGGCGACAGATCCTCATCAGTTCAAGAAAGTGAGCGAGGGGAGACAAGCGGGTGACGGTCACTGGGCGGTGCGCGAGGGGCTTCAACAGCGCAAGAAGCTGTCTGGGGATTGGACGCAGCAGTGGCAGACCTACCAGTATGGTGTGGCGGGAGCAGCAGCGTGATGTCGGCGGCGAGGAGGCGAAGTGGCTGGTTCCCTCTCGCCATTCACGCTCACCGCTCAGTCTGGCTCGTTCTGCGCTCCTTTGCATTGCTGAGCATGCCCTCTACCGCATCCACCTCGTCTCACGGTCCC